CTCTGTGGAAATTTCAGTCAAGACAAATCCTGGTTTCCTCCAAGAGGCCCAGAGCAGGGCCAGGTGAATCTGGTCCTAAGTCTTCATTTTCCCCATTTTTAGATCAACAGCAATTTCTTCTTCTTTTTTATTTACTTAGAGAAATAGGAAGGGAGGGAGAGAGGGAGAGAAACATTGATGTGTGAGACATACATCGATTGGCTGCCTCTTGCACGTTCCCAACTGGGGACCTGGCCCACAACCCAGGCAAGTGCCCTGACTGGGAATCGAACCAGCAACCTCTCAGTTTGCAGGCTGGCACCCAGTCCGCTGAGCCACACCAGCCAGGGCAGATCAACAACATTTCTAAAATTGAATCTCAGGCCACAGGTCACCTGTGTTCCTCTGAATGCACATTACAGCATTAAGATGTCTGCGGGACACACAGGATGAAAGGGTCTGGGATGGGGAGAGAGGTTCACTCCCGGGCAGAGCATTTCCCAGAAGGACAACCTTCTTTCAGGGTGTGGTGCCTAGAATTTTTTGTTGTGATTCTATATAATATGTTACTATAGCAAGAAGAAAAATCACCTGGCCAATTTTCAAGTGAATCAAGAGCTGACTCACAGGCATCTGCCTCCTGTTACTCACCCAAGTTAAGACGAAGCCCTCGCTTCAGGGGCGGCATGACTCTGAAGGGGGAGGCTGGTCTGCTTCTTCCCTTCCCCCCATGCCCCCGCCACGTCACAGTCCTGATTTGTGGAAGGGGGCTGACCTGGTGAGGAGACCACCGGAGTGGGTCACCGGTGCGGGCCTCAGAGAGGGGGCCCTGTCCTTCAGCCGCTTGGATTTGGGGTTCTGCAAATGAGGAGGGGCTGGTGCCATTTCCTGCGTCGGACCCTGAAGGAGAAGCTCCCGTGGTGCCCCCTCCCCATCACGGTTGCTGCAGAAAAGGCTACGTGGGAAGCGGGCCTCAGGCATTCCCTCCAGAACAGGCGTGCACCCAGCAGGTCCCACAGGCATATTAAAAGCAGTCCCTACAGAGCCGAGCAATGCTGGCTTAGTGTGGCCTGGAACCTTTGTCGTCCGTGGTAGGTAGGGCATACCGAGACCCATTCGCAGACCTGCTTTAGAATCGGCCAGAATCAGTGCTGTTTGTTAAGCTCCTGAGACATCCAGGTTTCCTCTGCTTTCTTTTTTTGACAGATAAGTAGGTAGAGTTTAGGAGGCCAGACAAAAGCTTCCTAGGATAAAGTAAGGGTTCTGGAACTTTCTTTGACTCAGCTTATTCTTATTGACCTGAAAGGGAGTAGCCTCTTATCAGATGTTCCCTGTTTATACCACCCAAGTCACCCACACACTCCTCAAGGGCATGAAATGCATCTTTTATTTCTATAGTCTGAGTGTCTAGCACAATGGCTGGCAAAGAAATTGTAAGCACTCAATAAATATTTACGGAGTGAAAACTTTAAGTTGCCTGGGAATTTTCTGCGCACTTAGGGCTACACCTGCTGGCATGGCTGCCAGGCGGGGGCTCTCTCTCAAGGTGGCTTAGCGTATTAGTTAAGTGGGTAGAATCTACAAATAAACTCCTGGGTTCAGATCCTGGCCCTGCCACTTCTTGCACTGTGTCTGTGGTCAACTTACTTCATTTTCCCCCTCAGAAAATTGGGGACACCCCACAAGGTTGGTATGAGAATTACATGAGTTAATATTTAAAACCACACAGAATGGGGATCACAAATTGGAGGGCTCTGCGACTTGGCAAGCAAGTAGTTTCCCTAGTTCTACTGACATTTTCAACAGCAGCAAATTGATGGGTATCTAGAATAACCTACCATGGTTCGATAGTGCTTTAATTTGTCAGACAACTTTTCCATCATCATCTTTCCAAAAACTGTCATGTCATTCCTACTGGAAGGAAAATATCAGGGCCCCCATTTGAGAGAAAACTGGAGTTCTCACGGGGGAAGAGGTGGCTAGTTCGCCAGTTCCAGAGCTGATTCCATCCAAGCTCCAGGAAACCCGAAAGAGGAAGTGCCGGTGTGGGAGGTATGAAGGGGTGAGATGGGAACTGTGTGTTGAAGTGAGCTGCGACTCCGTTTCGCAAAAAATGGTTCTTAGTCATATTTATGAAAAGTGACATAAACCCAGCCATTTCCGGGTGGAGTCTGAACTGCCACTCCAGAGGAACTGCCTTGCACGTCCCGCTCCTTGAATGTTTTGACTGGGCCAGACCGTTGGACTGGGCTAAACCCAACATGATCTTACAAATAGTTGTTTGTAAGTCCAGTGGGAAAGCAGATACCCTGACCCAAGGACTGATGATTACGGACTCATTGTCTGAAGATGGAATCAGTAGCCCACCATGCAGAGCCAGGAGTAACTCTGTTTGTTAGTGCCAATAGGAATTCTTTCTTTTCACGTCATTATTCTTTTCCTTTTCTCATAAAAATCCCTTGCCTTCGCCTTGTAACCGGGACACTTTGGATTTCTGCCCACATCTGTGTCCCCAAATTCCAATTATTTGATCCCAAACGAACCCCTGTTGCCTCTCATTTTGGCTTTTTTAGTTTAACGTAGGCTGCCTGTAAGTTTCACATGCTGAAACATCAACTGCCCAGCAAACGCAACACCTGCAAGTGTGGTGCAGATGCCAACTCAGAATCTCCTGGAATTCACCCGATGCAACCTGAACTACACCCTCTCCAACTTAGGTCACTGGTTTCAGCGTAGTGATTTGATGGGCTGTTTAAGCCAGGGCTTGAACACAAGATAGGTGCACCGTAGTGTTTATCCTGTCTTTACAGTAGGGTTGCTGCCATTTTTTTTTAACATGAAAACAATGTTGTGATGAGTAACTGTGTATATAATTTTGTACATGTATATGCGTATGGGTAGTTTGTATTCCAAGGAGTGAGGCTGCTACTTAAGTAAGTTGATAGTGCCAGGTTCTCCTTCACAGGGAATTAGAGCATTCTGTATTCCCACCATGGGAAAATATATTCCCCCACAGATGTGCCAACAGAATGTTACCAAACTGTAGGATTTTTGTCAACCTGATAGATGACAAATGAAACCTTAGTTTAATTTGCAGTTCATGATAATGGAGATTAAGCTCTTTACCAGAGTGTAAGGGACACTTGGTATGTTTCTGTGATCTGTCTGTTCACATCCTGGTCCATTCTTCTATTGAGTTGTTGGTCTTTTTATTTTTAAAGATTTTATTTATTTTTTAGAGAGAAGGAAAGGGAGGAAGAAAGAGAGGGAGAGAAACATATATTATTTGCCTCATACACGCCTTGACTGGAGACCAAACCCAAAACCCAAGCATGTGCCCTGATGGGGAATCAAAAGAGCGACCTTTCATTTTGTGGAATGACGCCAATCAACTAAATCACGCCGGTCAGCACGGTCTTTTTCTTTTGAATATCTAGGACTCCTTATATAGCAGAGAAATTAGAATGGGGTCAATTTTACTCAACGCATTACAGAACTCTAGCTTTAAAAGAGTCTTAAAAATGTTATTCCTGCCACCCTCTGCTCCTTGGAAACTGAAATCTCCTATTCCTAATCAGGAGAATTTGATTTAGTTTTCTGACTTAAAAGTACTATCTATTCATTATAGAAATACAGGAAGAAATTTAAAACCTCCGTGTTCACACTCCCTATATTCTTTTCTAAGTATGTACCTATAAAAAAGGACCATCTTTCCCTGTCACAGCACCACCTCCCAGAGGTGGCCATCACCAAACGCCAATGGTTGGTTGCGTGTTCCCCACGTTCTCCCCCACAACTTAAGCCGTATCTAAAATTTACGGGGCACAAAATGTTTCATTTCAGCAATATCCTTTCCACTGTTGCTTCTCCACAGAGCAAAGAAACAAACAAAAATGGGGTCATGTTAGGGACTGTGATCTATGCAAACCTAGTATCCTTCCTGGGCTCAGGGTCTTTTTAAGAACAGGGCCTTCTGAGAGGGCCGGGGAAGAGCAGGTTCCTGCTTATCCTACGGGGTAACGCGCTGCCGTCTCAAACTATGTGATCCTAGGCTCCTTTGTAAACGCTTTGGCCCTTCCAAATTAAGCCATTGGTTCGAAAGTATTTTCACTTCCATTGGTCACACAACAGGAACAACAGAAAACACTTGAACGTGTTGGTAATTTTGTCAGAATTTGTATTTGGAAATAAAAATTCATAATAACGAATGTTTACAAAATCATCATGTTACATGCTTCATTTACTTAGAAAAAGTTACAGAGTAGAAAAAAAATAGCTGTCCTTTATAAATGCAAGTTTCTCTCTCCAAGGAAACGCGAGCCCACGTGCGGATGCTGTGACGGCTCTTCGCTCCCCCCCGAGTGAGGGAGGAGGCTTGGAGCCCGGCCCCCCGGGGCTGGGCTGCACTGCTGCCCCCCTCGCTGCCTTCAGTTTCCCCGGGCACCAAGGAGGGGCAGGAAGGCTGGATGGCTGCTAAAGTCCTGTGCGTTGTGGTCCTTTCATTTCAGAGAACAGTATATAATTGTAACAGTATCGTTGTCCTTGGATCGTAAACTTCAGCGGAAAATGACACGCTCAAACATTTCACTACGAAGGGTACTATGGAAATTATTGTCACTGTCACCATCTTTGGAAATTTTCCATTTCACAAGTCTCTGATTTGGTTCAGTTTCTTGGGGGGTACTGCCTTGTGGACACTCTCCACGCACAGCAGGACACAGGAAGAAACTGGAGGTCTTTCCCTGAAGCTATAGTCTGTGGTCCTGCGTCGATGACACAGGCTGTGCTGTATCTCTGCCAGGCCCAAACCACCTCCGACTTACAGAGTGCCCCACTGATTCGTTTACGATTTCTCCCCACTTTTGCTATTTATCCTAAAAGCTGTACTTTAGCATGTTCTGATGGAATTTCTCCAATTCACGATGCTATCGGTTTGATCAACAGTTCTAGGTGTTAAGTACCTAAGAGCTCTTCCGAGTGCAAGGGACGAACACAGGACACATGAGCGGGGGCGGGGGGGGGGGGCGGGCGCGGGGGCACTGCCTTGGAGCGCTTCATAGTTCTGACTGCGTGTCCCTCCCGTTAATGACGCAAGCAGCCTTAAAGCTGTCTGCTTAGGTTTCTCACACTTTCAAGTAGAACAGTTTTCTATATTAAACATGATTCTTTACGGTACAAACATGCTTAGGACAAACATGACAAAACCGTATGCTCAGATAAATAATCTCAAAACACAGCTAATGTTTATCCAAATACCAATTCCACAATCAAGGTCTTCACACCATGCACGTGGCTCCCTAAATTCTAGATACTTTGTCCTATCACCGTACATTATTCTAGCATCATTTCTGTAGTCTGGTGAAAACTAGGTTGCGTACTTTGTAAACGAGAGTATATCGATACCATTGAAATTCATTACTCAATGCTTAACTCTGGCCGTAATTACTCGAAACTTCACGAACATAGAATTACTAAAACTTGCCAATTATGAGGGCTGTTAAGTTACAATCAGTTCCTCTCACAATTGCGCCACTACCATTTATTTAGTCCTAATTCAATTCAATTTCGACCACCTGATTCTGAGTATGAGGTAACTTCATGGTAGTTCTATTGCTATGAAGGTGGCATGTTTCAAAGTACAAACTGTGGTACCAGATTAGATTTAAATGATGGGAAATACAGTATTAGTTACATCATTTCCCTCGTTTGGCATAGAAACAAAAAACACCCAACACACATTTCTTTAGTGATAAAAATACAGCTCTTTTGTGAGCAAAGACACAATGCACGGAATCTGTTTCTTTGCATGAAAATTAGCGTCGAAGGAAAAGGACTCAAACTCGATGGCCACCTTTCGGTTCACCCGCGTAAGGATGTGCATAAGCTCCAGCTTGTGAGCGTACCGCTTCAGCATCGCGCAGAGTGCCTGGATGAACCAGGACCCATCCTTGGAATTCCGCCAGGAATAGTAACCTGCAAGGCAAAGTGCAACCCAAACGCCATGAGTATCTGATGATAAACTACGACATTACCGCGACACTAAAACAAGCATAAGCTCCCATAGGTACTGGTAGCCATAAAAAGAAAAAATAAATGACAGCTTCAGTTTCAGGGAAATGACGCAGGAGAGGAAAAAACCCAAAACAGAAATGTGTGTTGTGCAGACACCGCTGCTTCCTGTGCACCGCTCCCTGTGCAAGGGAGAAAAAAAAGCTGGACAAGCTTCGCCAGCGAATGACTGAGAGGCCCACTTCCTGGGCTTCCCTCCCACAGGGGGAGGGCAGGCAAGCACGCGGACGAAGAGGCGAAAGGGCCGTTACGCGTAGCAGGGAGTTACCTCAGATTATGGGCTTATCCAAAAAATAAACTGTTTATGTGCGCCACACATTGGCGTGTCTTAAATTTGTCTACAGTCAGGCATCCTAATAAAGTAACACATTACAGAGTAGTCAAGTCCACAGTGGGAAAACGGTGTGTTTATTGTACTTTTTTCTGTCATTCCACTTCTACCCTCTCATGTGCTATTCATCAAAGAATTCCTGGAAAACATGCCTCTTCCCTATTCCAAGAAGTGGGTGAGCTCTACGTTGGCTTATATCACAATATAGAATCCTATCTGACATTAAGTCCATGAATGAAACTGTGTGAGTTGCTTTCTTACATATGCATCCTTTCTAGCCAAACTTGGCTAAAAACCACTTTTTGATACTACTCTGCAGTTAATGTACCCTAAAATACAGACAAGTTAGCTATTTTTTATGGATATCAAAATCTTTTTTTTTTTTTAAAGATCTCTTTTATTTTTGGAGAGAGGGGAAGGGAGGGAGACAGAGAGGGAGAAGAACATCAGTCAGTTGCCTCTCGCACACCACCAACCAAGGAAGCGAGCCCACAACCCAGGCATGTGCCCTGACCAAGAATCAAGCCAGAGACCTTTTGGTTTGTGGGATGATGCCCAACCCACTGAGCCACACCGGCCAGGGCCGGATGTCAGAATCTTGACAGTCTTTGGAACTGCCTCGACATTGCTTAAAATCTACATAGGACACCCAGGATTTGTAACGTTCGTACCAGGGGCCGTAGAATACGCGTACAGGAAGTCTGCCTCAACCGGTATTTTCTGACACGTGATGTCCTCGTCGACGCTGCTGTCCGTCTCGATGCCACAGTCCAGTTCCGTGCCCCGGCAGGCCTGCGGGTGAGGGAGGAGACGTTTACTTCTGGGAAGTGCGTACACCGCAACTAATTTCGAAGAAACGTGAGGGCTATGTCAAAGTTGATGTTAATTATGTAGAATCTTTTTGAGGTAAGTCCAAAATTAAAATTTACTCTCTATCTCCTCGTGGCAGTTAAATAATAAAGTAACAATAGTTCAGTAGCTCCAGGGATAAAATCCTTTGGATAATCCACAATTGAGTGAATCAATCCTCAACACATCCTTAATAACCAAGCTACTCGATTATGTATTACCTGAATAATGAAAAGCTTGGGTTTTCCGGTTAGACTTTTACAATGATCCCCTCTGAAAAAGCGTGTTAAGTCTTTCAGCTCAACAGATCCATTAGTTCCAAAAATGACTCCTTCATCCCCATGGCTTAGAAGCACACAAACAAAACTGCTCCTTTTGCTGTGGTCTTCTTCAGAAACTGTAAAAACATTTACCAATAAGGAAAACAACAACAAAAAACCCCGACAACTTCATTCACCAATCTCATAGATACTATATGGCAATAAGATGAATGATAAAATTTCTGTTATGGGAACATATTATTTTTATACATTTTCCCCAACTAAGAACTAAGAGATCATCTAAACCAAACTCGGGGCAAAGCCATATACCTCAAACTGTTTTAGAGGGCTGGAATGAGTAACTTTTATCTTACTCACATGAGATATCTATATATCTATATATCTCATGTATAGATATACAATCTGTATAGGGATTTTTTTCCTCTCCTGCATCATTTCCCTGAAACTGAATATCTACTACATGTAAATAGCAGAGCTATTTACAGTGTAGTTCTACAATTCTTATGTTTTATTATTATACGTATAATTATAGCTAGATCTTGGACAATAAAATTGTCCTTGGATAAAACTGGACAACGAAGATCATTTAATTTTTTCTCACCGCTGCGCATCAATTCCACCATTTCTTCTTTTGTAAGATCGTTTTTGTTCCTGACTTCGTATTTCAAGTTCATGAATGTTTCCCTGAGGTTTGCCGCATCTACGTCTGTACCAGACCGAGGCGTCATTCCTTAGAACAGGAAGAATTACTATTAATTGTAGTTTTTAAAAAAGATTAACTGCTCTGAAATGAACTATTCAGTGATTCACACAATCCACAATAAATTTCCTTTCAAATGCTAAGAAAATTCAATTATTCTTATCATAGCAATGGTCTTTTTCATTTCTTAGCACGGTAGACATTTTATAATTAAGCTACATCAGTTTGTCATAATGTAACCAATGCCAGTGTGGTACAGTCACAGTGATATCTTTCCTGGTTGCTTCGGGAGAAACAGAAACAACTTAAATGCCTAAAGAGCCGTTTGTTTAAATAAGTTACAATTCATTTATATAATGGAATACTATGTTGCCATTAAAATTTGCCAGGGGAAATGGTCATTTTTTTAAAAAAAGACTGGAGAATGACAGGATCCTCCTTTTGTATAAGAAAAAATAGTATGTATCTAACAAAACACACATCTCATACACTCAGAGGAACTATACTTCTCTGATTTTTAAGTTCCTCACAATTTTAAGAGACATGACTACTTTCACACTGTCTTTTCAGGAAGCACCCACCCACCACTACCACTGAACACTGTTCACCAGCCGTCTGCCCTGGGTCATCTCCCTGAACCCTCCCAGCCGCCGTGAGACAGTTGTCATGACTGGCTTCCTTTGCACAGATGTGGGACACGGAGCACACAGGAGTTCAGGAACTTTGTGGAAGGAACAAAGCTAATGGTAGACCTTTACCCAGGGGTCCTGGGCTTTCATCACTCCTTTATAGTACCTTCCCATAAACGTACAGTTGGATTGTATCAGGCACTCAGATTTGGAATACACCATAGAACTGAGTAAATTTAGTATCCATAAGTAGGGAAAAAAATATGTCTCGCTCTGGCTGGTGTGGCTCAGTGGACTGAGTGCCAGCCTGTGAACCAAAGGGTCACTGGTTCGATCCCCAGTCAGGGCACAGGCCTGGGTTGCAGGCCAGGTCCCCAGTGGCAAGGGGGTGCACGTAAGAGGTAACCACACACTGAAGTTTCTCTCCCTCTCTTTCTCCCTCCCTTCTCCTCCCTGTAAAAATAAGTAAATAAAATCTTTTTAAAAAGTCTCTATCTCCAAAATATTATTTCTGAGTAGTGTGATTATGAGTGATGTTAATTTTTTTTCTTTGGCTAATCTATAATTTCTGAAATTTCTATTATGGGTATATGTTATTTTTATACATTTCCCCCAAGGTTTTACTATTGGAAAGGTTAAGGACATGGAGATTGAATTGTGGTCCTAGTCTGCGGGCACTTAGTAGCAGGACAGAAAACCTGCCCTTCAGACCATGAAGCGGAAGAGAAGCTCACTCTACGGCCAAAGTCATGCTGTTGGCCTCAGCATGTTTTAGGGGCAGAGTGGAATGACAACTGCTTAAAGCACAGCTTCGACGATGTAAGATTCTACAGGAAGAGGAAACCCTAACCAGCAATACAAGGGAGGCCGACGAGGCAAGCAGGCTAAAAAGGCAAAGGCTGCCGAGGGGCAGGGCGGAGACGCCGCCATACAGGCCGGCGGCTGGCTGTTGGAAGAGGAGACATTGTGACAATGTGGAGAAGACTAAGAGTTCATTTGCGCTGAGGAACCCGCGGAGTCCTGCTCTGTCTCTTACTTCATGGCTACTCTGTGTCATAGTTTAACAACATCTATACTATTCTGTCACATTACACCAAATATAAATGGTACAAATACTTGAAGAGTTAAAAATTATGTTATGATACATACCAGTATTTTTATGAAAGTTCTTATTATTGATTATTATGCATACGCCCATTTCAGGATAATCCATTTTGTAACTACTGTCCAAGGATATTCCAGAGTCCAGTGACTTGCTGCCATGTAAGAGCTTTCTGTATGGAAATCAAACAATGGTTTACAAAGGTACAAACGACCGATGCTGCTGGGCTCGTTAACACCACTCGATGACAAATGACAGGTAAGAACAGTTAACATTTGCTGAGCCCATTTCACAGGTGAGGACACGACCGCCGTGAGGCCCAGCGCCGAGCTGAGGCCCAGTAACGCCGACAGCGGCAGGGCCGCGGCTGAGAGCGTGGGCTGCGCCGCGCAGGCTTTTAATCGCTGTCCTTCCTGTTTCCTCTCCTTCTTATTAAAACGCCATCAGATACGTTTTATACTTTAAAAAATCCCTTGTAACTTTGTGAAATATTTTATCTCTCAAGGTAAGAGTAAAGTCTTAAAAATTACCCTGAAATGACAGGAAACCAACAACAGGCAAACATGCATCAAAGCACAAGATTTAACACAATTCCTAAATTGTTCCTGAAAACCTATGAGCTGAACAAATTAATAACTTATTACTACACAGAATCACTACTGTAAGTCATTGAGAAACCTCTGTTATCTACACCAGAGGCAGTAAACTTTTCCTCCAAAAGGGCCAAATACTGAGTACTCGAGGCTTGCAGGGCCCAGTGCAAGCGGCAGCTACTCCGTTCTGCAGGTGAAAGTAGCCCAGGGCTATAAGTAAAGGAGTGTGTGTGGCTGTGTCCCAGGACAGCCTGACCAAAGTGGAGTGCGGCCTGACCCCTGACCTAGACCACGAATCAGGAAATAACAGGGCTGGTCACGGACACACATGGCTCTCTGCAGTCCGAGCAGCCCTGTACTGCACCTGACACCATTTCACCCCACACACGATTCTAAAACAGTTGTTGGAAAAAGATTAAAACAGTACATTGTAAACTAAAGAAGTCAATGTCAGGAACAGACTATTACACTTAACGAAAGGTGACGATACCCACGTGTTACAGATAAGAACATTAAAACTCTGAAAGCTGAGTGACGTGTGGAAGGCCACGAGGATAAAGGACCAGAGAGCTGCAATTCCCCACCCCCTCTGGCTGCCTCCTGGCGGGGCAGGTGCTCCTCCAGGGCAGCAGCAGAGCTCGACTGGGTGGGGCTGTGCCTGGGAAAGAGCAGAGACCCCCAAAGCCTAGCAACGCGAGACTTCGCCACAGGGTCACAACAAATCTCCATCTATTTTGGGTTCCCGTGCAGTTTGCTATTAAATTATGTTCTGTAGGATATGAAAAGGTAAGAAGATGTGTATATCACTGTAAGTGGGTTTAGAAAAATAAAACCCCTCTAAAATGAGATTGTATTTCAAAGTTTAATTTCTAGGAAAATTCCATTGCTAAGCAATCATAGTTAAATTCTTATTGGTAACCTGTTAATAGTATTGCTGTTGTTTAGTAGTAGAATTAGTCTATAATTCCCTGGATGGTCCAGAATAATACTGCTAGGTCTCAGAAATAAAGTTTTACAATTAAAAGTATCATAAGAGATCCCAAAGGGATAATAACAGGCAAAATTGCAGAGTGTTATCTTTTTCCTTTCTCTGTCTGCTGGTTATTGGAAGCATTCATGCACAGGCTGTGCCAAACAGAAAGAAAGAGAAAATAAATGGTATAACCAGGCAATTCTTCCCCAGGTTGAGAACTGCCATTTCATTTTAGTCTTAAAACTCATAAACAGCAGGCCAGAAAAGACTCCCCCAAACACAACAGCTCCCACCCTGCAGGGCAACTTGGATGGCACAGCAGCTAGCTGCCCCTCCTGTGAGGTCCTGCTGCTTCCGGGGCGGGGCTTCCGAGTTTGGGGAGTTTGGGCCAGGCACTGGATGTGTGGCCTTTCCCTCGATCTTACCCACCGTTCCGTGGAATCTTTATTTTAAAGGTGAGATTTGTTGCCCTGGCTGGTGTGGCTCAGTGGACTGAGTGCCAGCCTGCGAACCAAAGCGTCACCGGTTCGGCTCCCCATCAGGGCACCTGCCTGGGTTCCTAGGCTGAGGGCCAGGCCCCCAGTAGGGGGCGTGTGAGAGGCAGCCACACACTGACCTTTCTCTCCCTGTCTTCCTCCCTTCCCCTCTCTAAAAATAAATAAATAAAATCTGAAAAAAAAAGGTGAGATTCAGAGGAAATAGGTTAACATGTTGTAAAGCCACATAGCTGTTCAGGTAGAAAGCACTGTTCCTCCTGCTTCCCCACTCCTCCCAGTCTGCTGCATCACAGCCGTCTTTTCTAACGATACAAGGAATCCATTTATTAAATACTCACGTTTCTGAATTTTTAATGGACTTTGAATCCACTGAGTTTTCGGTGTTCTCCATGGGTACTTTTATATACTAGAGTATAAAGAAAATAGAAGTTAGTCAAAATCAGTCACTATAAGATCACTGCACTATATTGATTATTTCTCCAAACTGATACATAACGTGGCCCTTGTCACACAAGGCTGCCCTCCGCCCTCTGCTGCATCTGTGTGGTTAAAGGCTCCTGTGCGTCAAACCCGAGAACAAGCCTTTGTAAAGGTGTGTGTAGTGTAGCCTGTCTCCCTCTCAATCTCTTTCTTTTTTAACTAAGAATAATTACAGATTGATAATAAGATGGTAGGGGCTATGCAGAAAATAAAACAGGGTACAGTAAAAGAGAGACCGGAGTGTGAGCTGCTTTAGCTACGGTGGTTGGGGAAGTGATCTCTGAGGTGATATTTATATTGACATCTAAATGGCAGGAAGGCAACCAATAGGGGCTGTCCTTGCTGGGGGAAGGACAAGCCAGTACAAAGTCCCAAAAGAGTCTGGTGTATTCGTGATGCAGAAAGACCAGCTTAGCTGGTGCATGGTAAAGGGAGGGAAGGCATGGAGGGAAGTGGAGTGGGAAAGGCAAGGTCACACAGGTTTTTCCTTGGGAGCCAGGAAAAACGTCGATTCTCCGGGAACTGCCAGGGAAACCCTGGGGGTGTTTGAAGCGGAGAGGCAGCAGGCTGCGAAAGGGCCGCCCTGACTGCTGGGTGGAGGAGAATCAACTGTAAAAGGCTGGAGTAGAAGCACGCAGGCCCATGGAAGGCCTTCTGGAATAGTTCTGGCACGTGATGACGGCAGTCTGAACGAGGGCCGAACAGCAGGTACCGGTGGTTAAGAGGCTGGAACCCAGGGAGAGATCAGGGCTGGAGAAGTTCTGGAGCGCTCCGGTACTCAGAGGGCTGCCAGAGGCGGCAGGGCCAGCAAGGGGCTAAACAGAGGCTGGTGGGGCGGGGTCCCGTGGATGCGGTCCACAAAGCATGCAGAAGTGTCTCAAGGAGTGCTCCACTGCCTCACATCTTACTAAGAGGTCAATTCAGAGCAGGACAGAAGACCACTGGCTGAAGGTCATGGGTCTAGTGGGGACTGTCAGGGAAAACTGTCCACGACTTGGAAATGGGCAAAGGAAATTTCTAGATATAATTTCTGTGCGGTGCTGGGCATTGTCTACATGCTACAGGAATCTCAGGGATTATCTGATCTTACAAGGTATCCTGTCTTTACTGAGAGATGAGATAGTTTTGTTTCAGAAAGGTAGTTGGTGGAATTAAAAAAAAAAAAACCATGAATTTTTTCAGAATAGGATTTAAAACAGTGCCTTACTATTGGATAAAGATTTCTCAGGAACAAATGCTCCATGTGTTTTGTCCCTTCATTATTAATATCTGAATGATTTCCACTGCAACAGTATCAGTCGACCTTTGTATAGCACTAAAAAATTGTATAACATTTGCTCCGCGACTATCGCCATCTGCCTCTGCGGCGTGAAAGCACCAACTCCTCTCTCCTGGGAGCTGGCTTCCTGCAGAGCAGGCGGAGGACGCAGCATTATCTCACACCCATCAGCTAAGGCCTGGCCGCGTGGGTTGTTCTGGGGATAGTGATCTCATCTTAGAAGGATAAAAAATAAAAAATTACCCTCAAGGGAAAATTTCATGCTCTAGATGATGACAGAGTTTAGGTTCTTAGAACACTTTCATTTGACAAAACATAAATAGGAAGATATACAATAGGGGTTTTAAAATATATATCCTGGCAAAGCAGTGACCTAACACTATTTGTTTTTGACTGGACTGATGTAATTGTTCCCATCAATTCAGGATGCTGATGATAATAAATAAAATTTCTAAACACCTATTAGGTCCCAGAAAAGTTCTAAGTATACAGTTGAAGCGAGACTCAACCGGAACTTGGGTCTCAGAATCTCCTCTAGTACCTAGATCCCTTTAACAACAGTCAGAACTGCAACAATCAACACAATAATAAGTAAAGCAGCATAAATCATCTACAAGTTAAGGTGGAGGAGTAAAAATTAATTTCTAAAACTGAAATTTCAAAATGAAGTTATAAAGTATTAAAATTTTGATTTAAAAAAAGCCACAAACAACCCTGGTTTGAAAATGACTAGTTTGGAAGTGTGAGGATGGTAGAGATTTTACAATGAGACGTTCAACTGGCACAGCCAGTGTGAGCGCAACCCCTCCCCAGCTAGCCTCCCCCGCAGGGGCTGTTCCTGGCGCCTGGTCTCTGCCCGAGTCTCAAAGTGAGACATAAGAGCAAGCACTGCTCATTTTTTAATCATCACCACCAATATGACTCTTTAAAAATGTATATGATTTACCAAAAGGGGCATCCAAAGAAAAGGTCAAAAAATCACAATGCCATATGTGACTTGAGCGTTGGGTACAACGTGTTGTATAATAACAGTTCCTTTTACTACTGACTCATACAGGCCAGACTCAGGTAGAAGGTACCTTATGCGTGTATTATTTATTTACGTGTCCCTCGTTAGGCCTTCCAGCCATGCTGAGCTATGATCATCCCCACTTTACAGCCCAGCGGACTGAGGCTTAGCGCGGCTGAGCAACTTTTAAGTGGCAGGAAGGCTTGAAAGGCAGCCTCCCACTCTTGTACACAGCTTAGTAATACACAGAAAGCATAATACCATCAATAGTTTCAGAGACGGAGACAAAAATACATGACCCAGAAGCTCTAGTTAAGATGAGACAAGGCTGGGTGGCTCAGTTGGCTGGAGCATCTAAAAGTAAAATGAATTTCTTTGGGGACTTATAAGAAGCACCAAAACTGGATGTTGTCACTGGACCTGGTAAAGTTGATCTTTTAATATTTATTTTGTAATGAAGGTGAAAACACACTACAGGCAAATAAAATTAAGCACAAGGAAATTAAGTTCAGTTGTTCCACACAAACAAAAACCAATGAGAGACTAGAGTGCTGCCCACCATTCGAAGCCACAAGCCTGGCAGGTCTGCCTTCTGCTCACCTGAGGTCCTAACATAGTATCTTTGTGGGGACAGAAGGAGAAATGGGAAAGTCCTTGGAGACCTAAGTCTTCTGGATGATATACAGAAGATCTTGGGAAGGGAAGGATCTTGGGTACCTTTTCTAAAAATCAGAAAACCTGTAAGGCCTCCTCCCTCCCGCTGAGAACCACTGAAGCGGACTTGGGTTGCCAGCCACCTGACTATGTGAATTCTGGCTGCCGGAGAAGGTTTGAACCTGAGAAAAGTTAGTGTCAGCAGTATTGATTCATTTGTCCCATAATAATTTACTGAACACCAACTGTGTGCAGAGAACTGTAGTAAAGCCCGAATGTATCCAGCAGGAAAAGCGACGGTGGTCCCATCCCTCTGTGGGACTCCTGCCAACGCTCACTGGTCTTCGAGGACGTGGCAGAGACCGGGCGTGCTTGTGTTTGTGTCGGATCACGCTATCTTATCTGTGATCTTACTCTACCCCAACTCAAAAACTCTATTAGCAATTGGAAGGCAAGAACAAAACAGGCAGACAAAATAACATTACACAGAGATTTACAAAGCGTGGTCACAGACATCCCATTTTGTACTCAAACAACCTCACAAGGTGTATGTATGTTACTTACGCCTACTTTATGGACCAGCTAGTAAGTATAGCCCTTGGTACTCGGCCTCAGGCCACCTGACTACAGAGGACCTATTCCTCTCCGTTAACATTAGCATTCCTATCCGTTAAATGTTCGATACAAACAGTAGCAAACAGTGTATGAATTCCTGTATCTTTTTCCAGGCCAACAAACACCAGTGCTTTTCATCTTTGAGGCAGAGCTTTAAAAACTATCCAATACTACCCACCAGAACCGATTTAATGCCATTCATGAAAATAAAGACTGCTTTCTAGCATCAGAAGGGGGATGAAGCAGTAAGAGATTGTGTTAAATTCGGTTTGAAAGCAAAATGGCAAAGAAGTATTGTAAATGTCTATATCAGATAAGAAGTCAGTCTTCTAAAACCGCAGGAGGCAAGGCTTTTCTTCAGGATAGCAAAAGCAAATCTGATTTAATTAGGTACAGTGTTTCATCTCTTTTTTTTTTTTACCATGAATAAGTTTTATTGCCAAACTCCAATAAATTGTTCATTCATTCATTAAAACACAACGTAACTTTCAACAGTCTTCTTTTGGATATGAGCAAAGCAAAACCAAGGCTCAAACATCAGGGTGTGAGAGCAACGATTTACGCTTTACATTTCATTCTTAGAGACCGTGTACGTACAACACGTTCACACTAGCTGAGCACACTCTGATACAGGCTGGTCTAACCACTTTGCTTAGCACCTATTACTATCTTGCACACTCACATTGTTACAGCAACTCCGTATTTCACCCCTTACCATTCCATTGTAATCCACACCTTTTAATTAGAATTTGCTAAGTAATCCTACAACAAGTTTATTTTTTCTGGACAGGGCATACTTACTAAAAAGCATAATTTTGTTGTGTGGGCATTTGTTATGGGGAAAGACAATAAGGAAAAAGAGAATGAGATAAACAGACCCCCATGAAATTTGTTTACAGGCCAGTAGGAAAGACAGTATACAAGCAACTGCAAAGGATATTACTTTTCCCCCTTAGGAAATGACACACACAAAAGGCATATATAACAGGAAAGCTCAATGCTTACATGTTTAATGAGAACAGAAGCATAAGTAAAAGTTCCTCAAGCAAATGTGATGTGACGGAGGGAGAGAGGCAGTGCAAGAGCGTTTCAGGCGCAGGATGGGTATGAAGATCCGAATGGCTATGCAGAAAGTGAAAAGGTGCTATAACAAAAGGTAAGGCAGGGGAGGAGACCGCGGAGCCAACCTGTGCTTGGCTTTGTCAACCATGTTCAGGACCTGGGTTTATCCCACAGGCAAAGAAGCAGCTTTCTAGATTTTTATTTTGGGAAGACCTCTCAGCGTGCCTCCCCAGGATGCACTGGTGAGGGGCAGAAGGTATACGGTTCTGGAAGTGTGGAGACCAAGGACGAGCTGCTGTAGCCAGGTGAGAGCCTACGGTCGCTTGAGCCAGTGATGCAGAGAACTGGACAGATCTAGTGGACATTTAGGTCAAGGAGGTTTGGTGGCTAACTGGGGAAGGAGCTGGGAGTGACAGTTAAGACTGTTTTTGTCTGTTGGCTTGGGTGTCACAAGGAAAGCAGCAGCTGCCCGAGGAGCAAGACACATTAAAAAGAAAGAGTGACCAGGGCGAGAAACGCACCCTTATTCAACATGGCCTGGAAGAGGGGGGCGGGGGTGCATTTCAAAGCAGCTCGCAGGTGACTTTGGCTTTGGATACATAGTCACAGGGCTGAGCTGGAAGGATTCACGAGGTCTGAAAAGGAAATGGAGTTTCAAGTTTTCAAATTACTTCTCTGGAAAACTGAGTCACACAGTCAAAGCGAGAAAATCTAAGCCCGAGACAGGGTGGTTAGCAAAGACCAAACCCTCTTCCAATAATGCGAGGATCAGCCCCGAGGGCCAGCGCCCCAAACACAGCACCACATCTGCCTCCTGCTCTACGGCCGTTGTTTCTCGCCTTAGTTCTTCCACTCCACCCTTCTCGATCCAAACCTCAGCCTGTGGTCCTGGCCACTCTTAACTTTCCAAGCATCCGCTGCCTGTCGCTCCCGGGCCCGGCCTCCTCGCCTTTCCGCACCGGGCTCCGCGACCCGGGTGCAGCCTCCTGCTAACCGGGCCTCGGCGCCCCCGCCCGGCCTCCCGCCCACCTCCCTGCCCCTCACCACCGGCCTGGACTCTCCTAGCTCGACCTCTCGATCATCGGCCCGGCCTCCACATCCCCGGCCCGGCCTCCCGCCCGCCTGCCCCACTCCCCGGCCGGGACTCGCTCTCCGGGCTTCAGTGCACGTCCCCGCACCCCTCGGCGTTGCAAAAACAAAGGATCCGCTGCCTGGACCGTGCCCGTCTCCTCCGTCACCTCGGAGCAGCTGCAGGCGCGGGCAGGTCCCAGCGGTGGGCGCTGGGCTTGGAAGGATGGAGGGAGCGGGTCCAGAGCTGACGGCCCCGCGGCGAGAAGGGGCGAGAGCAGCACTCACCGCACAGCAGCCACACAGGAGCCAACCACTCGCCCCTCTCCGCGCCTCCAGGGTGTCTGCACCCGGGCTGAAGGAGGCTGGCTGAGCCGCGCTGGCCCCGCCCCCTCAGCGCCGCGCGCTTCACCCGGAGCCGACACGTCACCGGGGGGCCGAGCGCGCCCCGCCCCGCCCCCGCCGCTCCCTCATTGGCCCGCGCACTCCCGCCTTACCGGGACGCTCCGCCCCCGCGCAGACTGTCTCCCGGTGCCTGCCAGCCGCGGGGAATGGGCGCCTTCCCCCACGGAGCCCGCTTCTGGAGGTAAACCGAGGGGGACCGGAAGGCCGCGCCGCGCCGCGCCGCGGGGGGTGGACCTGACGCCCAGTGCGAACTGCGGCTGGAGGGGAGCGGCCCGCGCCCCCCGCCGGCATTCTCTGCAGCCCCTCCGGCGACCTAAATCAAAAGCCTGAGCTGCCCCGCCCGGTTCCCCGCCCGCTGGGCGTCGCGAACCCCTTCCGACCCGACACAAACCCTGAATTGTTTTCGCTGAAGACTGTACCAGCGCAATTGGCAACAGTCCTGCATCCGATTTCTAGGCGCTGAGCACGTTCTGACAAATCAGGGACCCCCTGTTAAGGACCGGCGGGCCCCCAACACTAGTGCCTGCTCTGGCGGAAATCCGGGGCGACGTTTTTGTACATAAATGCACGTCGGTAATTATATGCGTGGCGACCATTTGCAGAGTGCTGCTTCTGTGCTCTTGTATTTTCACCTTTTCGTCTTCCAACAGCCCTGGGACGTGGGGGGTTCCAATCCCCACCCGGGCTTAAAAAGGGCAAGGGGGTTGCTTTTGCTAAAAGAAGGGTTAAACAGGAGTTAGGCTCGGATCCCAGGAATAAAATTTAGGCCTTTCTTAATAATCCCCCCCACCCCCCTAATTTAAGAGAGGACCGGCGTTCGCCGTCCTTTTTTGGCTGCAGTAAATCTGGAGCTAGGACCCCCGGGCACCCCTAGCAGGGTCGGCCTGCGGGTGTTTTTGAGGCAGGCCCTGGGAGCGCCCCCTGGGGCCCCCAAACCCTTCGTGCTCGCCTTTCCTACCCAACGATGCCCCAGGTAGAGCAGCAGCAGCAGGAGTTCTCTGTTTCCCCGTGAAGTACATGGATTTACTTGGTCTACAGAAAGTTTATAGCAGGCAGTTAGTTGGAGGCACTGCCTTCTGAGTCAGTAATTTTTTTTTTCTTTTGTATGTGATTTTTATTGCATTCAGTGGGGGTGACATTGGTTAATAGGACCGGGAAGGTTTCAAGCGGCCGTGGCTATGGTGCCTGGTCTGTGTTGCATCGCGTGCCCACCGGCTCAGGTCAGGCCCGCTGCCGTCACCAGTGTTAGTAATGTCTTCGCACAGAGGGTCGCACAGGTGGCAGCGCTTGATCTGGCCGGAGCAGGGGAAGACAACGGGAAAGGCATGGGGGGCCTTGGCGGCCAGGTGCGGGGAGTGTCCTTATCATTCACAAGGTGAGAAGGCTAAAGAGCCAGAAGCGAACGGGGTAACTGGCTTAGGTCTAGACTCTGGACAGAGTCTGCACTCTGGAGCCACGCCGAAGTGCGAACTGAGTGACGCTCTGCGCCGTCGTTCGCTGTCCCTGTCAGCAGTTGTCAGAATGCATTGAAGGGCGGGGAGGCTGGCAGCGCGGAGGCCCGTGGGGATGGTGCACAGCGGGAACGGGAAAAGAGCAATATGTCTTACCCCTTATTGGAGACTTTTAGGAAATTTAAGTAGGCGTTACTTCTTTCCAAGCTTAGGCAGGCAAAGGGAAGTGGCGAAAAAAAACAAAATTCAGGCAATTAATTTTATTTAATTTCTTAAGGTGTTATTCATCTGGAAAGTAAACTTCTATAATAATATTACTATGAATTAATTTTAGTCACATACTTTATTGTGAATACTTGAGCAGTGGAAGCAATAGCATACATGTATACCAAGGGGCCGTAAAAGGGATTATATTAAGAAAACATTGCCAAGTACAAGAACTTTACCAAACACTAGAACTGGAACACATCTGTCAGAAAACACAAAACACCGATATATCAATTCTCAGGGCAGAGGGAAAAATTGGAGTTGGGGAAGAATAATTGACTTGTGATTAGGGAACCCCCCCCCCAAAAAAAAACAAAAACAAAACGCAAAGCCCCCAAAACAAACCAGTTGAGCTGGGCTAGGGACAAGCATGGCAACGGCAGGCTCCAGATCTCCCCTGAAGCCCGTCGTCAGGAGGCCTGTGCCCCTGGTCCAGCTGTTCCCCAGCACCAGGCCTTCAGAAGTCATACCCGAGCACGTCGGCATAAATCTGGAAGGAGGAACCAGGGCTGTGCAGCTTGCGGGTCTGAGTCATCTCTCCACCTCCCTTCTCGATGCCCTTTCTCCCCCTGCAGTTACTCTGTCTTAGAGTAGGCTTGCCTGCTTTCTAGCCTGACCACCTTTAATTGCAAACTTGTATCAAACATGGCTAAGAAAAGTTTCTGGTGCAGTGCTTAGGAATAAATAATAGAGCTCTTAAAAGCCCACTATTTCAAAATACAGCAAATATTTTTCTGTGGAATTTGGAAACTGTTAGTCAAAAACAGTTACGGTCCCTATGTAAAATGGTTTTGCCATACAGTTCTATAAAAGACAGGCAGAACTCTTTCTCCAGCAGGAATTAAAAGCATTTCTGAAATGGTTCTCCCAGGGGGTAGGGATGTAGAATACGATTATCCCAAACCAGAATGCCAAGTGCATTCCTGTTCTTGGGGCCCTTACTTTGCCCCTCTGCCCTCCTGCTGGAATAGTCCAAGCTCCAGTTGTCTTCTCACCCTCAACCCAGCTGTTAAAATTTTCAGACTGCAAATAACATGAGGGCATGACGTTTATTGAGCTCCTCTTCCTACTGTGATTCCATGACTTTCAAGTATGAAACACGCTCGTGGTCGTACCAATATTTTTGCAAAATCAGAAAAATGTTTTCCTGCTCAATGTCATTAAGTGTGACCATCCACATGGTAACCCACATCTGATTGCATTCTGTGTTTATTTGCTTCATTAAGTAATCATTGGGCTTTATTAAACATTAAATTTCATAGAAGAAGGCAGTTTCTCAGTCAGATCGTCTAAATGTGGGGGATTTTTATCTGTATGTGAAGATTAAACTGAACCGAACACTCGGAATCTAGCATTAAGGAGCGAGATCACTTTGTATTGAAAAATTAAAGCAGTTTTATTAAAAATTGCCCCATCTCTTCAGTCCAATGAAATTACATTCTTTTCCTAAGTATATCTGTTATATTTTTTTATTGATTTAAACTTTATAATTTTCATGTGGATTAGCTGTAACTTTGAGAGAAGCATACTCTTTCTTAGGTCTTATGTTTGAAGTTAAATTTGAAATCTATGAATAATATTTATTTTCTAACTATGTCATGACATTCCTACCCTCTCTTAATCTTTTAGGGTGATTCTATTTTTTTTCTTCGAGGGAATATATTGTTTGCCAGTGAGTTTGTGTTATCACAGAATTTTCTGTTAAAATTCCAGAGAATATTTATCAACTTGGCAAGTACAAGTACTGGAAAGACATTGCCAGGGGTAAATAGAAATTTTACCCTCAAATGCCTTAGTATATATCACTATTTCACTTAATAAAAACAGTATATGTGTTTTCTACTTAGAAAAATTAGGATGTAGATAATATTAACCAAGAGGGAAACTTTATCAGTTATCTATTTCTGTTTAAAAACCAGGCCAAAACCTACTAGCCTGAAAAAAAAATTTTTTTCTTACTGTTCTGTGGGCTGACTGGGCTGTGCTTTGGCAGGTGTCACCTGGACTCACTTGGGCCTACTCCTGTACTCCTGCGTGGACTTCAGACGATGCTTGCGTAATCCAAAACGGCCTAACTCACATAACTGGTAGTCGGTGCTGGCTGCTCATGGGGGCGCCTTGTGTCCTCTCTGAGGCTTGAGTGATAGCGTGGTGACCTCAAGGAAGGACTCCAAGGTAGCCCGATACAATGCAAGAGCACTTATTAAACCTCTGCTTTACTTTTGTTGACGTGACCTGGCCAAAGCAAGTTATATGGCCAAGCCCAGGTTTCAGCGTGGAAATGAGCTAAGGGGGCATCTCATAATGAGAGGAATGGCAAAGAATTTGTGCCCTTTTTGATCTGCAGTAGAAACCCCCTTTGCCCTTTCTGAAAACTTATCCTTTTTCCTTTGTAAATAAAGCATGAATCCCAAGTTGGAAAAGTATTGCGTATTGCCTAGCCTCCTTACCTTGGCATGACTAACATGAAGGCATTGTGTGCAAACAGAAACAAATGTCATAAAAAAACAGGAGTTAAAATACAGCCATTCACATCGACTTATCATAAAATGCAGTCATTAAGTTAACACACATAAGTAAAGATTTATTTATTCCTTTTTAAAATCAGACTTACGATTATTATAGACATCCCAAAGCAAAACTAGCCACTAATGTAATTCCCATTCGTACACTGAGTTATCCTCCCAGCTAACAGTTGTGCTGAGAGGTAAGAGCAACAAACAGAAGCAGAGGAAAGGAGAGCTGAGAACTGCACAGGGGAGCCTAGACGTGAACTCTACACTAACAAATAACAGCACAAGAGTGACGGCCAACGCAGAAAGTAGCACCAGCTGGGGAAGGTAGTGCTTATTGCAATAAAATGGTTATAACAGAAACCGAAATGGTACAAAAACACATCTACATGAGGCTTTGTAATTTACAAAACATTTTCATATGTCTTATTATATTTGTCCTCAAGATAACTACATAAAGTATTCAAAAAGATACCAGTTTTCACTTTGCAGTTGAGTAAGATTCAAGGAGCTTCATTAACTTGTCCAGGACCACAGTGCTCTTAGATGGAAGAGCCAGGGTCTAATGGTTTCTAATACCCAGTTCTGTCCTTGTGTACATTAAAACTTCATGCGAAACATGAAATAGAAAGCAGACTAGGAAATGAGTTTTGAAGTTTTACCAAACAAAATATAGTCTAAACAAAGATGTTAATGTCCTTGCTTTTTTGTCTTAATAGTAATTGATAGAAACTTTACATGGGATAAGATTTAGTCTCCCCACACTCCTGAACCAATGAAGAGAAAATGGGAAGAAAAACTGAAGCAAATTGAAGAAAAAGCATCCCAGTATGAGAGGAACCCATTGCCCTCGGTGTACGCCCCCAGGCTGTACAAGCCAGAAGAGCCATCCCCTGTTTGGCAGCTGTTTCCTCGGCAAACTCAAGCTTTTGATTTTGTTAAAAGCTGTAAAGAGGTAATTTTTTCATCTCCTACGTTTTTGTAGAACTACTGTACTGTAAGATTTCTTTAAAAAACCTATCATTTATGTTTACTTCAGGCCACGTATCTAGCAAAAGAATTTAATTGTGGTCTTAGTATCACATGATTTAGGAAAACTGTCCCTATGAATCATTAGCCATTGAGTTTATATTACTAATGAAAAAGAATGATATTATCTACTGCCAATTAGTTTTTAAAAATTGTAATGACATTTAAATGGAGCAGTGCTTTGAGGAAGAGTGACCATATTCATGGACCAAAAAATAATATAATGACCCAGTTTTTAAGAATAAAACTAAAACAATTCAGAAATACAAGGAAATGAATGAGTGGAGTATGAGATTTTTAAGGATGAAATTAGGGAATGGAGAATTGAATTTAAACAATAAGAAATGAAAATGTCTCGAATATTATAGCATAGATTTAATAAACTCTAGAACTTACATCATACAAAGCATACGTATTTATCTTTCTTTTATCTCCTTTTGTGCTTTGGAGTCATAGAGCAGGTTTATCTTTAACAATTTCCAACACATTAAGCAAGTGGAAAGAAGTGCTTGCTACGTGCTAGCTAGACTCACAAGGGGCGTAGTGCTCACAAATAATCAAAAACGGATGTGTATTGCACATCCTTTTTTTGGGGGGCAATGAGGGGAATACAAGGAAGTGCAGCAGACCCACGAGCAGGTTTGAATTGTGCGGGTTCACCTGTTCCCAGATTTTTTTTTAGTATATACTATAAATATATTTTCTCATTTTTATAATTTTCCTAATAGTTTCTTTTCACTAGCTTACTTTATTGTACAAATACAGTGTGTAATACAAGCATACCTCATATATTGGGGTTTGGTTCTAGACCACCACAGTAAAGTATTTCAGTAAAGCAAGTGGTGATCTTGCTGGTGGTGGAGGGTCTTGCCTTCAGTTTATAAAGCACCCACCTGTGAAGCGCAGTGAAGTGAAGGGCAATAAAACAAGATGTGCCTGCACATATACAAAATGTGTGTTAATTGACTGTTTTTGTTATTGGTAAGACTTCTGCTCAACAGTAGATAAGTTTTGGGGAGTCAAAAGTTATACACAGATTTTGACTGTGTGGGTCAATGCGCTGACCCCTGCGTTGCTCAAGGGTCCACGGTTTAATGAAAAGATGCGTACGTGAAATGTAGCATAAATATATTGTGATTCCAATCATTGATGCAACGTAAAAACTCAAAGTGCTACAAGTTTTTTGGGAAGAGGACCCTTCTTTGCCTTGTAAGGAGAAACTCGGATCCTATCAGAATAGTTTAGGAACTATAAGAAACACTTTTCATGCTCATTCTGTGTAAACCAAATTCAGGTATCATAAATTAAAATACTGACAGGTTCATTTGATCTTGAATTTAAAAATATACAGAGGAATATGATTGCTGGATTTAACCAATTACCAGTTTATAAAATTTATCTCAAGATTTTTAACAGGGTTAAGCAACTTAGTTCTCCTTTGATTTCTCACTAATGAAAATGAAGTTAGTCCCTATATAGGTTCAACAGCTACCTTTAGCTAAGTGGGAACTACTTAGGCTAAGAAGAAATTGAGTATTCCTTCATTGGAAGGAGCTCTTTATGGCAGCAGACACAGACAGTTATATCAAGTGCCACAGCAATTAACTTTAAAAAGATTGGTTTCTCCAAGAAAAGACAATTTATAGTTACTTATTAAAGTTAAGCATTATAACACTTCCTCTAAGCTTTTAAGATTGACTTACGAGTATTCCATTAAAAAATTGGTTACCACATGTTTTTATATCTATAAAAGAATTTACTAATATTAGCACATTAATTTATAAAGTTTAGGTTGTTTTATAGATAAGTTTAATTTCATAAACTAGCAAATGAAAATGAAATTTGAAAACTGATTTTTCTCTTTAATTTGAATATTCTAATTATTTCTGTCTTGAACAAATATTACTTGAGTGACTAAGAATAAATAAAGTAACTATGTTTTGATTGGCATAGATCTAGTGATCATTTTTGTTTTTAATATAAATGTTCAAATCCCTTTGAAAATTTGAATAGTAAAGTTCTTTATGAACATTTAATAGCTATAATGATTTTAGGTTTTCATTTTATTAATTTTTGGATACTTTTGATTTTATAAAGGATGTTCACGTATTTGCTTTGGAACGTGAAGTGGGCGATGGACAACGTATTTACCTCGTAACAACCTATATTCAATTTTGGTTTTATTATAAGTCCCGGTAAGTAGTTTGTAAAGGACAACATCTTAAGTTAATTTCCTTCATCTAGTAATGTTTCTGAAATGAATTCAGGCTGAATTGGCTTTGATAGTTCTCAATCACATCATTAGTCACTACCCCCTTACTATTAGAATTGAATTCTGGAGCTTCCTTGTCATAGCAACATTGAATTACCTCACCAAGCTTTGGGAGAAGGGGGGGAGAGAGAGAGAGAGAGAGAGAGAGCGAGCGAGAGGTGGAGAGATGGAGAGAAAGAGTGTGTGTTGAGTTTCCGTACTGTCTGTGCCAAAGGATGACACAATTCCCTCATCACTTTTCCTTGTCCAGATTACTGGAAGCCTTGTACTTGTGTGCTTGTGTACTGTGAAGCCATCCAGACTTCACTGAGCCCAAGTTACCATTTACTTACTAAGTCAGCATCTGTTCTTACTAACCTTTGTGAAAGTTATACCTGTTGAAGCCAGCAAGAATGTAACTGCAAACGTGAGCATTGAAAGCTCATTCAAGTTAGGTGATTCTGAATGTTTTTAACTAATTTTTAAAATTTTATTTTCCTAATGAAAATACATAAATTAAAAATTCTCATTAAAAAGTTCATGGGATCCTAAGAATATGTAATTTTGGGATCCAACTTGAGAAAGTTCTCAAACAAAATTTGCTTCATGGTGACACCAAAAAAAAATACTGAAGTGTTATACAATATCAAAATCATCTGTGAATAAATAACAGTATGAAGTTGAGCATATTTTCTAGTTGAATAACATTACAGAATATGGTTGTTAGATCTGTTTGATGGAAACTCCTAATACTACGGTCCATAAACCTGTGGTAAGTAGTTCACTTCATCGCGTTTTCATTATGTCATCTTTATATGTAATTAAAACCATTAATGTACTATCTTGAGATATGAGGTCAAGTTCTGTGCTTTAAAAGGTATATGATATAAACCTAACAATCATGAATTATTCATTTCAGAAAAAATCTCTTACACTGCTATGAAGTCATTCCTGAAAATGCTGTCTGCAAGCTCTATTTTGATTTGGAATTTAACAAACTTGCCAATCCAGGAGCTGATGGAAAAAAGATGGTTGCATTACTCATTGAGGTAAATTACAGATTTAGGGTTTTTTTCCTTATATTCATCTCTCTCTTTTTTTTCTTATTCATTAAGTGAATCCAACCTATGTAGTATATAGGTTCTGTGTTTCTCTTGCTGCTCCTCCTTTTGACATTTATTTCTTAATATTGCTCCTCTGAGTAAACTTGTAAAAAGGAGGAAGGTTTATTTATGTTCATACATTTTGTAACATTACTAGATCTAGTAAAAAAAAAACCTTTGAGAAAGGTGGCAGTTGAGGAATTTTCTGTTTTACATTAGTAAAGTAGCTGACTTTGGTAAAGATTAGACAAAGTAATTTTTACTGTAAAAATTGGGTATTGAGATGAATTGTAAGGCAACATTGATTAAAAATAGTATCTGAATTTTTCAACTGGCAGGAGTTTTGGAAACTTTTGTCTTGCACCATGTGATATTGTAATTTGGAAGAAACACTCGTATATATTTGATCATTCAGATGTTCACATATACTTGGTACTCATCCACAGTTCTTGGTTCACAGGTCCCCTAACCTTTGGAACTTCCTGGTGTTGAGAATGATAAATGATAAAGGTGGTTTTTGTTATGGGAAAGAGGTGACTTTTGGAAGTACCCAAGGTTGGGAGTTTGTAAAGAGTACCTGCTGATTGTGTTGGATCTTCACATGTTTTATTTTAAATTTATTTGAAAAAAAATGTATGCAAATACTGGTTTAAAAAAATCCTGTTATGTTTTCTTCTGGCTTTGAAGCAGAAGAAATATACAAAAGTCCCTCCCCCAAAAACAATAACAGCAAAAAGTTATTGTTTTCTTAAAATAGTCATTGGACCCTTAAAAATAAATTTAAATGTCTTCTTTGGTCATAATTTTAGTATATGTGCTACCAAAGCTAAGACTTATTTTATTCTAGTTGGTAAAGTATGTTTAATTTTGAACTTTAATTATGTTTTTAATAATTCATAGATATTGACTTTTTTTCTGGGGTATGATACACTTCTGTCTAAGGTAGGATTTATTATGGGGGCTCTGTGTGACCAATAAGGGATTCAGATTAGAGATTTTCACTGATACTTTATATGGCGATACTGTTAATGAAGAAACACCACATTGTATTAGAAACCAGATATACTACTAACAATTAGCATCAGTGCAAATCCCATTTGTAACACAGATCAGTAAACACTGGTGTGGCAAAGATCATATAGGTGTTTAAGATTTTTTTCTCCAGATTCTGTATTTAATCTTATCAAAATTAGTCTTGAAAGCTCATCTCCTACATCAGCAAAAGTTGGAAAGAATTGTAGAAATGAGTTTAAAATTATACATCATTTAAAAAAATAAAATTATACATTATTTTTATTTAACATGTTTACTACATTGGTAGAAGTAATTAGGATTATTTTATTTAATATAACCATAAATTATTACATTGAAATTAATTTTATTTGTTGGTTACTTTGTAACAAATGTATAATCCTTTTTACCCTCTGAGGAGGTATAAAGTAGGTTAGCTCTTATAGTAACAGATGGCTAATAAATAACTGGCCAATAATTACTAGTGACAATAATAATGCCTTTTAATTCAATGACTTAACTGATTAACTGACAAATTTCAGATTGCCACTTCTGCCAACTTGAATAAATTCTGGTGCTAGAGGATTTTATAAAACTATGTGGAAGGGTAACATTGCTCAAATAGCAGGAGAGAACAGATAGTGAGATGTAGCCTTGGTGATACAGAGGAAGTGGATGCCAAAGTAATCACAAATTAACATAAAATTGTAGCAGTGTGAGTACAACAAATAAAGATAGAGTTTATAGCGGGAATTTGTTGTAGTCAGGGACAGCTTCTCTAAGAAAGTGAGAATTTACTGAAGAAAGCAGGGATCAGAGAGCGCGGGGCAGTGCTAGAACGATACCAAAACAACATTCGTAAGTACAATTTGTGGCATGACTCTTAGGTGTGTAAGTGCTTGGCAGATTACAAAGATTTTAACCTTGGATGTTTTAGTCTTCGTTTTTTAGTAACTTATTTTTGCAGATGAGAAGACTGAGGCTTCAGGAGAAGTGGCTTGTCGTATAGCTCCACAGCTAATGCTTTTGAGCAGTTATATGTGCCAGGGACTGTGTGAACACCTGATCTTCATTTTCTCTTTTCCTCCTTAGAACAATCCCAAAAGTTAGGTCCTGTTATTATCCCACTTAGCCATTGAGGAAGGTAAGGTTTGCACTTCACCAAAGTCACAGAGCTGTTAAGTGGCAAAGCCAGAGCCCAAACCTAGATCCTCCTGACTCCACGTCTTAGGCTCCTAACCCATGCTTGTCGCCTAATTCTAACACATACCTGCCTTCAGTATAGGTGTCTTCCAGCTCCAGAGGCTATTTCCATAGGCTTGAGGAACTTTCTGAAACCTAAAATTAAAACAATAGGACTAGTGACTCTTTAACTCATAGATGATATTTAAAGAGATACTTAAAAAGAAATATTTTTATTGTGACTTTAGAGAAGATTAATGCATAAGTTAAATTATTCAAATCCTAAGAGGCCTTTAATCCTGAGAGCCTATGGATTTTGAATAAGGCATATATAATTTCAATATATATAATTCAGTACATAAGTAATTTGATTAAATTGTGTAATAAATATTCTGATAGTGAATCAAAATGAGTAAAAAATAAAATTAAATTTAAAAAAATTAAAAAATGAATTATACTAAGATATTGAGTTTTTCTCATGGGAAAATTTTAAAACAAATTTTAAAATATTGTTTATGTTTTACTTGTGTTTTCTTAGCATGTTTGTAAAGCACTTCAAGAATCGTATGGAGTTAACTGTTCAGCCGAAGATGTTTTAAACTTAGATTCCAGCACTGATGAAAAATTTAGCCGCCACTTAATATTTCAGCTCCGTGATGTGGCATTTAAAGACAACATTCATGTTGGTAAGTGTACTGTTTTTTAAACAGTAATGGAGTTATAGTAAAAGCTCATATTTTCCTTTTCTTCATAAGTTTTGTAAGTATCAGGCTTTATGATTGTTAACCTTTCATAAAAAATGAAACGTGATTACTCGCATTTTTAGGATTTACCTTTAGTTCTAGACCTGCCTTCCTGTTCTTGACACATTTGAGACCCATCTGTGATATCCTTTCTATTGGTGCCTTTGGGCGTAGATGCTGGGATGGCCGTGCGTGTCCTGCTGCTACTGATTTCTGCTCCAGCAGGAGTCAGTACAGAGTTTTCTGATTAATACACGAGAGGCCTAATTCAGGTCTTACCTATGACACCTCCGATCTGGACTTCTGACCTGTGTGGAAGCCTGAGCTTTTAGTGCCTGACAACTAGGGCTTGGTTTCCAGTTACAGCCAGGAAGGCTTGTTTATTGTACCACATCAAACCTTAGGGTTCAGAAGGAGTCTCAATGTACAAGCCTGAACATGTAACCATTTGTTTCTGGATTGGAAATGTAGAGATAGAGTCCCAGGGATAAAATGAAGTCAGGTCAAAGGGAAACAAGTAGGCAGAATGGGAACACCAAAAACCAAGATCTAAGTTGAGGTCAAAATCCTGAGTGTTTTATCAAGCAGGGGCAGAGCAGCCATTCCTAAATTTAAACCGCAGATGAGTCACTGAAGTTCGGGCAGCAGGGAAACTGTTTCAGAGCTACAAGGTCTGACAATTCCATGGGTGCCTAGGGTAAAAGGCATGGATGTAGCCGCTAAAGGGCTGGCATGCAAGCCAGGAGCCTGGTGTGCTGCATGCCTGGGGCTCCTCGCCATCGCTCTATCTTCTGATAGTTGTTCACAGGGTCCCCAGTCTCTCTCATCCCTTGGGTCCTAGAGCCTGTGGAACCCACCCTTGCCCCTCGGTTACTTAGGTTGTGCCCTCGCTGGCCATCGGCTGTCATGGGTCCAGTTACCATCTCCGTGTCGATGACCGTCAAAACTTTATCTTCAGCCAAAATTATTGTTTTGGGCACCAGATGCATACAGTCATCTGGTATTAAACTTCCCCACACAGACACTTCAAACTCAGCACATGCTAGACCAAACTCCTCATCTTTCCCCTAAAACTTGCTGTTTCTCCTGTGATGGCTGTGTTGGTTGGCAGTATCACCAACCACCCAATTACCCAAGTAGAAATGGTGTTGTCCTTGACCTCTCTCTGTCTTTTCATTTACCTACTCAGTCAGCTAGCTAGAGCAATCTGCTTGTTCCACTGGGGTGCCTCAGACCCTTCAAGGACAGTGCATTGCCTTCAGGAAGCAGGCCACATGTGAGGCCCACTGTGCTCCAGCCTCATCCTCCCACCGGGCGCTTTTCACTCTGTCCCTCACTGAGCTCCCCATGGGGCCCCATCTTGTCTAGTCGTGGGCCTTCGCGGTCTTTGACGCTGCTGTCTGAGTGGACATGCCTCCAGTTTGCCTGGTCTGTTCAGACTCAATGTAGATACCATCATCTGAGAAGCCAGTTCTTTTAAACCTGAGATGTAAGCAGGTTGGTACTTCCTCTGGGTCGCAGGGAGTAGATACCCAGGGCTGCTTGTGTCAAAGCATTCGCCACTGCCTGAGATAATTTCCTGCTTTTGTTTTTTGTTTTGGACTATTCCACTCAATGTTTCTTTGGGGTAGGGATGGTTTCTTATTCACTATTGTATTTTTGGAGCTTATTACATAATAATGCCTTTATCAATAGTATTAATAATATAACAGCAGAAGCAGCAATAATAAATACAAGTAGACATTTAGTAAATATTTGTTGAACGAATGACTGGATATTAAGCAGGCCCTGCTGTCAGGTTGGAGGCAGAGTCCTAAGCAAGATCCCTCTTAGATCCTTGTGTATTTCTCATGGCTGCTCTACAGCTCCTGCCACAGGCCAGACATTGAGGTGGGCTGCTAGGGGAGAAGGGAGAGTAGGAATAGTCAGACAGTTAGCCGTCTCTACCGCGTGGATCTGCTGGAAGTGGCTACATTCAAGCTGGGCTGTAACTGAAATTCATCACACAGGCCAAGGTCAGGAAGGTGTTCCTGTCAGAACAGCATGAGCAGAGGTGCAGAGGCAGGCACGCACGGCTGACTTGGAGGGCGGTGGGAGCCCTGCGTGGCTGGGGCAGAGACGTGGCCGCCCCTGGTCAGTGGGCGCCATCTGAGGCGTCCCTCTCTGAAGTGGTGCGCCGCCAGAGCAGAGGCGCAGGCGTTACGGAGCAGCCCAGAATTTCCCCTTCTGTCCCCTCCATCGTTATATCTCTTGGCGGCGCTTCTAGTTCCTGTTGTTAGCCGTGCAGAAAGGGGAATTAGGGTGAGGGTGAATTCACAGACGTTAGCAAAACGTGTGAGCTGGATCTGCCTGACGTACTCTTCCACCCGCCTGCCACAGGACCTCAAATTTCTGTGATTCCTGCACTCTTTTCTGTTTTTTCCAGCCAATTACATTGTCTCTGTGCTAACGATGAGATGAGGGTGATAATACCGGGGAAGGGAAGTAGAGAGCAGGGTAGCCTGTGGGGAGCCTGCATTCGTGTCTGTGCCAGGTACGCCGTCCTGCCCTGCCCACGTTGGCTCCCTGCCCAAGGTCCAAGGCTGGCGCGCCCTTCTGGGTGCTACCTGTGCAGCTGGGTCTGCAGTCGTGGCCTCACTTATTGCCTGCTATCGAGTAGGTGTGATCTCACATTTCCAAGGAAAGTCACTTTACCATTTTGTATTTGCATTGCTTTGTTGTCCTTTGATACATCATGATTTCTTTCTACTCAGCATCCACCCATCCCCCCCTCTTCCAGGAATAACCGTGCCTGTGCGTCATTGCCAGGATAGAAATGTTTTCGCTTTCATTTTGATGTTTAGGGTTTTATAAGGCAGTAACTTTGTTTTTTTTGTGTAGGGGAGTCATTAAATTTAATTTGGAGAGAGATTTTTAAAATTTAGAACTGTCTTCAGGATTCAAGCTGTCTGGTAAATAAAGTGACAAACCCAAATTATACCAATTTTAAAGATTAAAATTTAAGTTTTTGCATTTCTCTAGTCTTATTTACATGAAGCAATGTAACCAAGTTACTTGATTTTATGGTATAAATAATATGGTGAAACCTCGGTTCTTGAGCTTAATTCATTCCGGAAAACTATTTGAGAGGTTTTTTTCCAAAAACCAAATCTTTCTTGCCCGCGAGACATACGAACATCAGCGTGAGGGGGTGGCCGGGTAGAGAATCGAGACCGGAGGTTAGACAACCGAGGCTTCTTTTCTGTGAACACTTGGATGAGAGCCGAATTGTTGGGGAACCACGATGCTGGAGAACCGAGGTTTGACTGAATATGACAGTTTGGAGACATTCCAGACTGTCAGGGTACCCATTCTTGGTAAACACAGGACCACTGACATTGAGAGCCCTTAGAATGAATGTTGAAGGTGCTAAGTGTGTTCAGCTGCTTTAGTTCTGGACCGTGCTTCTGAGGCCCCGGTCCACCTCGGGACCAGCTTCGGGGCGGCGGGCGGTGACCGTCAGCGCTCCCGCCCGGGCGCCGGCGGGGAGGGGGCGAGGGCAGCCTCAGGGGGCCCGCGTCTTGCTGGGGGGCGCAGCAGAGGCTCTGGGGGGCTCCTGTGCGTCATGTCGGCAGCGCCGCTGATGCACGTAAACCTTTCATCCTCCAACCATTGGTTGTGAGGCTAGATTTTAGTCCATTTACTTATGGATAAAAGTTGTGTTTTGTGGTGATAGTGCATCAGGCCCAGTCCCATGCTAGCAACATTGACACGTCTCAAATAGACTTCCCTTCTGAGGCGGTTTGTTTACAAGCGACGCCGGGCTCCCCCGTCAGCCGGGCTCCCCCGTCAGCCGGGCTGGGAAGCACAAGCCTGCACAAGAGGAAGGAAGGAGAAGCGTGGTGCTGTGCGCAGTAGCAGCTCCGTTTTAGAAACAAAACAAAACAGAAAAAGCATCAGCAGCCTTACACTGTAACTTGTCACGTGTAGATTTGTGCCTAGATCTCAAGTTACAGTTTGTGAAAAAGAATAATGAGCTCAATCACAATTTTTTTTCCCCCTTAGGTAATTTTGTGAGAAAAATTTTTCAGCCCGCTATTCATTTAATTGCCAGTGAGGATGATGAAGGTGATGGTGGGGTTCCAGAGACAGCAGGCCCTGGACTGGCCCGCTTTCCGGAAACACCCGCCCAACGGGGAGCTGCCCGCAGCGAAGCGCCCGCAGAGGAGGGGACGGGAGAGAGCGGGACATCGGACTCCGAGAGACCGGAGGGGCGGGGGCCGGCCCAGCCACGCAGTCCTGGTCTTTCATTTTCTATTGTGAAGGACGCCGCCGGAAAAAGGTGCCTTTTTGTGGACCTGGGTGAGTGACGGCGGCAGCTCCCTGCGAGGCCGTCCTCGCGCGCCAGGCCGACGGGCGCGGCGGCGGCGCTGGCCTGTCCGGGGCGCGTCAGGGGTCGCGTGGCAGGGCGAGCTGGACCCGCTCTCCGCGCTGCTGGGAGGTGCGGCTCGCTGAAACAGACGCTCAAAGCAGACTCGGGAGGAAAACAGTGCTCTCACGTGGCGAACGAGGCCGGTGTTTTCCTCACGGAAGAGCTTTGCGTCTCCCGACTCTCCCGACTCGTCGCACTGGCGGCCGCTCCCGCCCGCCGCCCGCCTCCCGCCGCCCCGCCAGCTTCCGGTCTCCGCGCAGCGCCGGCGTCAGCCCGGCCACCGGGCTCTCCCCTCACCCAGCCTCGGCTGCGTGCGCCGAGGCTCCTTTCATGTTGCGGTTTGAAAAGCTGTAAAAGCAGCATTTTTGCCATCAGCTGCTAAAGCAACTCAGAGGGGTTCAGCGTCTGCCGCTTCAGGTAAAGTCGGTTTAACTATAGGCAAGATAGGCGGGAAGTGTTCGTGCTGGTTGGCGTGTCCTTCTAGCATTCCTAACGGCCGCACGCGGTCATTTGGAAACAGAGTCAGGTAAGTGCCAGGTGCTGCTGTGGGTGTGAACGCGCCTGCGTGTTGTCAGTGAACGACCTCCGCAAGTTGGACTAACGTGCAAGAAACTAGGGCAGATGCCCAGCAGGAAGCTGATTCAGGGAGAGCGCAATAGCCAGGTCCCACTCAGCCTCCGCCGCTGCCCGCGCTGAAGGCCCTGCACAGCAGCCCAGGTCCCGGCCGTGTCAGCCTGGAAAGTCAGGTACTGCGCTAGAGGAAGACATTTCTCTGATAGGCTTAAGAGAAATACTACAGCCGTGGACCCGCATTACCTTATGTGACAAGGAGGATGGGGAAGTCATCTCCTAATGCATCCTCTGAAAAGTTCAGAGGATTAATAGTCCATGCCAAAAAATTTTTTTAAAAGATTTTACTTCTTTTGAGAGAGGGAAAGGGAGGGAAACATCAATGTGTGGCTGCCTCTTGTGTGCCCCCTACTGGGGACCCGGCCCGCAGCCCAGGCATGTGCCCTGGCTGGGAATAGAACTGGCAACCCCTTGGTTCACAGGCCGGCACTCAATCCACTGAGCTGCACCAGCCAGGGCCAAGATTTTTTTTAAAAACATTTTTATTCAAGCATAACACTGAAACAGAAACATGCATAATTTATGTATGTGCAGGTCAACGAGTTACTAGAAAATGAACATGTCCTTGTCACCCCACCATCCAAGACAAGAAACAGAAGATGACCAGGACCTGCTTTGTGCCCCTCCCAGCCACTTGCCTGTGGGAGGAGACTCCGTCCCGCAGAGCCGTTCCAGGTCGCCACAGCTGGGGAAATAAACTGCTCCAGACACAAGGTGCCCGTCAGGAGAAAGGGTTGGAGCTTCCCTCTAGTGGAAAAGGCCCCAAGCCCCTGTGCTCAATGGCTTTTATTGAGAGGGTTGTCAGTGGGGGCCAGGTAGAAGGAATGAATAAGTAATCTAATGCCATCAGTATCTTAGGTTTACAGAGTGTAGGTGATGTTTGAAGAAGACAAAGGGCAGGAGCACACCGATTTGCATGGGGCTGAGATGAGTAAACATAAGGGTACCAAATGGTTTAGGGTTAGGGTCCCTGAGTAACGTAAATTTCCTTCCCAGCGTGAGCCGGTTATCAGAGCTTGAGGGAGAAACAAAGCGTGCTTCAAGTGGAGTAATTTACTTCTAGGCCTGATTTCCCCCAGAATGGCCCAATCCCCTTTATGGCTGTACCTGCCTCTGGTATAGCTTCAAGCCTGAGCCAGGCGGGCAGAGCAGAGCAGCCAAGAGATAAGGAGACTTCTTTCAGACAGAATGAGGACTCCGGCCATGACAAAGCTGAGGGGTGAGGGTCTTTTGCCCCTTCTCCATGCCCCCCAAGTTCTTCCTTGATGGCCCCTATGTGACTGTGCCTGTCTTAGGTTGCCCCTGCCATCGAAGGATCTTAACCATCATTGACTAACCAGCCATCCTCTGGGGCCAAGCAGGGTGATGTGAGGGAGCCAGGGGCTGTGCCCCTGCCAGGGAGGCAGGTTTTGTCTCAGTGGCGTATTTTCCCAAGGCCTCCTTGCTTAGCTCCAGCCTTGGGGCCCTCTCGCCTGTCGGCAAAGCTACAATCCCTGAAACTAGGCAGCATGGTTCCCAACACTTGTCCCTTCCTCCTCCCTAGAGAGAGGTAATCACTAATCTATCCTCTAACACCATAGGTTAGTTTTGCCTATTTTTGAAGTTTTTATAATTAGAATCATATAGTGTGTGCTTGTGGCATGCAGTTTCACTTCTAATGGCATCTTGGATGAATCAAGTTGTTAATGTTAAACAGTAGTCATCCAACTTGCCAGGGTTTACTTTTTCGGTTAGTGTCCCCTGTAGCCTGTTAAACAAATGTTTCCTGTACCAGGGTCATAAAGATAGCTCTGCTTAGCTTCTAGAAGCCTCATCTATTTAATTATTTTTATCTTTTATAAAACCTATAATCCACTTGGAATGGATTTTTGCTTATTGGGTGAAAAGGAGTCAAAATTCACTTTTTTCTGCCTTGGCCTGGTGGCTCAGTTAATCAGGGCACATGCCTAGGTTGCAGGTTAGGTCCCCAGTCAGGGCATGTATGGGAGGCAACTGATTGATATTTCTCTCTCACATTGACATGCATGTCTGTCTGTCTGTCTTTCTCAAATCAATAAACATCCTCAGTGAGGATTTTAAAAAATTTACAATGACATCTCAATGTCCCCTCACATGACTGAGAGAGATGGAGAGACTTGATGTTTTGATGCTTCTCCTCTGAGATTGGACGCCACAGCCCTCACTGCCTTGAAAGCTCTCCCACAGTCTCACAGTTATTTTTTCTAACACATTTGTTCAGTGTTTCTATTTATCAGGGAAGGGTTGCCCCAAAATGATCTATTTTCTATTTCTGGATGTGGCACTCTTACATGCCAACTCAATTTATTTTAATTTCTGTATTGCTTTCATTTACATCTGATAGAAAATGATTTTTTAAAAGATTTTTATTTATTTTTAGAGCAGGGAAAGGAGGGAGAGAGACATCAATGTGTGGTTGCCTCTCATGTGCCCCCACACCGGGGACCAGGCCCACAACCCAGGCATGTGCCCTGACTGGGAATCAAACCGGTGACCCTTTGGTTTGCAGGCCGGCACCTAGTCTACTGAGACACACCACCCAGGGATGATTTTTCTATTTTAAAAAAATATTTATAGTTTTGTTTGCCTGAAGGTGATTTTCTTTACCTTCATTTAATTATTTTTTAAATTAAGGTATAATTGACATAAAACATACGTTTGAACTGTATAACGTAATGATTCCATATTTGTGCATATACAAAATAATCACGTTAAGTTTAGTTAACATGCATCACTGTACACAGTTACAAAAGTTTTTCTTGTGATGAGAGCTTTTAAGATATACTCTCTTAGCAGCTTTAGATAGGCAATACGGCATTACTCTTTACTATCGTTGCTGTGCTGCACTTACACAGGAGCACACATTCATTTATTTATTTTATTTTATAGCTGGATGCATCTATTTCTTGACTCCCCTTCACCCAGTTGCCTGCCTCCCTCCTATGGCAACCAACAGAGGTCGCTGCTCCCTGTATCTGTGATTTGGGGATTTTTTTGTTTGTCTGTTTTAGATTTCAGGTATAAGTGAGATCATATATTTGTCTTTGTCTGACTTTTTTATTTAGCATAATGCCTTCAAGGTCCATCCCTGTTGTCACATGACAGTATTTCTTTGTTTATATTGGCTGAATAGTGTTCCATTGTACAGTAGTCCCCCCTTGTCTGATGGGGACATGGTCCAAGACCCCAGTGAATGCCTGAAACTGCAGATAATACTGAACATTACATACAAGGTCTGTCCAGAAGGTACCCAGCCGCATACTAGGAAAAGTAGAGACATTTATTGAAGAAGATACAAGAAGCATGGTACATAGGACAGTGATGCCTCAGTTCCCTTCAAAGTGGGCACCTTGGGACCTCACATAATTCTCCCAATTACCATTAGCTGCCCTGTTGTATTTTCCTGAATCTCATTGACAGTCTGAAATCTTTTCCCTTTCAAAGGTGATTTTAGTTTTGGGAAAAGCCAGAAGTCTCAGGGTGCCAAATCTGGGCTGTAGGGGAGCCTGAGTCACCTGGGTGATTTGCTGTTTTGCCAAAAAAAACTGTATGAGACACTATGCATGAGCAGGCATGTTGTTGTGATGAAGCTGCCAATCACCAGTTGCCCAGAGCTGCAGCCTTCTGAATCATCCAAATAGTTTACAAGGAGGAATATTCAAGCTTAATGCAAAATTTGATGCAGATTCGTTGCTCTACACGCTCAGTTATTTTGAATGCAACAGCCACACAGTGTACATGCTCACTCAATGGCGTCTACCGCCCCCCACTGGCTATTTCAGTGAAGGTGGTGGTGTTCACACATGCACCTTCCAGTCCACTCTCCTTGGCTGCCAGGTTATATCCATGTTGCACAAGCCATTCTCATAATATTAACAGTGGCGGGGCTTCTGGACAGACGTCATATACTGTTTTTTCCTATACATGCATACCTGTGATCAAGTTTAATTTATAAATCAGGCCTAGTAAAAGATTAACAACACTAATAACGCAGTAGAACAATTATAACAATATACTAAAGTTACGTGAATGTGGTCTTTCTCTCAAAATCTTACTGTACCGTACTCCCCTTCCCCTTAAATGAAGGACTGTTTGACTTTTCTTTGGTACATCTAAATCACCGTCATCACTACTCTTGTGGTTTGGGGCCACTGTTAAATAAAATAAGGGTTGTTTAAACACAAGCATGCAGTTATGCGACTCTTGATCTGATAACCTAGACGCACTCAGTGCATGTGAAAGGGATGACTCTTGTCCCCAGCAGGCGGGCGCAGGGCTGTGTGGGACCTTATCCTCTACTCAGACCAGTGCACAGTTTAAAACATCCATTGTTAATTTCAGGAATTTGCATTAATATTCTCAGAATACGGTCAACCACAGGTAACTGAAACTGCAGATAAGGGAGACTACTGTATATGCACCATGTTTTTTTACCCATTCATTCATGAATGAACACATAGGTGGTTTCCATATCTTGGCTATTTGTAAATGCTGCCATGAAAATGGGGGGCACAGCACATATATCTTCTTGAATTAGTGTTTTATTTTTCTTCAGATAAATAGCCAGAAGTGGAATTACTGGACTATATGGTAGTCTTGTAGATGGGTTCTGTTTTTATATCCATTCAGCACTCTGTCTTTTGATTGGAGTTTTTAGTCCAGTTGCTCTTAAGGTAATTATTGCTGAGCATGTATACACCGCCATTCTGTTTTCTGGCTGTTTTGTAGTTCTTTCTACTTTCTCTTTTCGTGGCTTGATGAATTTCTTTGATGGTATGCTTAGATTTCTTTCTCATTATCTTTTGTGTATCTGCTCTAGGTTTTTGCCTTGTGGTTACTATGAAGCTTACATATAACAACTTATATTGCATTATAACAAGATATATCAAAATTGGTAACAGAATTGAATGAATTCTAAAGTTCTTCATAGCTGTTCTGTCCATGTTTTGTTTCTGATGTCACATTTGACATTTTTATCTTCTCTGTCCTTTAACTAATTACCATAGGTAGCTATTTTTGCTCCTTTAAAAAATTTTCATACTTGCTTTATAAGTGATTAATGCAGTACTTTTACTACATATTTACCTTTACTAGTGTAATTCATGCTTTCATATGTTTTCCCATTATGAATTAGTGCCTTTTCTTCAGCTTTAAGAAGTCTCTTGAACATTTCTTGTAAGGTTGGTTTAGTGGTGATGAACTCCTTAAATTTTGCTTGTCTGGAAAACTGTCCTTTAATATGAATGATAGCTTTGCCAGTGTCGGGGGGGGAAACCCCAAATACTAAATTTAGGATCCATTGCAAAGAACTGACACATAGCCCTATTCAAATTTAAAATAGCTTTAATAGGAGAAACTTAGATATTCGGGCCAAGCAGCTGCTCCTCATGGTTCCTTCCAGAGTTCCTTCTTAAAGGAGGTCAGTAGCACAACCAGATGGCTGTAGTTGTATAGACCTCCCAAGACAACAATGTATCACTTAAGTTAAAAAGTTAAAAGATAACATCCCGCAGTTGTTACACTTCACAATTCCTTCCCCTTTGTCTCCTGGCAGTGCTGTTTTTTGGGTTGTCAGCCAAGTGTGAGGTCACAGGGAGTTATGCAGTCACAGAGGGTTCAGTATCTCCCAGACATCTTTGCTGCTGGAGCCATATCACATGTCTAAAGTGAGTTCTGCTACTGCCAGGTAGAATATTCTCGACTGGAAGTGTTTTTATGTCAACACTTGGAACATACCATGCTGCTCCTTCTGGCCTGCAAGGTTCCTGCTGAAAAATCTGTTCAGAGTTTTATGGAGGTTCCCTTGTGTGAACCACTTGTTTTTCTCTTACTGCTTTTAAGGTTCTCTCCTTTAACATTTTTTTTTTTTTAACATTTTAATTATAATTGGTCTTGGTGTGGGTTGCTTTGGGTTCCTCTTATTTGGAATTTTCTGAGCTTCCTGCATCTGTGCGTGTGTTTCCTTCCCCAGGTTAGGGAAGTTTTCAGCCATTATTTCTTCACATAAGTTTTCTCCTCCTTTCTCTCTCTGTCTCTCTGGGTCTCCCCGCCCCCAACCCCCCACCCCACCCCAGGACTCCTGTAATGCAAATGGTAGGCCGCCTGATGCAGTACCGTAGTCCCTTAAACTGTCTTCACTTGTTACATTCTTTTTGGTTCTCTAGGTGACTTCCTCTGCCTGGTCTCCAGGCCACTGATTCCTGTGCTTCGTCTAGTCTGCTGTTGAACCGTTCTAGTATATTCTTCAGTTCAGTTAGTGTGTTCCTCTGTCCTGTGAGTTGATACTTTCTTATATCTTCTGTCTCTTGGTTGAGGTTCTCACTGTTTATCCATTCTCCTCGAGTTCATTGAGCATCTTTATCACCATCACTTTGAGCTCTACATCAGGTAAATTAGTTAATTTTATCTCATTAAGTTGGGTTTTTTTTTCCCCCTTCTGAGATGTTATCTGGTTCTTTCGGTGGGAACATACTTCTTGGCGCGGTGGGTTGGTTTCCCTGCATCGGCTGGGACAGCCGCCTCTGCAGCCCCGACGGGCTGGGTTCGCGCAGGGAACCGTGGCTGTGCGACCCCGCCCCGGCTCTCTCTGCCCCTAAGCCTCTGCTCTGGTCCCGGCGGCCCTTTGATCCAAAACCGCTTCCAGGGGTTGACGGTGCTTGACGGTGCGCCAAGGACAGCCTGTGTCAGCTGAGAGCGCCCCGGCGCCTAGGAGCCGGGCGCTCGGGCTCGGCCTTTAAAGGGAGCGAATGAGCACGGTCCTGCCCCCGGGACCGGAGGTGCCGGCCCCTGGCCACCGGTGCGGGCAGTCCGGGGTGGTTCCCGAGCAGGAGCCGCAGCCACTAGGCTGGCTGAGCCGGTAAGCCCCGCCCCGGGACACGCAGGCCAGGTGAGGGAGCGCGCAGAGATGCCTCCTGGCCGAGCCGGGGAGTGTGTGCTGGGCCTGAGGCCGGCCCCTGGGGCTGCAGCTCAAAGACCAGCAATGGTCATGGCTTGTTCTGCTGTCCGTGCAGTGCCCGGGCGCGGTGGCCTGCCCAGCACCGCCTCTCCCATCGGCAGCCCTCGGGGACCCAGGCATGCACGGCCACCACGGCGTACACCCGAGTGGCAGCCTGGGGCCCCAGACGGTATTGAAGCCCCTCTGGGAGACCGTGGTGCCCGGGACAAGATGGAGAGCGCACAGGGGTGGGCCCACTGGCTGCAGGGCCCCGGGGAAGGGGCGCGCGGCTGGCGGCGCCCGCTGGAGGGAGGGAAGGGACCGGGACAGAAGGCGGCCCCCACCCCGTCCCCACGGCGCCTCTGGGCAGCTCCTGCGCGGCAGAGCCACGCTTTACAAGTAGCAAGTGGGTTTTCTTCCACGTAAAGGCCGGTGCTTTTCAAAGGCCGCTTCTGCGCTTCGGCTGGGGAGGCTGCATGGGAGCCGCGCCTCAGTCTGCCACAGCCCCGGTGTCATGGGTGTGCGCCCCGTGGTCCTCAAAGCCTGACGCTTGGAGACCTCGCCTCTCAGCTGCTGGTCTTAAGCCGGGTCCCGCGGAGCAGCCTTGGTTCGGTTTCCTTCAGGCTGTGGGTGGTTGCCCGCCGGGGGGATGGTAAGCGGTGTCCCGGGCTTTCCTGCCTGCTTGATGCGGTTTCCCTTCGTTTTCCGCATGTGCAGGGAACCTTCTACCGGATTCTGGGTTTTTTCAGAAGAAATTCTTCCATATATAGATATAGGTTCGTTTTGTCCACGGGAAGAGGATTTTTTTCAGCGTTCAGGATTTTGCGTTGCCATGTTGAATACGAACCAATCGTTTCTTCTAAAAATTCCATACACAATTAATTTAATATTTGCTGATTATAAAAACATACTGAAAACATGTATTCATTTTTTTTATTTTTGATATAGGAGTTTATACAAGAAATAGAAATTTTCGGCTGTATAAATCATCAAAAATAGGAAAACTCGTGGTTCTGGAGATTGCTGAAGACAACAAATTTTCTCTTAAACAGTCCAATAATATTTCTGAAGAAAATCAGTATTTCCTCTCTTCTTTAGTCAGCAACGTCAGGTATGTAGTATCAGAGTTAAACCGCTGAGTGTTCATGAATATTAAGCAGTGAATGGCACTGAACAGCACTAACATGTAAATTATATAAATTCATTCTACTTTTTAAAAGTTTGTAAAAATTATAGGTTAGTTTTCATTTGTCTATTAACTGAAACATAATAGTAAAATTTATTTTCTAACCACTTATTATTCTCTGTGTCCTTTTATATTTTATATATTCCAGTTCTAAAATGATTAACATTTCTATAAAGGAGAAAATAAAAATTAGTTTTATTGTATTTGGAAATATAATTACTATTAACATTTTGTTTTTTCACATATGCACATACAATTTACATAACTCCTTCATTCAAAAAATTTTTCTTGAGATTATATGGTATGTCACCTATTTTATCTGCTCAACATATGAGTATCTGCCAGTTAATAATTTGCCAGCAGTTAATTGTAAATAAAACTTTTAACACCTATATAATTTTCCATCATATTGACATACTTTCATTTGTTGTTTGTTCTGTTGTTGAACACTCGGTTTTATATGCCTTGGTCATTTTTAAAAAGTGTGAAAGACATCTCTGAACAGAAATATTTGCCTTTGTTCCCCTTGATTCTGGGCTGGCCATTTTTGTTAGTCCAAAACATCAGGATTACACTAAAGTGCCTTGCTAACTTGCTCTTCCTTTGCCTTCCCTAGTAGTGCCTTGAAGGCTGTATCTAGTCCTCTGTCTCCTTTCCTCCTCTAAAATCAGTAAATGTATCCACACTGAGGATTGAAAAAAACATTCACTGTGGTGCCTGACACATAGTATCCGCTTGGTAACTGCTGTCTTATTGGTGGCAGTTTCTGAGACTCAAGAGGTTTTACGTTGGTGGTATAAAAATTACAGGACAGTTGCTGCCCGCTGTCGTAGGCGCCGGAGTAAGATGACACTCTGTCGTGTGTGGAAAAGCCACCCGGCTGGCCTCACGCAGCCTGGAGTACAGGCTGGGCCGCCGGATCCCACTTCCTTTGAGTGTCAAAAAGGAATTTCCCAGAAATGGAGGGCTGCCTTCCTTGTCCTCTGTATATCCAAGTAAATGCCAGGTATTTTTCTTCCGGGACTGAAGGCAAAATTTTTTATGGTTATGACTGCATCTTTTATGTCAGTTCCTTTTAATCCATTTTTCCCTTTGCTCTCATTTCTCTTTCCTTCTCTTTCCTTCCTATTATCCCCACTTTTGAAATCATTGCAACAAAAACGCAAAGGCCCTGTATGTGTGGGGAACAGAACTGCTGCCACTCTGCGCGCCAGCCGCCCTGCAGTCCTCTGACTCGCCTGGTGCGGGAAAGGCCTTCCCGGGGTCACCGGGCCGCGCGGCTCGGCTGGGCAGGGCAGGCGCTTTTGGCCATGTGGCGCGTCCTAGACCAGCAGCTGTTGGACAAGGGGTTTTAACATGGAACTCTTTGAAATTGTTTCCTGCCAGTAGCCCTGTCTCTTTAATTCTAATACCATGTGATTTTGTTTCTTGAACGTATTTTTTTCTTCAGATTCTCAGATACTTTACGAATTCTTACATGTGATGCATCCAAGAATAAACAAAAACAGATTGGGCATTTGAATGGTACCAACACTTCAGGTAATTTTAGATAATTTTCTATGAAAATTTAAGGACACTAAATCTATTTTGCCTTTAAAATCTTAAGTATTCATATTTACTGATCTTCTAAATGGACTAGGTTTCTATCCAAAATGAATATAAACATTTTTAAAGCTTAATCACTAATTTTCATTTTAGAGCATTTTTGAAAAAACATGAATATAGATTGTATAAAACAAACATGTATCAAAAGAACTAAAAATTCTATTCATCCTTCCGGCCACTGTTAAGCTTCCTGTTTCCTGGTTTTTGCCCATGTATAACGCACACCCACATTTTTGTGCACATTATACATGGGGTTATTATGCCCATTATTCTTTACACCCATGTATATGTGCATCCTTATTCTTCCCTCAGAAAGTTGGGCAAAAAAGTGTGCATTATACATGTCAAAATACGGTAACCAGTTTTCCCTGTATTTCCAGTAACATGGAGAGTGTCTTCATTCTTTTAATGGCTGCATAGTTTTTCATAAAACGTATATTTTCTTCACTCCTACACTGAAGAACATATAGGGTTTTTTCCCCTAAGATTCCATACCTTAACTCTCCAGTGAACATTTTTATATACATGTTTTGGGATACTATTTATAGTAGTGAAAAAGTCAAAACAATCTAAGTGTACAACAAAATAGGATTGGTTACATAAGATAAAATTCTCTGTAGTTATTAAATTTATAAAGCTTATACAGAAAATGCTCAGTTATGATGTGAAGAGAAAAAGTAGACTCATGTTATATGTGAAGTATGATGATGTCTATTAAAAAACACAGATAACCTATTGTTTATTTTCTTCTGATTATCAGTTATTTCTAGACATTGATTGGAGTTTCGTTCTCTCATTTCTGCTTTAATATATGTTCCAAATTTTCTCCAGTGATGTATATTACCTTTGTAAGTGAAATATGGGCTGTATTTTATGAACAGTAGATTATTTTGTCTTTAAACATTGGATGAGACTTTAAATAAACTATTCTGAATTATTACAGTAGATTCTCAGATACGAAATGTAACTCAGTGCCCGACAGCTCACTGCTGCCTGCACTGAGCAAGCCGAGCTTGCTCCTGCGGCAGCGACGGGGGCACACGCCCCGGCAGCCATGGGGCGCCCCCGTGAAAGGGCGTCAGGAGTCAGGCTTGAGTGGGGCGCTTTTGAGTGGGCCCGCCAGGGACAGTTTGGTGATTATCTTGAGAAATCTTATCTAGAAAGAAGGCACCCTGCAGGGAGACTAAAGCTACAGTTGGTAAAGAAACAGCCGGTACTTCTGTGAGACCAGATAAGGTGGTATTTGGTCACTTTTGTGGCTTGGAAAATGTTTGTGTTGCATGTGTTCAGACAGGATTACAGAGTGTTCTCGGTTTTGCCCTGAACGCCCCGGCCACAGGCCGCCTCATCAGATGGTGAAGCTCCGTGCAAGGTCACAGGCAGCAGCGCCCGGCGCACCCAGAGCCCGGGCCGCCCGGTGCCGGGTGCCCCTGCTCATCCGAACGGAGGAAGCGGCTGCCGTGGTTATAAATGTTTTCTGTAATAATGCACTGACATTTGACCTATTGGAGAGGTTTGAATGTCACCTGCTTCCCTGCAGGATAAGAGTTCATACTGGCAAATTGCAAAACAAAGTGGGGAAATGGGTGGGCAGGGAGGGAGGGAACTCTGCAATTGTACTAAACAACTGAAGTCAAAATTTAACTACTTTTAGCCATTAGATTTATAATTAATTTTTCTCTCTGTTGCAGTTGAAAGCTTTGAAGGTTTTCAGGGTTCGCCCTACCCTGAAATTGATCAATTTGTTCTTTCTTTGGTGAATAAAAATGGCATTAAAGGAGGTAAAGATAATCTTATTCTTTATTAACTGTTACATGATAGAGTAAAAATGCCTTTAGAAACTTTTTATTTGCATTTTAGGAATTCGGTGTTGGAACTACTTGTTTCGAGAACAATTACTGGTTTATGACATTTGTAAATATCGCTGGTGTGGAAACATTGGAAGAGCCCACAAGAGTAATAATATCATGTAAGTAAATTATTAATATATCCTATGTATTTAACCAAAATATTTAGCAATTTTTAATTTCTAAAATTGAGAATATAAAAAATTTATAATTTACACTTCAATTTATATTTGTATTTAGTTATAGTATTGAAAACTTAATTATTACCTTCTGTCCAGCACCTATCATCTTTATTCGTGTTTTATTTGGTAAGACAATCCCATAGGCAGTATAATCTTGAGAAGACCAAGCAGAATTCAGGGGGCCGCCAGGGACAAGCCAGCGGACAGACAGGAGCAATGGGGCAAGTCCCCCCACTGCCCCGCGGCGCCACTGGTCCAGCACCTGGTGCCATCTGGCGGGAAGGGAGCCGGGGAGGGCAAGAGGGGACCTGCTCAGCGTGAGGGGCTGGAGCGGAGGCCGCGTTGGCTTGTCCGAGGTGCACAGCGGTACTGAGTGCTTGCTGTCAATGCCAGGCCCTGTTTTGTGGGTGGGGGGTGGGGGGCAGTTTTGTGTTCTGGGGGTTCTTTTTTAATGCCCCTGACAGGAGAGGATGTAAAATATGAAGCAAAACCAGAAATAGAATTTTCAATAACAGGACATGGTTAGGAATAAAAGAGAAATCTAGTAGATATGTTATAAAAGAAGTCTCAGTGTGTTTATATATTTAATGTCAAAACTGAGACTCCTGTGTATCAAGGAGCAGATGCTCTCCCACGCAGCGGGGGCGGGGCGGACACGAACTGTCACATGCACGGCTCGGGGCACGGAAGCTATGAAACTTCTGCACTTAAGAGTCACACAGCATGTGTGACACTTCCAGGGAACCAGTCCCCATCAATCTAGACACTGTTTATGTACTGTATGCACAAATCAGAAACATCTTGCAAAGAGCATTCTGTAAAGACCCCCTGCCTAGCAAAGAGCATTGGCCAGAGGTTCCCAGACTTCAGTCTTCGGTGCCCTTAGATTTAGTGATGTTTTTCTCATTGCTCCAAGGCCAGAAGTAGTACCTAAGCTCTGTTTATGAATGGTGTCAAACTGCTTAAAGGTTTTATGTCGCAACAATTTAGTAGCTCTTTGAAAAACTAATATTCGTCAGTTGAAAGAAAATACTTTTATTTCATTGTTTTAGTATTGAGGTATAATTGACATATAACATTAGTTACAGGTGTACAACGACAATTTGGTTCTTCGTACACACAGCAGTCTGCGCGCCGGTGTTTGTTAACAGCAGCTGCCATACGTAGATAGAAAACACTTCTCTTATGATGAGACCTTTTAAGATTTACTCTCAGCAACTTCTAAATATGCAATTCTGTATTATTTACTATATCAGCGTGTTATACATTATATCCCTATTTTGACTCTAATTTATTTTTCAAGTTAAATAGTATAACTAAATACAAAGTGAAGTGTAACTAAATTATAAAAATCATTTTTATATTCTCAATTCTTAAATAGTTACCTGTTAATGGGATCTGTGCCCTTTGCACAACCTCGTAAACACTGGGATCAGGGCGGACACTGCCACCCCACCATTGTCTCATTCCACAATGATGTTTGGGGGTCCCGCAGCCATGCACTAACACCCCAGCTCTATGGAGAGAGGACCTCAGTGCCAGGACGAAGGCCGTGACACTGAAGCCCGAACTGCTGCCGCGCTGCACTGGGAACAGCAGCCTTAGCCACAGACGGAAGTCTCATTACCTGGGCGCTTGAGGCAGTTCGACTGGGGTGCCTGCATCTCTCCTAGGTCCATGTCATGACTGCCACATGGAACATTAGCCATTTTCTGTTTCCTTTTCTATGAAATGTGGGAGGATTTTACAGTACTTAAACTTTACTTTTAGTGGTTGAAGGATTGTTTAGGTGTTCCATAACTTAAATTTTTGTTTAATTTGGTATGCTTTTATCTATTAGTGTCTATTTTACTGGCAAAAGTTCATAATATTCTTACATTTTTAGTATATTTTGCATTTGCAGTTACATCTGTACTTAATTTCTAATAACATTTGTGTCTCTACCTTATTTTTTGATCTTCAAGAATTTTATGTTTCCACATTCTGAACTTGTTAATGCTTTAAAACATTTCTGTTCTGGCCCTAGCTGAGTGGCTCAGCTGGTCCGAGCCTCGTCTGCACCCCAGAAGCTGTGTGTTCGACCCCTGGTTGGGCACATAGGGTGGCAGCGCATCAGTGTCTCTCTTCCCCCCTCCCTCTCTCTAAAATCAATAAACATATCCTTGAGTGAGGATTAAAAAATTTTTATTACTTCCTGTATTTTATTAGGGTTTATTCTATTGTTCATTTTCCTACTCACTTGTCTGTAGCCATTGTTTTGTAAATAAGCTTTTAAGATTTGAAAGATATCCCCCTAAAGATTACTTTAGCTCTATTTCACATACTTTAATATGTATTTTCAATTCCACTCACTTCTAACCATTCAAATTTCCATCATTTTTCCTTGAGTCATTGCTTACAAGTTTTTAATGTCTAATTATGGCTTTTTAGTAGCTGTCTTTCTTCTAAGTTTTGCTTTGTGATCAGAGAATGTGTTGTGTGAATAATTTTAAATTTAATGTGATTCATGTTGTACCTTGAATAGCCAATTTTTATAAATGTTTGTAAAGAGTTGCTTTTAATTATTTGAAGCAGTATTCATATATGACTTATATCAAATTTGTTAACTGCTTTTTGTCAACTTTTTTTATATCCTTACTGATTGGTTTTGTTGTGTCACTTATCAAAAAATGATTTTTAAAATCTTGGTTTATGGTAGATTTATCCTTTGTCAATTTTGCTCACATACAAGATAGGGCAAAAGTAGGTTTACAGTTATGAGTATGAAAGTTTATTCTTTTTTTCCATATGAACTGTAAACCTACTTTTGCCTCCCCCTGTATTTTGAAACTACCCTGTGCATACAGAGTGGGAATTGTATCTTCCTGGGAGGTGTATTTTTTTGCCCTAAAGTCTATTTTCTATGATATTTTTGGCAACCAGAGTTTTGCTGGGGGTTTGTTGTTTTGTTTTTTGGCTTGGTGTATTTCTATTTCCATCCTTTTTAAGGTGTCTCCATCTTTATGTCTTAGGCATCTCTCTTATAAACATGTAGCTGAATTTTGTTTTCTGTCCAGTTTGGCTATTAGGTAATAATTTTTTTTCTTTTTATAACATAAAGGATTTTGGTTGATCTGAAAAATGAAGTTTGGTATCAAAAATGTCATGACCCAGTATGCAAAGCAGAAAACTTCAGATCTGACTGTGAGTTACTAATTTTTACATTTACCACTACATAAAAATTAGATTTACATATAAAATAGTTTTACTATTTTCTATTTACTTTCTGACTCAGATTTTCCCTTGCCTGCTGAAGTACGCCTGTCATTTCTTCTCAGAGAGGTAAGTGCAGTTTGCGGTCTCCTTTTCCTGACTCATCGGTTCTCGGTCCAGCCATCCCCTCGGCTGTGCGCAGTGCCCGGGTGTGTCCAGGGAGCTTCCACACACACCGGCAGCCCCGTGTTCCCACCTCGGGACCTGCCGCAGTGACTGTTTCGTCTCAGCACACCTCATTCTTTTGCACCGCTCCATACCAAATAGTACCGATATCTACCTCACCAGTCCCATACGTTCAAAAAGTTTCTTTTTTGCTCTACAAAGTACACCAAAACATTCATCTTTGTGTATATCTGTAGGAAAAATTTCTAGAAGTAGAATTATGTCAAAGGGTGTATATATATATATATATTTTTCCTTTAAATCTTTCACTTAAATAATTTACATGCATTGTAGGAAAATACATAAAAATCCAAAAGGAAAATCATCCTCACTCATAATGTGACTGTTATATATCTATCAGTCAGATATAACTGATTTTGGTATACATATTCCATAATTTCTATCTGTGCATGTGTGTGTATATATATATATATATATATATATATATATATATGAATTTTAAGTCATAGAATATATACTGTTTTGTAGGCTTTTATTCCTAAACACTCAGATGTTTTCAGTACTACATATTACCAAATGTTCTCCATTTCAGTTTATGGGAGCACCTGTTATCCTACATTTTTGCCAACATTGCTTATTTTTACTTTTTAATCTTTACCAACCCAGTAGGCAAAAAGTGATATTTCAGTTTTTTTAACTCACATTTCTTAATTTATTAATGAAGTTGAACTACTTTAAGATTTACTGTTTGTATTCCTATTATGGACTGCTGGAACAGTCCACTGTTCTAAGTGGTCCTACTAGTATTTTGCCTGAAGCGCTCCTTTGTCGTGTTACCTTAGGTGACTAAGTGCCCGCCCCTCCCCCAGCCCACACACACCCTCTCAGCCTTGTCCTTCATAGTGTTATGGTCAAAATAAAAAGTCACCCAATCTAAGCTGAGTTAGTGCTCAGATTTACAGTCTAGATAATGGTCTGGTACCTATTCAATGTGATTTCTTAAAGTCTCCTGAAAAATGCCATACATTCAAGATAGAAATGTAGAAGTCTCATTCTTGGTCTCTAGAAGGTGGACATAAAATAGCTGATAGCCAGATTCTCTGATAAACTACTAGATTAAAAAGTGTTTTAAAATAACCAAGAAATTAATTTTTAAAAAAGACTTGCCTTTAAGAGGAAGAACATCACCCTCATTCATTTGGAGTATTATTTTAGTGCATGTTTGTGGTTTTAGTGGGGTTTTCAGTTCTTTTCTGCTTTTCCAACTTAAAGTACTTTTGCTATACAGTATTACCACTGCTGTATAACTTGTTTTTGGTTTTTTATTATTTAAAATTTTTAAAAATAACAGTATAATGAACACCCATTGTACCTGTCAGTTTTAATATTTTGGGTTGTTTTGCTTTTAGTACTTTAAATGACCAGTGTTACCTGCCTGCTTCTCCATTGCATTGATCATCTTAGTTTTTAAACATTATTTAAAAAGTTATTAACATACAGAAGCGCAGCACAAGCACAAGGAACGGCCCCACACGCCTTCCACCGAGACCCGCCCTTGCTGCCATTTGGCCACGCTGGCCCTCCCCTCCCGTGCAGACGCGCTAGTTTTGAGGAACCCTGTCTGTCGTTGAGAGAGTGCTGTGGTGACATCGCCACAGAGTGTGACTGATTAACTAGTATTCTCTTCCATTGCACCCTCCTTTACCCTCCTCTTTGGAACTAAAGGAAGAAGAGTTTACAACAGACGAAACCAAGAGTCATCAAAAGCCACCGTCTGGTTTGTTGTCAAAAACTGAATTTTCTGATCCTGACTGGGATAATGGCATCGACGATACTTGTTTTTTGGAAGCTACTGATGATGCTGAATTAGCAGAAGCTGCAGAGAAGTCTTCTTGGTTATAGTGGTGGAGTGAGTGAAACTCCTGATGACCTAGTTGTAGAAGCCTTACAAGAATAGCTAATTAACTGTGGGTGCTTATATAGCCATGACCAGAATGTAATATGAAGACAGATTTTAAAAACACACTAAATTACAGTAACTTATGATAAATTATAGTAACTCATTGTTAAATCTGTCGATTAAGTTTTCACTCTGCTTCCCAATTTTTATTTACTGAAATCACTTTTTATTGAAAATTAGCTTCAGTGTACTTCGATTCAGTAGAACTCTCCTTATTAACCAAAGTTAGTCCATATTCACTTTAGATTATGTGTATTTATTTATTTATAGGTTTCAAGTATTTGTGGCTAATTAGGAACATTTTAACTTATTACCCAAGACACTAACCAGAAAAGTTCATTATGGCCTCTAAAACTACTATGCAATCAAACTGTGACAAGGGCGCACAACCAGCCTGAATAATTAGACACGTAAAGTATCCGAGAATGTTGCTTTAACAATAAAAAGCAGTTTCAGAAGGCACCAGGCGCCAGGTGGGGCTTCTCTTTATATGGTCTCATTCCCGCTCAAGGAGCCTCTCTAACTGATAGTTGATGTTCTGCAGATGGCTCTGAGCTCCTAAAAGGGTTCTTCCTTTGAACAACAAAGCTGGAAGGCTGGATGAATCATACTGTTGAAGGAAAATATTTAGATTAAAAAATACCAAGAACTGTTACACTTTGAGCTGTGTGAGACAAATAGGATTATGACCGAATGCTGATTCTATAGAGATTTCCACTCATCCTGCCCCCTGCCCCACTTCCGTGAATGAGGATCACTAATTTGGTTGCAGCCTGTTTCCTTAGGACACAACTGGTAAGTGGGATTTCAAGGGACCCGCTTTGCAGGGCCGGAGCTGCCTCACCCCAGGACACTGGCTGGCTCAAGGAACTGCGGCCTGTCAGTGATTGAAACAGAGTCGTTCCTGGGGGGGAGCAAAATGGGGCTTCCGCAAGGCTGTGAGACCGCACGCCCCTTTTAAACAGAAAGCAAGTGCACAGTCCCTGTTACTGCGAGAACCGAAGGGAGGAGCCCACCAGGCCCGTGAAAGTTCACGAGGAAAAAAGCACCATCTAGAGAAGTTACTTAGGACAAGACCAGTTCAATGTCTTAAAGTTGCCAGTACAAAATTTCTTTATGATTAAAGACAATCAGAACACAAATCCAACATAAAACAGAACACAAAACCCAGGTAATTATTTTAAAATAATTAACAAAGCCAAACTGCACATTATAAATTTTATCTAAGGGAGAGTGACTATTCCCCTTATGAAATTTTATAATTATGAGTTTAATGTGGTATTCTTAGAAATGAAAAATTGAACTGAAAAGCTGGCAGACTATACCACCCACATAATAATGGAATTTTTCCTAGAATATAACCTGCCATATTACTATGGAATTTAGTTAACTATTTGAGATTCTAAGGTGTTCAAGCTACCAAGGGGCACCCGCCCTTGGGGAGGAGCGAGGGGTGGGGAGAACTAATACTTGGTACCAGACTTTTAGTTTAGGAAAAGAGGTGAGACATATACCTAGGTATCTAAATACTCCCTAAAGCCAAAAGCATAGGCCCTCCATGAGAACGACAAAGGGCGCCGAGGGCCTTCAGAGAACAAGCAGTGTGTCCCCCGCAAGGCAGACCAACTTCTTCACGTTCAGTGGCTGAATCTCTAAATCCAAATGATAAGCTTTACACTAGTTGGATACTAGCACAGGGAAAAATACAAAACATTCTATTTTCAGATCTCTATTAAAAAAAAAAAAACTTAGGCTAATGAGAATTAACCTTCAGACCAGTGTCAAAACCTTAAAACTGAATTTAGAAGTGAAGAATACAAGTATGCTCTTAAGATATATGTGTACAGTGCAAATATATCAATTTTTTTCTCTAACAAATATTCCTATTAATCTGAGCTGGGTCTCATAACTGTAGCAAAATCTGCAGCAAAAATCCAGAAGCAACTATAAAATTTATTAAAACAATATACCACACCTTCTCCTGCTATATTTCCTTTTTATGTTTCTCAACTTCTCATATCACACCTACCATTTTATGGGATAATACTTGTTTTTCAGATAAAAAAGAGACTACAAACACGGGCTGAACAAAAGCAAAAGACGCAGGTCTTTAAAACGTGTCTGAGCGGCACATGCCGACTACTGTAATAAAGCCTGGCTGCCCATCTGGGGCTCGCACAGGAAGGATGCACTCCCCTAAGGAGATCCGCTTCCTGTTACAGGGTGTGTCTCTGCTCCCCTGGCCTTACCTACGTTGCTAAAGAAGCGAGGATGATCCACAGCAGCGCTGCAGCTGCTCCTGCCCCTCTCCTGCACGCCGGGCACCTGGCGGCACCGCGCCCGCCCCACACCTGAAGCACATGGGGGAGTGAACCTGAACTCACCGTCTCCTTTACGTGTGGCTCGCTCTCTCGAACACCTGAATAATCTTGATGGAGCTGTTTTAAATTAGATAAGAAATGTGCTGCATTCCTAAGAGAAGATTTTCTCTCCTTAAGTTCATCATATTTCATTTGTAGTTGTTTCAGCTGTGGTTCTAACCTAAAACAGAACAGTTTTCCTAAAAATAAAGGACATATAATCAAGTGTAACAGCCTCGAGTGTACCCAGTGAAGTTAGAAAAAACAGGGCCTGGGGAACTGCTGAAATGCAACAGGCAGGAATAGGCAAGAGCAAAACCAGGAACAAAAAGCCTTCCTTTTGCTCCTTCCTCTTATCAAAACGTGAGTCCATTTCCCAGGCCCAGTAAAACCAGTGGGAGGGAAAAGCTGCCCCAGTGCCTGGGACACCGCATGGCCTGTGGAAAACCCTCTCGGCCTGGGTTCCCATGCGCGTCACACCCAGCTCCATGTTTCAATAGTAACACGTTAACCTACTTCCACACCACTCTCTGCGCGCTGGTGCCACGAGGCACCGGCTGTACCTTCACTCACTGATTCTCACTAGGCCCGGGAGGTAGAGGTGTTACGGTCCCTGCCAAAGGACGGAACTGAGGCCCTGGGAGATTAAATAACCTGCCCGAGGTCACACGGCCAGCAAGTGGCAGAGCCTGGACTCAAACCCCAGGTGGCCCAGTTCCAGAGCCTACGTGTCACGTGGCTAATGAGGCTGCTCCTCAGGCCAGAGCTGAGAGACCTAAGGACAGACCAGTGTGAATTCTCCTTTGCTAAAAGCTTGTCCCCTCTGCAGCCTAATTTACCTTCAAGCTCAAAGAAAACCAAAGGGACTGATGTGACCTGGCAGCAAGTTTTACTAGCCCCATGGGACATGTCACAACCCTTCTGGGTAAGTTCTCAAAGTGGATTTTGATATCTTACCAAAGCAGTTCATTCTGGACTTCAATCAAACGCTGCCTTTTCTTTTCAATATCTGAAGTCATCTAAGTGAGACAATAATTTCTTTGTTAATTTCACAAATGTTTGAGCACCACCAAGTACACTGTGCCAGGTGTCTGGAAGTACAGTGAGAAACAAGACAGACCGCGCGTTCTTTCCATCATGGACCTGTGGTCTAACAGGGAAGGCGCATTTCACGCAAACAGTGTGTCATGTGACAACTTCTGACGCAGGCTCTGAAAGAGCAGCGGAGCTACTCACCCCGGGACTTTAAAGAGGTGGGGCTGGATCATTACCAACACGTTACAGAACTGTACTCCTAGATTTTATCTAGGTACACTGGGAAAACATTGAAATGGGTTAGCAGGGTCGGGATTCGTTTTTAGAATGAACACTCAAGTATAATAAATTTTACTATCTTAGCCATCACTGTTAGTGACTAGGTAATGTTCCAATGCTGGACATTCAGACTGTTCCCACTTGCTTCTAAGCAATGCAGAGTGGACCAATAAGATATTATAACGAAAGGAAAAAAACCACCAGCAAGTTTGTAATCACTGGTAGGAAAATATGTATGCTTCCAACTCATTTCAATTACAATCGCAGAAGGAAAGCTATTCGTCCACTCCTGGATTCATGCAAGCTTAGGGCCAGAACCTCAGGGGTCATCTGGTCAACCACAAACAGCCGGGCCTAGTGTTTCCCCACTTTTCTCCAGCACACCTACTGGTGCAGTTTTCAAAAAGGCGGTACACTATCCAAGCAGCAGAACAAGGGCAAGGAAAGAGGTCCCCTGATCCTTCACCCAGTATTCTTCCCAAGCTGTCCTTTGACCTGCGACATGGGACAGCTCTTCATTCTAAAAGGCTGTGCCTTTCGGATAGCTACGAAAGTGGTAAGTATGCATCACTTAACACTTATCCATTTTGGGCTTCGCAGACTTTTTCAGGCTAACCAGGGTCCCCTATCCTCTGCATGTTATCAACAGTACTCGACCACAGCTCAGCCAAGTAACAGCCTGACTGAAAACACAGGGATCTTACACAAGCTGAACGCCCTAAACCCCAGAGGCAGGTCTTTACTTGACTCTTTGACACGACTACATGTTTCTAATCACAAGCCATTTACCTTAGCATTCTTCCTTTTCAGGGTTTTCAACTTCTGGGCTTCAATAAGCTACACAAAACAAAAAATAAATATTCTCATGGCATTTTCCAAGATTAAATGTTTATTAGTTTACAGTATTTCACATTTATTTCAAAACAACACGTGGGATACAAATAAATCTCACGAGTTCTTTACCGCCCTGCCAGCGACGCAGCCCCCCCCCGAGCGCCGAGTCCACCCCAGCACTAGCAAAGAAGGCGTGGGCCGCTCAGTGCCAACACACTTACTGTTCTCATGAGTTCTTCTTTCAGAGTAGAATGAAATTTGTTGATCGCTTCCCTGCAAATTTTAGATTCTATATTTTGTCTGTAACAGAATTTTTAAAAGAAGATTAGGTGTCCAACCGGACTGTGAAAGGTGCGCTCTGTTTGCTCACCCGGCCCCCACACAGTCACGCAGGCTGCATTCTGGGTATCTAGGATGGCATGGTCAGCTTGCAGCCCTTTCTCTGGCTTAGAAAATACTGCCTATGTCTCAATAAAAGAGAATTAACAGGAAAAATTTTCCCCTAAGCCCTCGGGTGTGTGGTCAGCTAAGCCCCCAGACACTGGCCACATCCACAGGTGATGCCAAGTGATGCGGCAGTGCGCGGCCGACCCCAGTCTTCCTGCCTCCGATCCAATGATCTGCAGAGTTTAGCCCCTCCCTACCTGCCAGCTAACGCCCGGAGGAATCGTTGTATAGCTCGTTTGGACTAACCCACAAGTAGCCAAAAGCCAGCTGTCCAATTCTTCAAAGACTATAAAGCTGAGCCCCCAAGAGAGAGCGGCTCAGGCCCCTGTAACAAGGGAGCAGGGGTGCAGTGCCCAGCCCGGCTCCCCGTGGCGAGCGGCCGCTGCGCAGTGACTGCACCAGCGGCAGACCCTCTGCCGCAGCAGGGGAGCGCGCCCCAGGGCGTCTGAACTCTGCAGAGGCCAGGAAGGCACACAGGAGGCCGCGCTCTTCAGTCCAGATCTCCGTGCAAGTGCTCATCCTGACAGGGCGGCGGAAGAGGTATTTCCACCAGCATCAGCAAGGCCGTGAAAGAGGAAGCCCTGGACCTCACCCTACGCCCCGCCAGGGGAACCACTTTAACTATGGGAGGCCCAAAAAGTCTTATGATAAGTCCCAAAGCCACTTAATAAACTGCAGTACGCCAGACAAGTTCCAAAGTCCAGAAGAGCCACACTGAAACACTTCCAGTGATGACAGATCCATGGGCCGGAAGCTCAGTAAGGAGCCGGTGGACTTGAACACCACCATCGCCCGGCTGGGCCTAGCAAATCCATACAGAGCTCTCCCAGCAGTGCCAGCAGAATCCACACATTCTCCTGAAGCACACCAGAACAATGCCCGTAAGTCTTAACCAATGTAGTAAGATTAAAAGCATACCAAGTATCTTTTCAGACCACAATGGAATAAAACTAGAAATCATTAAGAAAACTGGAAAATTCAAAAATATGTGGAAACTAAACAGCACTCTTGAATAATCTAGAGGTCAAAGAAATATTAAGGGAAATTAGAAAATATCTTGAGACAAATGAAAACAAAAACAATGTATCAACACTTACAGGATGCAGCAAAAGCAGTACTAAGAGGGAGGTTCACAGTGGTAAATGCCTACATTAAAGAAGATCTCAAACCTAAAACCTAACTGTGCATCTCGAGGAACTACAAAAAGAAGAGAAAGCTAAACCCAAAGTTAGCAGAAGGAAAGAACAATAAAGATTATAGCAGAAATAAATAAAATAGAATAGAAAAATAGGGAAAATGAAACTAAGTTGTTTTTTTTTTTAAATCAACAACATTGACACATCCTTAGATGGATTAAGGAAAAAAAGACTTAAAATCAGAAATGGAAAAGGAAGCACTGTAACTGATGCCACGGAAAAACAAAGGACCATGAGAGACCACTATGAACAACTACCTGCCAACAAGCTGGGTGACCTAGAAGAAACGCTTAAGTTTCTGGAAACCTAGAACCTACCAGGATAAGTCATGAAGCGATAAAAAAAAGAAAATCTGAATAAACCTATAGCTCGTTAGGAGACTGAATCAGTAATCAAAAACCACTCATCAGAGATCCCAGGGCCAGATGGCTTCAAGGGAGAATTCTGTCAAACATCTAAAGAAGAATGGATGCCGGTCCTTTCAAACGCTTCCAAAATACTGAAGATGAGGGAACACTTTTGAACTTATTTTATGAGGCCAGTATTACTCTGATACAAAAATAAAAACTACTACAAGAAAAGAAAACTCGAGACCAATTCCCTTGATGATTATTGATGGAAACTCCAACAAAAGACCAGTGAGCAGAATTGAACACCTGAAAAGGATTATAGACATCGTGACAAACTGGGATTTATTCCTGGAACGTAAGGATAGCTCAACATATGAACTACAACCCATGTAACACAGCACAGTAACAGAATGAAGGACAAAAGCCACATGTTATCTCAATGCAGAAAAAGCATTTGACAAAATTCAACACTCATTCACAATAAAAACTGTCAATGAACTAGGAACAAAAGGAAACCACATCAGCATAATGAAGAGCCCTACAGGAAGAGCCCACAGCTAACAAACATCCTGCTCCCCGGTCAAACACTGGGAGCTTCTGTGCCCAGATCAGGGACGAGGCAGGCATGCGTTCTCTTGCCATTTTTTTCAACACAATACTAGAAACCCTGGTTAGGAAATCCTGGTTAGAGCTATTAGCTAAGGGAGGTGGGGGGGGGGGGGGGAAGGGCATCCAAATCGGAAAGAAGCAAAATCTCTGTTCACGGAAAACGTGATCTTGTATGTAGAAAACCCAAAGGTTACATGCACGAGAAACTGTTAGAACCAATAAACAGATTAAAAATCAGTTGATTTTCTATGGGTTAGTGATGAACAATCCAAAAAGGAAATTAAAAATCCCATTTACAGTATCATTAAAAAGAATAAAATACTTAGGAATAAACTTAACCAAGGTGGTGATATATTTACGTACTGATAACTATAAAAATTGTTAAAAGAATTAAAGAAGATACAAATAAATAAAAAATATCCCATGCTCATTGATTGTAAGACTTATAACTATTAAGATGTACTTACTATCCAAAGTGATCTACAGACTCAATGCAATTCCAAACAGCACTTTTTGCAGAAATAAAAAAAAAAAAAATCCTAAACTTTGTATGGAATAACAAAGGACCCCAAACAGCCAGAAACAGCCTTGAGAAACCAAATCAAGACCGAGTCCTCACAGTTCCTTATTACAAAACATCACAAAGCTACAGCCATCCAAACAGTCCAGTACCGACATACAGACATCTGGACCAACGGAACAGAACCGAGCACCTAGAGATAAACCCTCACTTACATGGTCAAAACACCTTCAGCAAGGGTTCCACAGCTACACATGGGGAAAGAGACAGATATTTATTGCACAGCAATGTGAATATACTTAACATTACTCAATTTATACTCGAAAAATGGTTATGATGGTAAATTATCGGCTATATATATTTTATCCCAATTTTAAAAATCCATGAGCCCTCTTTAAAAAAAAGTATTTCTAATTTAAATATACAATCATGATTTTAAGATGTTAAAAATTAGAAAAACTGGTCAAGACTTTCTGCATGGTTTATAGATGATAAATTGGTGGATTCTATCAACTATAGGCATAGCTCTTTCAAATTTTAATGCCTTAAAAATCTGGTCACTTCCCTATAGATAACTAACTGAATCAATTTCAGAATATTCCAAGTTTGTAATGTTTGCATTTCATAGCATACTTTCTTATACACATCGATAACTGATTACAATCAGTAAGTCTGTTAACAAAGAAACTATTCAGGTGTGAGTGTCAGGTACAGACATCAAAAATAGCAGACCTTAGAATAGTTAACTTGATTTTGAAAGAATGAAGCTTGTTCCGTGGTTGAGAACACTTTGCCAAAATAAATAAATAAATAAATAAATAAATAAATAAAAAATCCAGTGATCCTACCACAATGACTTGTCCTGACCAAAACACAAGGGTATTTTATAATTTTAAAAGTCTAATGAAAATATTACATCTTTTCTAAGTCATTCCTTTTTTCTCTAAATCTTATATCAAGAATTTATTATGCTAAAAGGCAAGATAATGCCACTTCCGCTAAAACACCAGAAGCTTCTTCTTCCTTCAGAGGCCGATGAATGGGAGAGGTAGACAGCCTTGCCGGTCTTGGCCATACTGAGAGCTCTGTGCCAGTTTTAATGGCAAGCTGGCTCTGGGACATGCTGTACAGAGAATAAAACAGACACTTGCTACAATGATAAAGAGGAGTGAGCATGACAGGCTGGCTCCGTCGCCCAAGGTCACCCCCGGAACTGCAAAATGGAGGCAGCCGAGGCGAGGGGAAGAGGCAGGGAGAGCGGGCGAGGCGGTATGAGGAGGCCCAGGACAGGCAAGGGACTGGTAAGGTCGGTACCTGCTGCTTCCTCAGCGCTGGTCCCCACCCACCGCGCTTGCCAACAGCTACAAGCAGCAGCAGCTCAGACCTCTGTCCCTAGGTCCTGTCCCCAGGAGTCAAACCTGAGCTGTGTCTGTGAGGCCTGGAGACAGACAGGTAGACTGACCAACTCTGGGCTGCTGCTCCCTCTTCCCTCCCCTGCCGAAGCCCCAGGGCTGGAGAGCGACAATCTAAGAAGTACGGCTACTCTTAAGGCCACTTATGTCTGGAGAGCAACAGGAGAGATCCTGACCTACAGGTCACCTGCTGGGATGAGTGGCCGAGACGCCCGTCCACCTGAGGACAGGTGGCTCATCCAGGGCAGCCTTCCCTTCTCACACGGGCGGCTGGGGGGAGGAGCTCGCCCGCTGCAGTGACCAGGCACTGGAGGGACACAGCGCTCCAAGGGAAAGGGGTCTGGAAGGTCAGAAAGTCTGCCAGAAGCAGGTATTTCACATCAGATAGTCCGGTAGTTTAAAGTAGCCTAATAAATATTCTAAAGAAGATAACAGAAAACATGAAATTTAAGGCACAAAGAAGAACGAAACAGAAATATATAAAAACTAAAACAGCTAAGTACTCAATAGAAAAATGGAAGAATAGATATATCTGAGAAACTGGGAAATTTCCAATATCTAGATTGAGGAAATCAAGAATGAAGCAAAGGACAATATAGAAAATATAAAAATTAGAGGGGACAAAAAATATATTTTTGTAATTAAAGAATAACCTTATATTGAAAAGGTCACAACCAAAATAGTGAAATTTAGAAATATCAAAGACAAAATATTGTAAAAGCTTAGAGAAAGAGAAGGCCACATGTAAAGGAACACGATTTAGACATCATATTTTTCTAATTTAACACTAGATGCGAAATAAGATGAATAGTGATTACAAATATTTAAGGAAATGATTTCTAACCTAGAATATACAGCTAACCTCCTGTTCACATTCAAAGTCATGAGCAAAATAATGAGAATTTAGAAATTTTACATAAACAGCCACACTGAAAAGAGTGGTTTAAAGCACTCAAAAAAAAAAAAAAAAAAAGGAGACATATCCATAGGATGTTGTAAGAAATATATGAAGGAAAGGGTATCAGATACACACCTTGGTAAAGACTGCCGCTGTCTGAGAATAAAGAAATCTGCCTACTTTCACCCAGAACATGAAGGGCTCTGGGCAGTGAGAGGGTGATCAAGGGATTAGACCCCCTGCCAAAGTTCCCATCTCATTAGATGAGAATTACAAATTCTATTTTTTAAAAAAGGAAGAAAAGATTAAAAACATCAAAAGTTAGAACAAAAAATTTAAAGAAGTAAAAGAACTTTATCGATCCATTCTTCCAAATATACTGATAATTACAATAAAATGTAAATGGCCTAAAGTCAACAGTTGAAACTGAAAGGCAGATACATTTAATTTAAAAAGATTTTATAAGAAAGCTTAAGATCAGAAAAAGGTTGAAAGTAAAATACAATCTGGCAAATGCTAGCTAAAGAAATCTAGTGACACTATATTAGCATCAGATAAAACAGATTTAAGACAAAAATCTACTTTTAAGAATGGAGAGGTTCACTAGAAAGGATAAAATGTTCAATCAAGACAGCACTTCTATGCATGATGTCCTGATAAAAGTCTTTAAATACATACAGCATAGACTGATAGAAGTATCAGCAAAAATTACCAATTCTACACGGATCCGATAATTACAGGTTCTACGTAGACCCACTGGTTAGAGAGTCCCATCGATCAGGTACTAGGCTATAAAGAAAGTCTCAATATTTCAAAAACCAGTCCACAAAATTTGATAACATATTTGAGATGCGTCCATCTCAAATACAAAAAAATAAAAAATCACATATTTGGGCATACAAAAAACATGGTACTAAATAGTTCACAGGACTGAAGAAAAAATTATAATGGAAATGTAAAAATACATAAAATTTAGCAATGAAAATACCATATACCAAAAGCTGTGGGGTAAGCAGCCGTGGGGCTCCGAGGGAAACGTATCTGCTCCACGTGCCATGTTAAAACTTACTTGTACTCTGGAATGGTTTTCTCCAATGCTGACAAAACAACATCTAACTCCATGATGTCGCTGCTTCTCTTTCCTTTCAGACACCAAACATGTGCACAGTCAGAAATATCTAGGACAGCAAGATAAGCCAATGTAATGCACTGAGGACGAAAAACTTGGCTCTAGTCCAGGGCTCTGCCAGCCTACAACAAAAGTCACCCCGCCAAACTGGTAAAAGGAACTGCAGCTGTGCAGCGCGCGGGCAGGGCCAGACTCGCCTCCGGCCCCAGAGCACGGTCCATGCCCGGCTCTGCCGCCCCCTCCGCCGCCCCCTCCGCCGCCACCCGAGCCCCGCTGCCTTCTCGGGACTCGGTGGCGCCTTGGCTTAGGCCGGCACTGTGGTCCCGAGCTCTCCTCTGCTAACTACACTTTAATTTTAGTCTAGCAGGTCCCTTCTAGAACACAAAAAGGCTACTCAGTGTATTGATTTAGGCAGTTGTTGTAAATAGAGTGTAAGCGATGAACAAAACTACAGTGCATTCTTAAACAAAGTATCTTCTAAAAAGATATTGTAGAGTACTTAGGAAATGGTAACATTTGATAAGACAAGGATACAGTTCCTTTTTAGGTGAGAAAAGCTCAGTAAAAGGATTAAAAAGCAGAGACATAAAACATAATAGTTATTTTGGAGGGATGTAATTATAGGTTTATAGATAGATGATTTTATCTTCCTTTCCCTACTGTCTAAATTTTCTAAAATTAAACATTTTTTTTTTACACCAAGAAAAATATATAACTTCTCCTTTAAAAGAACTGAAGGAAAGAGAAAATGCTTTATTTTCTTCTGAAACAATTTTCAATACATTTTTTGGGTCAATGAAAATAATACCAAACAACATGGATGAATTAAGAGAAGTTATATTAAATGAAAAAGACTTATAGAAAAAATTACATACTAAATGATGTATGAAAATATACTAATGGATAGGTGATAAAAAATAAAATATATTTGAATGGTAAGATCTAGGTGGTGAGTATGTAAATGTACATTGTAAATTCTTTATACCTTTGTTTTACGTTGAAAATTTTCATGGTGATGCTGGGGAAAAAAAGTTACTCCAAAGTCACATATTTTTAAATTTTTTAAGTGGCAGTTTTATGTACTTAACATTTACTTCTTTAATGAATTAAGAATTTTTAAATGAAATTCTTGAATGACTGTCAAAGCATAAAACACTATTCTGTACCTGAGTTTATGGCTTCATTTCTTGATTTCTTTCTTTTGCCATGAAACACCTTCTCCTTTTTCTGAATTTTCTTAAAAAAAAACAAACAAACAGCAAAGAATTTTAAAAGTTTTTCTTTTTTCGGGGGATGGGTGGGTTTTTGTAAGACTATGTGAGCCAAACTGATGACAGTTGCTGGGAAGCAAGGCTGGAAGGCTGACAGTTTTTCTTAAAAGGATTAAGACGATGTTATCAAACACTGTCAGTTAACATTTTACCTATCATTCTTATTTACTTCTAATAAATTATATAGTTAATTTTATAAATTATCTTAATTGACATAGGAAACATTGAAAAAAATTAAACTGTTCCCCCGCCCCCGCCCCAGAAATGAAACCTTTCAGCTGGGTTTTAACAATGATTGTCTTGGAGGAAGTTGAACTTTTATTATTAAGATCATGTGTGGCATCAGCTATTTCAAAATTGTGACGAAGTAACAGCTTCTTGCCATAAGAAACTATAAATTTAGTGTTATTTATTTTTATTTTTTTAAATGTTAAACTCATTTTTAATAAGATTTTATTTTTAGAGAGAGGGGAAGGGAAGGAGAAAGGAAGGAGAGAAACATCAATGTGTGGTTGCCTCTTGCACACCCCCACTGGGGGCGTGGCCTGCAACCCCAGCATGTGCCCCGACTGGGAAATTGAACTGGCCTCTGGTTCGCAGGCCAGCACTCAATCCACTGACCCATACCAGCCAGGTGCCATAAACAACTATAAAATGGGGGTGGGGGTTGGCAATTTTATTCAGGCATTGGAACAATAGGCAAAACAAGACTAGAAAACTCAGAAAGTGAACCTGTGAATGCCGCCCCCCGTTCTCACCCCCAACCCATGCCTGGGGACAACTTCAGACAGCCACACAGCAAGCCAAATGCCAGCAGATCCCAGTACGCCAAGGAGGCAGGCCTCCGAGCACAGCGGCCACGGCACATGGAGCTGGCGGCTGAGCAGAGAGCCACAGACGTCCAGGGCTCTCCGGAAGTGCACACATGCAGAGCAAGGCTACAGAAGTTCACTAGAAAGCAGCTGTCATGGGATTCAGAACATCACAGGTCACAGAGGACGTGCAATGCTGGGGGACATTAGATGCAGCACATGCACAGGCCTCATTGAAGCTAGCCAGCGCTGGTTTATCCGGCTGCGCTGGCAGGTATCTATGGCAAGAACCACACTGCAGAGCATGCAGCCCAGGCAGGGCTTTACTGTTCCCAAGGGGGCAAAGGCTGAGTCTTGGGGGGGAGGAGTTTGCAAAAAACCCCAACAAAACCTTAGATATTACAATGGCTCATAAACCTCCAAGGACCCAAGTACATAAACAGTGATGCAGCACACATATGGTATTAGAATTTAAGAGAGAGAGAGAGGCAGAGAGAGAGAGTTTGTGAGAGAGAGAGAGAGAGAGAGAGAGAGAGATGGGGGTGATTATGAGGAAAAATGTCTACAAAGGCTTCTTAAGGTGGACAATAATGAAGGAGGACTGAGAACACTGCCCTTGATGAAGGCCTACTGGAGACCCATCCTCACACAGCCTAAAACCAAGCTCTGACCAGGCTCGTCAGGGAGAACTTGAGGCTGCGGTAGAGAATCCTAAGGTGATCCCCAGCGACCTGTTAGACAGCCCCCACGTGAGTGCAGGTGGCACCCGCGGATGCCCAGGGTAACAGCTCCCTCATTAGGTCGCACTCTACCACCACTGCAGCCGATGGAGAGACGCTCCCCGGCTGGCTTCGAAGATGTAGGGGCCATGTGCCCAGGACCAACGGGCAGGCTCCAGGGGCTGAAATGACCCCAGCTTCGAAAAGAGAAAACCTCAGGCTTACGCCGCAAGCAATCGAATTCTCCAAAAAGCCTGAATGATCTTGGACAAGACCCTGATTCTTGGGCGAGATCTCAGCCTGGTGAGAAACCCTGAGCTAAGGTGAGCCTAGACTTGTGACCTACAGAAACTGTGAGATGTTAAGTGTATGTTGCTCTAAGTCACACAGTTTGGGGCAATTTGTTATGCAGCATCTGCAAACTAATACAGAGATTGAGTCCCACTGAGTTACAGAAGCTTGGAAAATCCCTTAGGCTTTTCGAAAGTTGACTCTAACAAGAATGAAACCAAACCTAAAGAAGTTAAAAATAATCAGCCAATAACCAAGCTACCTACAAAAGTAAAAGTCCACATTATTCAGGAGACATTAGAAGAATTCAGAGTCTTAAAAACAATGTCCAACACACAATTGTAAAATACTAGATTACAAATGTTGCACAAAAAATGTGAACCATAGGGCAGAAAATGAAATTGACCTGAGATAGCCCAGATATCTGATTTAGAAAACAAAGACTTTAAAGCAGCTATCACAAATATGTCCAAATAAATTAAGGAAATGACAGTCTTAATAATCAAACAGGGAATCTTAGTAAAAACTATACCAAAAAAAAAAAAAAAAAAAAAAAAAGGAAATTCTAGAACTAAAAGCCACATAACTAAAAAGTCCTTGGGTGAGGTTTTAGTTTCTTGTGGCTGCTGCAGTAAATTACCACAACTTGGTGCCTTAAAAACAACAGAAATGTATTCTCCAACAGTTCTGGCGGTCAGGAGTCCAAAATCAGTTTTAATGGGCCAAAATCAAGGTGCTGGCAAAGACATATGAAGACTTGATCAAAAAAATATATGTCAAGAATCTTACAACAGAACACATATGACCCAGAAATCTTACTGTAGCATTTTTTTTTTCCTGAATGATCAAGGGTGCACATGAAGATTTAACTAGAAATTCCTCAAAGCACTTGAAATTTTTTTAAACGCCACCATCCACAACTAAGAGAATAACTAGCTACAGGAGCAGCAGGACTGAAGTGCCAGGGCCCCCGCAAAGGACAGTGTGTAGAATACCAGATGGCCAGAGCGAGGTCCTCCTCAGGGTGAGGGGGCTCAGTGAGAGGACTGAAGACCGACTGTGGGTGAGAGAACTATAGGGTATTTTATCCTCCTTTCCATACCTTGTAAATACTCTAAAATAAAACTTTTTATAGTAAGATAAAAAAAAGTCTCTTTAAAAAACTGAGGGAAAGAGGAAAAATGGTTTATTTTCCTCATAAACATTTTCCAATCAACTTTTTCCTGCCAGGGGATGGCTGGCACGCTCTTACCAGCTGACTTTCTGTTGCCAGGGTCTCTTTTTCAACGGAGGACTTGGCGCGTAGAGGTCCTACCGTTTTAGGAGTGCCAAGTTCAGCCACCTTCTCTGGAAGTTCTGAAGGTGACGTAGCTCCATGTTGCTGGCTACTTATTTTCTCGGCTGGTTTACCTTCTATGATCACATCCCTTTCGTTACAACTCTCAGATTCATCACTAATGGGCTTGGGCTTTCTTCTTGGCTATGTCAAGAAAACGGCATCACTGGTTTAGAAAATACAAATGCTTATCATCCTTACTGTAACAGGAGATAACTAGCCCACACTTCCCACTTCTACACTTCAAGATGGAATATAACCGGGAGATGACAACATGACTAGTGGACGGGACAGGAAACCCAGATTAAAGCTCCAAATAAATGTCCCAATAAGTCAGTCTGCCGCTGTAAATCACAATCTAAACACATTACATGCATGTTACGATTGACAAGGTAATGAACACTTCAGATAAAAAATGTCTCATTATTTAAAAAAATCTTCTAAAACATAATACTCTATGAAAAATTCTGCTACAAAACTTTTTCTCTCTGCTTCCAATCTAAACAGGATATGAAATACTTTATAGAACATTTTCTCTATTTGCATCCAAACTAAATTGGATTTGAAATATCTTACTAATTAAGGTAGAAGAGGGTACACTCTTACATACCTTTTTTGCACTAATTTCTATGAACTCGTGTTCACTTTCTTCAGTTTCAGAAGTGTTTGAACTGTACCAAAGAATAAAGACATCAATATCTTGCACATACTTCACTGTTATTCACGTATGTCTTCTTCAATTTGCTCGTCCAACAGGAAAATAAGCTCAACGCAGTGAGATCTGCTTGTGCTGGATGGGGCTGCCACCTTCCCAGACTTACTGGTCCTCCCCCCTCCCCCATCCCTTCATCCAGGGCAGGGAAGTCCTGGGAAGTGTCTCCTCACGGCAGCACCCTGTGGTCGTGTCCAGAACTGCAGCCCCCTCCAAGTTCCCGGTCCCAGACCCCTGGGCGCCTAGCATTTGCACTGAAAGCGAAACCGCACACGCTAGGCCACCATTAGGTGAAATAAAAGGGAATGCTCCTTTCGACCTTTGGAAAAGAAAAGCAACCCTGAACTTCTGGTGAGAGAGGAGTCCTTTCATTTTCTTCACTCAGTTCAATGTAATAAACATTTAACACCAACCACAAAATGCAGGGAACAGTGAATAAAACTGCTTTGAATGCGGAGTCTTCCTTGGCCCACTGTCTAGCAGGAAGATAGATCACAGGTCATGCAGGGCGCGGGCGTGGCCCGCAACAGACAGAGGAGGTGTGGCTGCAAAGCTGGCGGGGTTAGGAGAGACATCATCGATATGACTCTGGAATTTACACTTTTCCAGGCAAAGAAATAAAGGGAAGGCTATTTAAGGTGGAAGGAAAAGCAAATGTAAAGCCCGGTGTGGTCAAACAGCTGGTGCGGTCAGAGAACTGGGCGCAGAGGACAGCCAGCGTGCACTGGGAAAGGAAACGGTCAACAGCTGTGACCAGGGCGGCTGGCTACGCAGACAACCTCAGAGCTTCCTGATTTAGATTTCTGCTGAAGCGGGGTACTGATGTTTAAAATGCAGTTTGGCTACTGTCACAATATAGTCAACAACTACAACTGACCTATTACCTAATAGAGGTCCTTACGTCAAGGATTTGCTCTAGCTAATAACTTATAATTAGTATTGCAATATTGAAGAGTTCTTCATAATATAATTTGTTCTCAAGTGGTCTCTGTGGAGTCTTTTACCTGATTTACCTGACCATGCCTTTGTATCAATTTGTAAAACTCAAAGCAACACTAGGGACAACACATCTGAAGTAAACAACAGACTTTGCATTTCCTTTGTAATTACCAGCCTGATTCCTTGACTTCCACCTGGTACTAGAGAACACCTCTTTTGTGACAGAGAATTTGCAAGTTAAAGAAACCTCTGACAAAGTAACTAAAATTCTATTAATAGAACCATTCCTTCCCTCTTTGTTTTACCTCCAGGTCAAACCACCTTCACAGGCAATGTTTTCTAGGCTAACCAGGTGTCAATTACACTTTTCCGTTTTTAAATTAGACTGGATTTTTTTTGAAGTATAACTGACACATAAGAGTAGTTTCAGGTGTACAATGTAACGACTGCATGTCTGTAAATACCACAAAATGAGTTAACATCTGTCACCATACATAGTAACAAAATTCTTTTCTTGTGATGAGAACTTTTAAGATCTACTCTCATCATATGCAGTGTAGTGTTATAAATAGTCACCATGAAGCACACTACAGCCCCATGACTCTAACAACTGGAAATCTGTACCTGTAATTATTACAAATAATGTCAATTTTTGAAAACTTAAGCTTTTATGTACCAGTTCTCTTAAGGAAAGACCTAAGTCGGCCCCAAACACCTCTTAAATGCTTTTTTAAAAACTGAGGTTCTACCCTAAAGAGCGTCCCAGAAACCCGGCCCGCGTGAGTGAGCCGCTGCCCGAAACCGAAGCAACAGAAGCCCACCTACCTCCTCCCGGCCGCCGGGCAGAGCCGCGGGCTGCAGCGCACGGGGAGCTCGCCTTCGTCCGCGTCTATGGCCGTGCTGTGCAGAGGCGGCGCTACAAAAGGGTTTTAACAGGCCAGCTTTAAAAGTCTGCCGGCGCGGGTAAAAGATCGTCCCTTTACCTCAGCGTACAAAGCAGTCTTTGTTTAAATGGGCAACAAAATCAACAGCAATTATACACGCTGCTTCCCAAACGTTCCTCATTTCACACCTCAACAATGAAAAACTGAAACCATTTCACTAACAAATATAATTCAGGCTGCAGTGGATATTTATCAATTATAGCCTGTATTGCTGCACCTATAGGAAAATGTCTCAATGAGGTAAACGAAAAAATGGGAAGCCTGACACTGACGCCCCCCCCCCCCCGGCCCCCATGGAGCATCACTCTCGCCGTGTCTGGGGGCGCGGGGCGGGCTGGCGCCTCCCGTGGGGGACCCTGCGACCTGACCAAGACCTGGCGCGGGCCAGGCCGCGCGCTCAGTCTCCGTGGAGCCAGGGCCCTGGGGGCGGGGGCGGGGGCAAGTCCAGGCCTCCCCCGACCCGTCCTCTCTGCCCGGCCCTGCACTGCTGGAGCCTTTGGCTACCAGAAACCGCTACCCTGAGCGATAAGGAAGACGACGAAAGGAGACCGAGTGGCCTCGGTGGGAAGGCACAGGGAGCAGATGCTGAGGGAAGGGGCCCTGGCCCTGCAGCCGGAGAGGCCCGGCTGGGCAGGCCGGGGACTGGGGGTGGGGGGGGGGGGCGGTGGCTGTGTTGAATGGCAGTGGGGGACGCAGGGAAGAGCCGGCAGCCCTTTCTTCGCGCTCGAATTCCAGCACAACAGCGCGAATTTACTTAGGAAGTGACCACCCAATGATGGCCGCACAATTTTGTGACTGTACCAAAACACCACTGAGTCGCGCATGTTAAAAAGGGTGAATTCTTTTATTAACAGAAAACAAATCTGAAAAATACTGACACCAAAATAAAACTATGTGAGAGCGTATGTATTTTCGAAATTCCCTTACAACCTATTCCAGCAAAAATGGCTGAGCTCTGCTGTTGTGAACGCGCAGGCAGCCGACACCCTCCGCGCCGTCCTTGACCTCCGGAGCAGCCAGCGACCCAGGGACAGCGACCCAGGGACGGAGGCAGCCCCGCCGGACGCACGGGGCCGCCAGGCACCGCCGGTTCCCTCCCCTCCGGGGGCACCCGGCTCGCCTGCAGGGCCCTCTGCCTCAGTGTGTCTAAGAAAAGGGGAGCCTCCCCGTCTTGGCCCCAAACTCAAGGCCCTTACTGGAAGCGTGGGGTGAGAAACCTGTTTCACACTCTCCGTGTTACAGGCACTGCAACGCGTGTCCTAGTGCGACCGGCTTGTGACCAGGTGCCACTGAAGAGCTCTACTTTGACAACGTCAACAGGGTTCTCTGTTCCAGTGTACTCGGAGTGCAAGAGTTAATTCACGTTGTAAAGAGCTCCCCAGAGTGCTATATTCATATGCGGACAACTCAGTTTTGTACTTGAAGATATTTCTACATTTTTATCAGTAACTAGCATAAATGTTGTTGCTTGAACTACTTTAAAGGTTTTGGGATAAAGGTTTGAAATACTAACCAAAGGATTCATAAGGTTCTTCATCTTTCTCGTTTTCACTCAACTTGCCCATGCTTGAGACATTAGAATTATCAGAAAAGTCATATACTTCAGTGGGCTTGTGCAGATGGACGGCTTTCTAAAAGAGAATAAAGTCAAAGTCACTGAACTGGCTGCATGAACAAGAACATCACAGAACTGACTTAGCGGGGACACCCTGGCCATCACAGCTCCCAAAGAAGCGATCCTTACCACTTCTGGGGACCCAGACTCCTGCGATCGTCCAAGGCAGGAGCTGGCAAACTTTTCTGTGACGACCAGAAAGTCAATACACGAGGCGTTGCAGGCCACAGGGTCTCCGTGGCAGTGACCCCGTGCAGCCCGCGTAGCACAACTTCAGGTACGGATAACGCTGAAGTTTCAATTTCACATCATATTCACGTGTCATGACACAATTTTGTTTTGATTTGGTTTCAACCACTTAAAAACATAAAAACCATTATTAGCTTGCAGGGCTGCACAAAAACAGGGTCCGGCCAAGATGTGGCTCACGGGCCACGGTTTGCCAGCTCCTGATCTACGGAAAGCGGTGGGCCTCTGCCCAGGCACATGCCACAGGCCTGAGAGGTCACCGACAGTTCTGGGGGTACACAGGGTTAAACCCCTGACCAAAGGAGAGAGACCAGGGTTTATGGTTCAATTAAGTAATAAGCCCTATGATGTTTGCTACCCCAAATCCTGATGAAAGAGCAAAGCAGAGAAAATGAGAAAAACTTCCATAGTAGCTCTGGAAAATATGGAAAGGTGTCACTAACATAAGAAAATTCTGGAAGATAGAAGATGAACTAAAACAAAACAAAAACGTTACCACTGACAGGACCTCACTGAAAAATCACTTGTGGAGTGTTTGGGGCGGAACGCCTCAGAGGAGGCCGGAGAGGGAAACGGTCCCCAGCACACAGCTCCCTTCATGGGAGGCAGCGGGCAGGGGAGCTGAAGGCTCCATCCCAGTCCAGGCTCTGGTCTCGGCAGCCCAGGGCAGGGAGCCAAGAAATCCATCCAAAGAACAGGCACCCTGGGGCGGGTGGGAGCACAGAGCTGAGGACCCTGCAGGAGACCTCAGGGTAAAAGAGCTGCCCCCTGAAGGTGGGGGAGTTAGGGCAGCTGGCAGGAGACCACACAAGACAGCTGCCAGGGCACAGAGAGGCCCCCCGACTCCCGCACCCCGCGAGCAAGCACCCTCCATACCGGTCCTACATCTTCAGGGAAATAATTTAAAATTAGCTATCAAGGGTGCTAAAGCACTGCCTTTAACAGATTTATTTTAAGACTCTACCCTAAAATAAATTATAACCTGGACAAAGTGGAATGTTGCAAAATCATTAACAATTGTTTATAACTCTAACATCACAGAGAAATGGCTATAAATGAAAATAGCAACATACGGGCAAAGTTGTACAATTTTATATAATGTTGGTTATCCAAACAAAAATGAAACCAAGCCAGGTGTAGGAAAAAAGATTCAAAATGTTAACAATTTCCCCCATTACACTGGAAGAAGCGGGAGGAAGAGGAATACACTGTCACTACAATGAAACACCTGTGTACCCCTGAAATCTACAAAACTCTGAGGCTCCCACCACATGTTAGTTATTTTGTATTGTCAGTTATGAGAAAATCAAGTTAAAATATAAAAAGATAACTTACAGCTTCTGTGGAACGTGTTCTTCCTACAGTGTTCTTTGAATATCTAGCACTATTAAACAGCAAAAAACACACAAAAAGTTAGGAAATATTTAAAAAATAACTGGGAAAACACTGTACCTTGCAACGCTTTCCAAGCATTTCCTTTGCAAATTATAGTCCTCATTGCTTGTATTAACACTGTGAAATCCAGGTGATGGCAAAATCATTTTAGAAAGCAGAACCCATACTTCATAAACTTAATTGCATTTTTATAGGTCAAATCCCGTCATCTATGTATAAAATAGCATCTCGCGCCCCCAGGAATATGGAACAGTCCTGCTGTCACCCCTGTGCCGGAGGGCTCAGTCGGGAGCAGTGGCGGACTGTCCCCGCAGAACTGAGCGGAACGGAGGTACGCCAATATTCATGAAGCACCTGACGCCTGTTCCACCCTGCACCTGGCTCTTGCATGTCTGCCTTCTCTAACAGTCCCCTGAGGTCCAGGTGAAACAACAGGTGAGTGTTTGCCCGAAGCAACACAGCCAGGCAGCAGAAAGGCCTGCTCTCAGATCTGAGTCCGTTTAAACCCAGAGCCAGCCCTCTTCACACCCCTTCCTGCTCCCGCCACTGGGCATTAGGAGAAAAGGAAAAAGCTGTGTACCTGCAACAACCTGAAAGTCAACAAGCAGGAACAGCAGTGACGGGAGTAAAAACTGGAAGTGAGGGAGGCAGGAAATGGTATTGCCAGCAAAATCGCACAGACTGTCCTCTGTGCCCCAGGCATTGTTCAGGGCATGGGGACTGCAACCCGAGAACATGCCACGCAGATACCCACTCAGGGACGGCAAACTCTCTTTTGTGTGTCTAAATTAGTATTTCTTTGAGTAACTTTTAGAGAAGTTACAAGGATAGTATAAGGATCTCTGTACACCCACTGCCCAAGTTCACCCTTGTTTACCTCGTGTCTCCTTTGCTCTGTGTGCATGTGAACAGCAAACGGGAGACACTGTGAGCCGTCCCCCTCAGCGCCTGTGCATCCTTCCTATGACAGGGCCTAGCCACAGTATAACTTCCAAATCAAGAAATGCCACAATAGTATTTAATCCACTGTCTATATCATGTAAGGTTTCCCCCCAGCATTTAAAAAAAGGAAATACATTCAAGAAAATATAAAATATAAGACTGCACGGGACACAGTATGTTTAGAAACCTTTTGTTATATAATGTGCATGCGTGTGTACTAATTGGGATCTAAAACATCATTACTGCTATTCACAGTAAATGAGAAGTTGGAAAACTGCTTAAAGCTGTGGTTCTCCAACCTGCAGCATCAGAAGCACCTGTGGGCCCCATTCAGCCAGCTTGGGGGCTCCGCCCCAGAGCGCCTGACTCAGCCGGCCTGGGGTGGGGTCTGACAAGCCCCCGCCGCAGTGGGTGCTGCTGGGCGGGGTACCCCACTTGGAGAACCACTGCTTCATTGGATTCTCAGACCTGAAGAAGATAGAACAGGTACCCACTTTACGGCATTTACGATTTGGGGTTCAGAAGAGTTAGGTGCCTTACCAATGGTCACAGACCCAAGTAACGGAAATAGGACTAGACACCAGATTGCATCAACTTCTTAACCTAAACTCTTTCCACTGTCACCTGCCTTGACCATACTTAAAAAAACAAACAAACAAACAAAACAACTCAGGTTCTAAAAGATGGAAAGTTTTGTGATACCATAGGTAAAACTTCAGTGTTTGCACACCAGTGCATTTTGGGAGGAGGGACGAACAGATTTCATGAGTCTCAAAGATAAAAATGTTCACACACACAAATACGTAAATAAAATGTTCCACACCCATGAGTGTGTGTGTGAGAGAGGGAAAGAGATCTCGCCTAGCAAATCAAGTTTAACTCTGGTCACCGGTCAATTGAGACCCCTCTATATTTTTTCCAATCGCCTTCCCCACTGGGCACAGAAGGGTCCTGCCGGCCTACACCACCTCCCTGCGCTCCGCTAGCCTCGCCTCCGCCCTCCAAAGGCCGCCTCCTCCAGGCTGCCCTCCACTGCCCTGGCGGAGCTCCTCCGCGCGCGATCTCGTGCACCGACCGCAGCGCGCAGAGGCCTTGAATAAAAGATGTTTCCAATTGCTCGTCCCATCTGGAGCGTCCATTTTAGGGATAACAAGCGGGAGCTGTGTCGTCTCCCCACCCCACCCCGCTGCGATTTGGTTCAGCTTTAAGGTCTGTGGTTTGTGCCACAAACACAGCAAGGACTTGAAAAGAAAAATACTGACGACCGGCCAGAGTCAACGTCGAAAGACTGAAATGTCTGGCAAGTAGCGGGCACTCAGTAAGTGTGTGTTTGGAGTCTACTGTAGACAACACCCACGTAAAGTAGTACTAACGCTAACGTCCCTTCCTGCCCGCCCGGCAGTTTAAAACTGTAACTGCGATAAAGTTCACCGTGATCCTAGAGCGTTGGGATCACTCTTCCCATTTTACAGGTTTGGACACAGCGGCCCTGAGTCACCCAGAGAAACGCACGCAGTGGCGGAGCCAGGAAGCCCCGCTACAGAGCACAGCTCGGAAAGGCACAAACCGCGACAGGGCGGAAATAAAATAAAGACGGTCCCCGGCCCGCGCTGCCAGGGACCGCGTCACTTACCCCACGTTTCTGGGGGTCCGCACCCGCCAAGAAGAGGCCATAGCCGCTGAGACCGCTCTCCAAGCCGCCGGAGGCCACAAATCTCCCGCCAACCTCGCGCCTCTCCGAGCAGCCAATCCGGGAGCAGCGTATTTGCCGGCGCAAGTACCACGCCCCGCCCCGGAGCCTTGTTTACTGGCGGCCCTAGGGCTCCGCCCGGTCCAAGAGCACGAGGGAAAATGCGGCCTGGAATACAACAAAAGGCGGAGCTGGAGTCTGCTCCTTACCACCAGTTGCTGACGGCCCCGGAAATGCTAAAGACTTGCCGAGCTTTTCCTCCCACCCGAGCCCTGCGTCAATTTTCCAGGCTCCGAGCTCCCCGCCCGGAAAGGGACGACCCTGTGCTCAAAAGTGGAAGGGCACTCCGCGGAGAGGCGGACCCAAGGTCAGGGTCCGTGCACCTGCGGCTCAGGCGCATGCGCAGCTGTCTAGTGCAAGGCAAAGCCAGGCCGGCAGGATTTGACCTGTGTTTGGCTGCCCTTAACCAGTGTCGTGGACTTGGCATGTTTCTTCATTCACCAATAGGGAGGGCCCTCACCACCCCATAAATAAAAATGAGCTGAAAATGGATCAAAGGCTTCATCCTAAGAGCTAAAACTGAAATTCTTAGAAGAAAACATAGGGCAAAAGCTTCGTGACATTGGATTTAGCAATGATTTTTTGATGAAAACATTCTACAGATGGACAGCAGAGCAGTGGGTGGCTGTATAACGATGTGACTGAATGTGCTTTTAAGTAGTGACGCTGAATTATACAGTTAAAAGTAGTTAAAATGCTAAATTTTGTTATGTATATTTTACCACCATAGAAAATTATTAACATATTTCATGGATACAGAAGAATCTAACATAATGGAAACATAAAAAGGAGCGCCCATGTACTCACCACTGGATTACAATATAAATCATTATCATTCCTCCCAAGGATAAATTTTATCATTCCCATGCTTTTCTAGCTGGTTTATATCCCTATTATATCCCTAAATAATGTGTTAATTATTTCATATTTCTAATCTTTACATAAATATGTGGTATGTATTCTACAAGTGCTCTTTCTTATGATTTATCCACATTGATGCACATAGCTGTAGTTCATTCATTTTCATTCTTTGGAATGTATTATGTAAATATATTTTATTTATCCCTTCTCCTGCGTATGGATAGATGAGTTGTTTTCAGTGGTTTTGCTATTACTGCAACGCAGCACTGAACATTTTTGTGTGTTGCTGTCTACACACCTAGGAGTTTCTCTAGGGATAGACTCAGTGGTAATATCATTACTTCATCATTTAAGGACATTTTCAGCTTTACCTGATAAGGCCAATTTTTACACATTGTTTTGTAGACTACAATTTACACTTCCATCAGCAGCATATGAAAGTCCCCTTGGCTCCATGTACTTGTCGATAGTTAGAATTTTTAAGACTTTCAAATTTTACCTAATGAGTTGAAATAGTATCCTATTGTTTTTGAACTGTGTTTCCCTTGAGTTGGTCATCTTTTCATTGTTTATAGGTCCTTCCTGATTCCTTTTCAGGGACACACCTATTCACTCCATCCAAGAATCACTGGGGCAATTGCAAGAGAAGAGTAAACCACCTTTGAAGTATTGAAGATCGTTCCCACTGATGGGTTCCTGGAGCTTGAAAGTTGTCACCCCTAAGAGAGTAGATGGGCAGCTTCATTTTTCTGTGAAAGGTTGTAGAAAGGTTGTAGTCAAACCTGTGCTTACGGGTTTGAAAAGACAAGAAGAGGTTCGGGACTCAGGATAGAAATAAAAACTCAACCCAAGTAGGTTTACTTAATAGAGGAATTTATGAACTCATGTCACTGAGAAATCCAGAGGTAGAACGACTGTCAAGCTCAGTTTGATCTGGAAGCCACGAGGGTTCTGAATCCATTTTCTTGCCCTTCCTATACCCCAGCTTTTTCCACAGGTTGATTTCTATTACCATCATCATCATTGTGCGAATTTGTTGAGCATTTACTATGACTCAGCCGTTGTTCTAAGTGCTTAGTCCCTATTAGGCCATTTAATCCTTTCAGAATAACCCCATGGGCTTGGCCCTATAATCCCTCTGTACACAGGAGGAGACTGAGGAGCAGTCCCTCAGGCAGGCAGTGGTGGCACCTGCATTAGATCTTAGTGTTCTGGCTCAGCCCTTGCACCTGACAGCTATTCCAGGTCACACATTCAAGTTCCCCCGTTCAGACAAAGAGACAGCTGTGTCCCAGCATTGCCGGGGAAATTCCTAGGGTGTACCCTGCGCCTACCTGTGTTCGGCTTCTCCAGAGAAACAGGACCACTAGGATATATATGTCCGCTCCGTATTTTAGAATTATTAGTTTGATGTGCAAATGAGAATATAAACAAGGATATTTTTACCTGATGGAATCGTAGTGAAGAAGTAAAGAATACGTAGGCGCCTAGATATACAGCAGGACTAATTTCCTCGTGCACCTCTGCTTTCTCCCTAGTGAACTCTTCTGTTAAATGTTCTGTTCAGCATGTGTCCACTAGGGGTCAGATAAAGAACGCCACAGGAGATTTGAAAATATACTTTGGAGACCAGAGCTCCTCATTCTCAGACATTGTAAATACTTACTCAAAGTTCAAGATTAATAACACTAGGTGCCTTCGCTGCCCTTGCTCAACTCACTTCCCCCCTTCTCGGGCATTATCCTCTCCCCTAAGTTACCAAATCCGCTCCTGTAAGTTTCCCTTATGCCAAAGAGTATGAATTTCTAGTGTGAAAAAGAAAATAATTTACTTCTCAGATTTCCCAACTTTCTTTTCGAACTTTATACAGTACCAACAAATTATTGGGTACCCAGGAATAAGCCACTTAACCTGGCAGTTTTCATCTGGAAGAAACTAAAGTCCTTATCTGTTTTAAACAGATCAACTGCTCAACATCTGCAATTATGACACAGCAGAACCAACTCGGAGCGTCTCCAGCCAGGGGGAAGGGTGAGGCCAGGAAGGAGGAGACCTTCACTTGGATGTTTCCTTTCAGAGGAAATAAAATTCAGAAAGAACGTCTTATTTGGTGTCTGTTAAAGTTGGGGTGCAGAAAGTTTTTTCCTGGTAGCATATGGTAGTGACATGAGACACCTTCCTGTGTCACATGCTTCCTGACATCTCCCTGGCTCTAAGCAGAGACTGAACTTAATTGCTCTGTAACTAATGTTCTCCCTTTTCCAGACCTAACTGGTACTGCTCCTACCCAAGCTGAGATCACATGGCAAACAGGTCCGAGCCCCACATCGTGCCGCTGCAGTCACATGTCTCAGATTCGTTCCCAGTGCCCTGTAGGGCTGCGAGGCTGGTCAGGAATCCTGGCAGGAGCATTCTGGCAGAAGCCAGGGTTTCTCTAGCCGAGGAACAACGGACTCCAACCTGCATAGGAAGGACTTCTATCACTCAAATGAGCAGAGGGAATAAAATGAAAGGACAGCCCAAAGTAAAATCTTTTCTTAAGAAAATAAGGGGGGAAAGGGTCCTGGAATAGGATTTCTACAGTTGAAAGGTAGTAATGTACGATGTCTCCAGGATGCTCACCTAAGCTGTGGTCGAAAAGAACTTTCCGGAAAAGTTTTCAATGACCTTGCTCCCTCTGACACTACTTTTGAGTGGCCTGAGAGCACAGTCAATGAGCTGACCTTGTTCAGAGAGTACTGGGCAACTCTTGTCCTTACTTCAGTGATCCTTTCTGCTCAGCCGAAATGGAGTGGCAGGAGAACCATCAGACACTGAGCCTTTCCGACACGCTCAGGTCAGACAGGCTTCCCTCTCTAACCCCTGGGCGATGCAGAAAGCCTTTCTAGAATCTTCTCTAGGAGGAAAGAGTTCCCCACATTCTCTGGCTGCTGTACCTCACAGGCACGCTCACTCTCTCCTTTGACCTTGTCACAGCATAAGGTCGTTACCACCCTACCCCTCCACCGCACACCACTGCGGGCTACAGCCATGCTCCCCAGTTCCTTTCCTGGGCTTGGAGAATCAGAGCGGGCTTCCCAGAGGGCAGAAGGAGTGACAGCTACCATCTAAGTGAAATGAAGCAAGAGCATGGCCCCTTCCGGGAGCTGGAATAGACGCAGTGTGGCTGAACAGAGTCCGGGACCGACGAAGGATGAGGCCAGGGAGACGAGCAGGGCCCCCCAGTTCCTTGCAGCATTAGCATCACCTGGGTGGGAGCTTATTCACAATGCAGAACTTCAGGCCTGATCCCAGAATTATTGAATGAGACCCTGAAGTTGAAGATTCCCCAGGGGACTGGAGGCACAATAAAGTTTGAGGAGCCCTCCTCTAAGTACATCAGCAGTTCAGAAGTGAGAGCGCCAGGAAACCTCTGAACAGTTAAGCAGGGGAATCACGTGACAAGACTTGTGACTTAGAAAACGCATTCTTGCTGCAGAGTGGGGGTAAAGTGGGTGAGTTACTAGGGGCTGATGTAGGGGACAAGGAGGTGCAGCTGTCCTGTAAGGGCTGTGGGAATAAGGCGTGGAGGACATTGGACAGGTTTCATGGAGGACAGGAGAAAGATTAGCAAGCTGGGGTCGCTGAGGCCAACTGGGGCAGCCCTGGAACTTCTCCCAAATCGAAGGCCCAGTGACAGCTCAGCTGGGTGGGGCGGAGGGCTGGCCACCCACAGCAGCAGGGCGGAGGGAGGCAGTATCAGGGGTGTGGGAAAGCGAGGCGCTCGAAGCAAGAGTTCCTCGGCGTCGTCGGCACATGCTGCCTGACTCAGAATGTGAGCAAACTGGTTTCGCACACGCTTCACGTGGGTCCTCCGCGGGCGGCGCAGGGAGCCGAAGCGACCCGGTAGCTGCTGGGCCGGCCTAGCTGCTGGGCCGGCCCGGCCCTCCCCCGACTCGCCCTCCCATCTGACCAAGCCAGGCAGAGCAGGAAGCCTGCCTGCAGTTTTCCGGGGAGAATGCAGCAGCCTTCCTAGTTAGCAAGGACAGTTTCTGTGAGAGAAACCTGACAGCCACCCCCGCCTTCCCCACTTAAAAATCTCAACAAAAGAGAATGGCCAATAATGTATAAGTAAATGTATTTGGGTCGGGGCGGGGGGGAACCCACGCTGTTTCCAACCAAGGACAGAATCCCTCTGTACCCGAAGAGCAGGGCTGAGGCACAGCGTTCATCTAGCAAGTTATTTCTACCACCTGAGCACTGTGAGGAGTTGAAAGGCAAAGGGAAAAATCTGGATTTCTCTTCATGCTAAATATATGGATAGTAAGAACTGTGAGTCAATTTCCCAAGTACCCACGCTGAGTGGAGTGAGTTGCAAACGAACACAGACGTGGGTCCTGCTCTCAGACGTGGGGTCCGAAAGGACAGCTGGGGTGCGTGTGGGGGTCCCTCCGGGACCCGACCTGCAGGCTCCAGCTCAGCCCAGCTAGGCGGCGCTGCTGACAGAGACCCGGAGGGCCTGCTTGGCCCTGCGAACCTCCCTTGGGAGAGGCCCCTGAGGTCAGACTCAATGCCCACCCACTCTCTACATAACCACGGAGGGAGCTGGGCGCTGAGGAACGGGTGGTGGGGGGCCTCTAGTCTGTTCCTCTAACAGACCCACTGTGTTCACCTCTCCAGGTGCTGCCGGGACCTTCTGTCCTCCGCCACCTGCCCAGCCCAGCACCTGGGGCCGGGCCGGGCCAGGCCAGCAGGCTTCTCCTCTGCTGTGGTGGCTGTGAGAAGCAGCCAACCCTGGAAATCTGGATGAAAACACACAAAAGAGATGCCAGGGTCCAAGACTTTTACGCTCCCCCAACCTTGCGACGGGACTTAAATGGGGAACAGGCCTATCAGCTGTGGGACATCTGCTGCGCCTGACTGGCTGATGAAGCAAACCCATCCAACATGGTGACTGGGCACTCAGGATGCTCAGGGCACAGTGCCAGGCCACGGAGAGGGAGGGACAGTCACGGGGGCACCCCAGGCACGGACAGGCCTGGAGTGGGAACGCCGCTGTGCCCCTTACCAGGACCGTGAGCCAAGCTCTCCGGGGCTCAGCTCTCTCATCCCTAGCGAGGAACAGCACTTCAACGGGAAAGGGAGAAGTTTGCAGGCGGACCCTACCTGTCTACGCCCAGCTCCACCTGCTCCCTCGCCCACCCCCGCCCCACCCGCGCCCCTGCTGTGATGGAAGGAGCATCCGGCTGGTGGCCCGATCTCTGAGCCTGACTGTGGGCTTCAACCCTCCCAGCCTCTCAGAACGGCCGCCTTCGCCTCTTCCCCGCAGACACTCTCTCTCCCGGGACCTTCCTCATGGGCACACCATCACGCTCCAGGATGGGCAGGCGGCAGGGTGACCGCACCACGCTCCAGCATGGGTGGACCTTGAAGACGCTCCGCCGAGTGAAATAAGCCAGTCCCAAGACGACAGTGTGTGACTCCACTAACGTGTGTTCAACCCACGTGGTGCCCAGGATTCTGGGGACGGAGGGCGGGGCTGGCTGCCCAGCCAGGGGCGCCCACTCCATGCCACTGAGCTGCACGCTTACAAATGAGTAAGATGGTGCATTTTATGTGTATTTTACTACAACTTTTCAAAAAGGAAAGAAACCCAGCGCTGTGTTGTTTTGTGCTGAGAGAGGGAAAAGGAAAGGTGATAGGGAAAAAAAGGAAGCGGAAGGTAAGACAGGGCAGGAAAAGGGCTCAGGTAACAAGGCAGAATGGACTGGGAGGCTCAGCGCAGGTGTGCATAGCCAGGGCCGGACTTCACAGGAAGGCGGCGAACACCATGCCAAGCCCAAGACGCAGGGGTGGAGGGAGGGAGGGAGGCGGCCTTAAACGCACCAGGCTCTCTGTAAGAAGTTGGGGGGTGATTAACACCAATGGAAAAGAAAATCTTTCAAATGAGCGCGCTGGATGGGGAGGGAAGAAAAGAAACAGGAAAAGTTGGCTGCTCTCTTAGCCTGCTTCTAACCAGGAAGATAATAGTAAGAGATTGACTAAAATAGGAAGAGAGAGACTAAAATAGAATTCAATCCGCCAGAGTCACCCAGTACAGCCGGTATCTCCTGAAATGTAGTTTTCCAGCAGAGAACACGCATTTTCAAGAAAATCGGTATTATCCCCACCTGACTCTCTCCAGCACAGCCTGGCAGGACCGCTGCCGCAGGGGTAAGGGGGAGGGGGGGCGGGGGGGCGGGGGCTGTGCCCTGACTGCATTGGGGGCGAGGCCTGGGGAGGAGGGGCACCGGGGCCACGCCCACCCTCGGCCGGGTACAGCCAAGGCTGCCCAGGTGCTGCTCCTGACCCGAAAACAGAGGCTTCACTCGCTTGAAATGCAGAAATATTTATTTTGGTTTCCTTCATTGTTTTTGGAAATTCTGTTTTGGTTTATAAAACATAGAAATAGCCAACACTGAAAGCGAACATTCAAAACCCCAAGGTGACAAATTATTGACTTTTTGTGCCATGAAGAACACGCATACGAAGCTGGGCTACCGAATAGTGTTACTACAATGACGCTTCTTTAGTGGAGACCCCTGTGCGGTGTAATGCGTGTGCCCTCACACACCCAGAGACAGCTGCGTCGGACGCAGAAATGGCAGCGCAATTCCGTCACACATGGCAAAGGCCTGCAGTCAAGTGAAGTGCTGCTAATTTCCCAAATTAACTTAAAAAAATCCCTGGAGAAGTTAGTCCTAGGAAATGAGTTTTCCAGATTTCTACCTCCTAGAAGTTTGGCTTATCAAACACATGTCACAGAAGTCAGGCAGCACAATGACAGCGGAGCACTTGTTTATTACTGTCCGTTCCCGTAAGTACCCAAGTCTATCTACTCCCGTAATGTTTTTAAAGACATGCCTTGCCTGAGAGTTTATTCTGGGGGAAAAAGCCAGTTACTTACAACGTGAACTTTAGATATGAAAACCACATTACAAATCCATTGGCCATCACAGACAAAGAAGGGTGGTTCAGTGAAGATAAAGTGGACAGTTATTTAGGCATCACAGTTGAGCATGGTCATTCCAGGTAATTATTTCTTTCTTGAAATGCTTGTCTTCACCGTCGAGTCTAAGGCAGATTTTTGTCCCGTAACCCCTGGGGCAGAGGCGGCCCCCGGAGCATTCGCCCTGTGGGCGCCAAGACCCACCGCCCCCCGCCAGGAGCTGCTCTTCTGAGACTCGCCGTCTGCCCTGTTCCGACCTGGTCTGTCCTCCGCTTCACTGGGAACCTTCTGAGCCATCGGGAGCAAAGGGGGGAAGTGCGGGGGTTCGTCAGCCTTCTTCGGGGGGGGGCGTATGAGTGCACGCGAGACGGGGAAGGGAAGGTAACAGGGGTCAAAAAAATTTCTGGTCCACTTGTGACATTCTCCAGCTGGGACAGTTGTTCATGAGGGACAGTTTTCTTCAGTGCACTGCACTCTTCAGAACAGCAGACATCTCAGAAAGAGCGAAGTCCTAATTCCTTGGTTAGAAACACAGGGAGACAGAAGTTTTCACATCCGCCTTTTGAACGAAGGAAGTCATGAGTAACTGAGCATATCCGTCATTTCCCCTTTTCAATTTTTAAGGCTCGTTTTGGAAGTTGTGTATCACCATATATATATATATATACACATACATACATACATGGTCTGCCACACGAGGTGACTGTAAGGCAGTGTCCCGTCTCCTCTAATATCCCTATGACAAGACCCCAAGTACACGAGTCAGGCACGGGCGTTCCTTCCCTTCCCCGTGCTCGCTGCAGTCAAAGTTACCAACGTGAAGGCCACCAGCAGAAGAAGGTCGTGGAGCATGTGGTTTCTTCCGAGCTTCCCTCCTCCCGTTAAACTTTGATGGTGGAATAAAGTTCATCTATCTGTGCCCTGAAATAATTCCGAAGCTCTGGCCTTTTCGCCTTCATAGTTGGGGTCAGCAGGCCGTTCTCGACAGAGAATAATTCAGAGTGGAGAAAAATGCCTTTGACCTGCAGATAAACAAGGATTTAGGAGGAGAGGGGACAGGTGAAACCTGAGTCTGAACAGCACGGCAGCCGCCCAAGGGGATGAAGACCTCGTGCTGCCAACCCGCCCTCTCTCTGCTGGCCCGGCCGCACTCCCAGCGCAGCCCGGGCTCCCGCTCCGGAGGACTCAGGACCCCGTCCCGACCCTGCCCCACTTCAAGAAATCTCCCCCGCCAGCCCACCCCATCATTCATCCCTTGTGGATTTCTTTAGGGCATCTCTTCATCTACTGTAACCTACTCATAAAAAATCTTCAAGTCAAAAACTTGTTTGACAAGAATTCATGCACTTTTATGAAAGTCTTACCTGTTCAAATGCTTTTAGTCCAGACTCTTTCCCAATTCTCACCATGTCTTCTAGAATAGCTTTTCGCACATCCTAATAAGGTCAAAGAGATGAGATACTTCCTGGGTTGGAGGTTCCTGCGCTTTGCACTCAATGCAGTGGGAAGATACAGAAGCAGACTACGTGTTCTAGAACCTACCTTATTTCGGCACAGCTCTTCGAAGGACCCTTCCACTCCTCTCTTTCGGGCCCAGCGACCCAAGGTCTCGACATCAGGGACCACGATTGCAATGAGAAATGCCTTTAACACAGAAGAGCAAGTGACTACACAGCTTGAGACGGCTTCCAGAGGAGGGGCCCCAGGTGAGTTTGCATCGCGGACCCCCGGGAGAAGCTGCTGGAAGCTACAAACCCTCTCTTCAGAAGGCATTACCAGCCCTAGGAGCCCACTGAGCCCAGAGTAAGAACTCCTGGCTCTAAATACAGACAGCATCATGAATTTATAGTAACTGTTTTAAAAGAACCACTGGCAATTAAAATCTTAAAAAAAAAATCCTGATTTTTATTTATTCTTGTGTATACATTAAAAAAACAAAACAGGATCAACTAAGGAAGTAAGATGGTAGAGAGCAGATAAATGAATAAAATCAAAGGCATGGTAAGAGTGTAGGTCAAAGGAAAACAGGCACATCCCCTTATGAGAATATATTATTCTAAAGTTACTAAAAAATCTCAAGGTTTACAGCATGATTAACCTTCAGGAAACCAGGCCCCTTCTCTCCCTTGACACCACCTGTCAAACATTTTGACACATAAGTTGTTTCACTCCAACAACAATCATTATTTTCAACTTCATGTGGGCTCACAACCACCATCTGCTCAGAGGTGACTGAGGAGCCATATCATAAATAAGTGGGTTTAATATGTTTGAAAGTTCTAAACTTTCTTGTAAGCCACGTATGAATATGTTCTCTCATAATTAAATTAGAAGCACATCTCTACCCACTCCCTAGCATCCTTTATCCAACCTCCCTTGGTGCATCAAATCAGTCTGGGTAAAATAAAAATGGGGGAATTAAAGAGAAAAAACTTTTCTGAATAAGAAATGCCCAACCGCAAAAGCCAGTAACGCGTCCTTCACATTCCAGCACGCCAGAGGAGAAAGTCACTGCACAGTCATCACAAACTTGCCCCTGGAGACCAGCACTCGCTGCACCTGCTCATCAGAGCTCCCAGCTCAGAAAGCACCTACCTGCAAGCTCTCTCCGTGGACAAACACTTGAGCAACAGGCTCGCTTCGCTGGTAGACATTTTCAATCTTTTCAGGTGCTATGTATTCTCCTTGTGCCAGTTTAAATATATGCTTTTTCCTGTCGATAATCTTCAAGGTGCCGTTCTGTCCAGCAGAGAGGGGCTGTGAGTGGGCCGCGGCAGGCGCCGCCCGGGCCCAGGCACACACAGCTGGGGGAGGGGGGGTTTCGTACGCACTCTCACGTAATCCTCAGCATGCCTGGCAGGGTGCTTAGAATCCCATTTTACAGAGACCAAAACAAGACTTAGAGAAACTGAGTAACTTGCCCAAGGCCACTGAGAGAGGCCCCAGCAGCGGGAGGAGAAGGGTCCGGAGCCCGCCCTCCGTCCCCTTGACCCCACGTCAGCTAACTGGCAGCGCTCTGCTTGCTGCCTTCCCTGTGGCAAGCTTCAGGCGTGCAGCCCGGCAGCCGAATCAGGGACACAGATCTGCCTCTGCAGCAGAGGTCCGTTCCTTGAGAGCGGAGGCAGACTTACCCTCCCCTAGTGCGCAGCCTGCGAACCCCCCAAGGCAGGGTCTCGGACTCTTCATTAAGGTTGCAGGGCCCGGGAGAGACGGGGTGCTCCTGGCCCTCTGGAAAGAATCGGTCACCGGCCCACATAACAAGGGTGAGGACAGTGGAATCTCTGGACCAGACCAGCCAAGTGCCAGTAACGCCCGCCCGACTTTTACCCTGCCCGACCCTGGGGTTGAGGCCACACTTCGGGAAGCGTCCTGGAAACTGCCACGGCCCCGCATTCTGCAGCCGCTCTCCTCCACTTCCCTCAGGAGCAGACAGGCTCCGGAGAGGCTGTGCTGTGCTCATCAGAGCCGCAGTGAGAAGGGACACTTAATCCCTCTTGAGCCTGGGACAAGGAACTTACTTTATGTCTAAAAAGCCTGGGTATTCTGAAATCTGAATTAATTAGGGAGGCATTTTTCAAATCAATAAAAATTTCACAGTATTAAGCACCTTAAATTTATAAGAATCAAACAATACACAATAATAAAAACTACATTAGGCATTTTGCCCTGACTGGAGCGGCCCAGTGGCTTGGGTGCAAGCTGAAAGGTCTCCAGTTCAATCCCTGGCAGGACACACACCTGGGTTGCAGGCCAAGTCCCTGGTTGGCAGCATGTGACAGGCAACTGATCAGTGTTTCTCTCTCACATTGATGTTTCTCTTTTTCTCCCTCCCTTCCCCTTTCTCTAAAAATAAGTAAGTGAAATCTTTCAAAAAATGACATTAGGCATTTTAGTGCTTGCAATTAACATAGTAACACCTTTAAGGAACAGCAGCTGTTACCATAGCAAGCAAAGTTGGCCAACTCTCAGTGGTACTTCTCTCCCTAGCCTTGCGCTCCTAGGATGTCTTCTGGAATTTCTCTGCAGTCACTGGTTCTGAGGCTAAATTGAAAGGAGTTGGTCTAATTGGGGAAGTACCTGTCCTGTTTCTAACCAGGTGACAAACCTAAGAAACATACATGGCATCGAGGCACACTACCAATATATAAAAAGCCGCATTCTCTCTGGCTGTCAAAGAGGAAGCAGCAACCAGAGTGGATGTCAAACCTCAAAACAAAATATTGCCGCCGCATTGACATGCGGCCCCTGCCAAGGGCAGGCCTGCGCCCTGCGGGGAACGGAGGCGCCCGCACTGTGGGGCAGAAACGGAGGGAGACAGGAGCCGGCTGCGGCCACGTGGCGGAGGCACAGCGGCCGGAAGCCGCTTCCCGACAGCGGCACAGAAGGAGCTCGGAACAGGGCGCGACCACTTACTGGTAACCACTTCCCAATGTCCCCCGTGTGCAACCAGCCGTCTTTGTCCAGAGCTTCCGCTGTTTTTGCTGGGTCTTTCAAGTAGCCTTTGAACACATTTGGCCCTTTCACACACACCTGGCGGAGAAAAGACCGGGGGTTGGGAGGGGGTGGAATTGGCGGGGGGCAGTGGAAACGCACACACTCCCAGCTGTAGGTCAAAGAAGTACCAGGGAGGAAACGCTCAGCATGACGGCCAGAGCTCACACCGCTGGGCGGTGCATCTGAAAGTTGTTCGGAGGGAGATCCTGAGAGTTTTCATCACACGGAGGCAAACCTTTCCTTTCTTTCTTTTTGTTGTATCTATATGAAGCGATAGATGTCAACTGAACTTACTGTGGGAATCATTCTGCGGTACGAGCCAGCCGCAGCACTCTGTGTGCACCTTAAACTGACCCCACGCTGTGTGTCAGCGGCACCTCCAGTAAAACTGGGTGGAGGAGATGATCTGTGGGCAGCATTCACTGGGGCTTCTTCAGAGAAAGTGTGTGTGTGTGTGTGTGTGTGTGTGTGTGTGTGTGTGTGTCTCCCCCAACATGGAGCCCGACGCCCTGAGCGCCGCGATCCAGAGGGAGCCACCAGAGCCCCACCAGGATCCCCGCAGCGCCTCCGAGGCCCCGTTCCCTTTCTTACTTTAACCTCCGCTGCAGTCAAGCTGTAGGGCTGACGCTGGCTCTAGGTTCTGGCCCACACCTGCTGGAAAGCCCCAGAGGGGCTGAGATCCCTGTGAAGTGACGAGCCCTCCCTCCCGCTGGCCGGAGCGCACTAACGGGGGTGTCCGGGGCAGTCAGCAGGCAGGAGCCGCGCCCCGGACTCCGGCCCCAGGAGCCAGGCACGCTCTTGGGCCCAAGTCCCCGTGTCTCTGGCAGAAGAAGGCAGGCGGCGGTGGCCCCCTCTGACACACCCTCTGGGAGCTAAGCATGAATGTCCTTTCTCAAAGAAGCTTGTCTGACTCTGGGGGCACCGATGACTCAAGCTCAGTGGCGCGAAAGCTCCGCAGGAGGCTGTGCTGGGAAACACGCTGCGCTGGTCCCGGCCAGCATGAGCGGGGCGGCGACGGCAGCGAACGATACCGGGGCCCACTCACCTCGCCCTCGCCCTTGGCGGCCAGGTAGTTCATTTCTTCCACGTCAACCAGTTTTATCCAATTGCACGGCATGGGGGAACCGACGTGGCCTGTGTATGAAGCAGAAAAGTGATTACTCCTGATGGGCCTACACTCTCCTCAGGCCACATTGCTGTGTAACAAATAAGCCTGCCTGTAGTAAGAACCGCTGGCGTGCAAGCTGCTGGTTTCTGCGGGCAGGCCAGTTCCCCGCCCCCTGCCCCCCAGCAACTTGACTTAGGGAATTTTTTCCTAGAATAGAGACACAAATATTCAAAAGACTCCCAGGGACCTCTCCTGAGTTCAATGCTCTCAATTACTTTTAATGTACATATAATGTGGCTGCTGGTTCTCAGGGTTTCCGCAAACGCCCAGGAGCAAGCCCTGCACAGGCGTTCCCCTGGCCGAGCCAGTGCGACGCCCCTGCGCATCGCTGGCCGCCGCCCCCTGAGGGAGGCGTCCTCCTGTCCCTACTCTCTGTGAGGGGGCACCGGCGGCCGCGGCGAGCCTTGGCTATTTTCCCGCCCCCCACCTGGTTCTGGACAACGGGGCCTTTCCCTCCTTAAGCACGGGTGACCGTGTTTTATGTTTAAGTTTATGAACATAGGACGATGCTTCCTTTTACAGCTAACTTAACTGTCTTGCCGAAGGGTGTTAGAATTAGGTTCTCTTCCTGAGCTAAAACCAACAGAAATTAGATGGGTTACAAAAGCATCGCAAATAATTCTTCCTCCATTTCAATAAATTCAGCTTAAAGAGATCCCTATTCCAACGTCTTTAGTTGGTAAGGAACCAGGGATTAAGAATTAAACACGATGAAAAAATTCATGGACTGTTAGTGCCAATCCCAGCAGAATTATTCTATGAGCTCATACTCTGCAACAAAATGTAGCAACAGTATTGTAGCAACAAACACTCAGGCCTATGTTGCTACATAGTGCTCATGCTTAACAATGCACCAAATAACCCAGCAACTGGGTTATCCCAGCATAGGACACACCAGTGTGGTACAGGGGAAAGCAGGAAGTTTTGCACTCAGACGTGGGTTCAAACCCTGGCTCCAAAAATAATGCTGTGCTAATTCTTATACATCATTTCCATGCCTTTTAACCCACAATCAAGCATTTCCTCTCAGAAGTAACAGGATTTAACTCACAGGGATGTCTTTGGCATGAAATACACGTCATGAACATCTTGAGTCCCTAACAAGGAACCTCTTCCCTGACAGGTACTCAACCAATTATTTTTGTTTGTCTCCACTTTGTCCTTTTAGGAAAAAGGACCTGCATGTATCTTTCTCCGTAGTCTGAACATCTAGCACGGCACACAGTGTAAATTTAATTAAAGTTTACCAGCAAATCAGTGGATCCCAACCCATTACTGAAAGCTCAGCCGGGCCAAATGGCCTGCAGCGCCGATAAAGGTGTCACCTCTCACAGCCGCCGCCCACGGACCTGCACCAGTCTGACTGGTCAAGCCGCCTGGCTTCACGGTCAGAGCTTCACAGCCATCCCCCAACCTGCCCCATTTGCCACACGGCTCCCTGATTTAGGGGACTGGGCACCCCAAGGCCTAGTCATCTGAGATGCAGCCCTTGTTGAAGGTGGTGAATAAACCAGTTCGGTGCACTCAGCCCCAGCCTGAACGGCAGGGGTCCGTAAGGACTGTCCCGCCCGTCCGTCGCACCTGCTGTCCAGTCTCCGGGTATGGTCAGGGAGCAGCCGGCTGTGCACTCGGTCTGTCCGTAGCCTTCGTAGAACTGGGCCGCCGAGAAATGAAATGTCGTTAGGAAGGGGACACCTTTGCTGGAGGCATTCAAGTAATTAAGCTCCTCTAACTCCTGAGTGAGGGCCAACTGCGGTGGAACCTCTTTTCAAATTTTGTTTGGCAAATTCATTCGGTACTACCCTGCGCTTCAGCACAGCACCCAAACACCTTCCCCTCACACCAGGCCCAGCCCAGCCACATCCATTTTCTACTCAGCATCCTGCGGACAGGTGAGGGGGACCCTGCCGCGGGGGAAGGACCGCAGCGCCCGAGCTGCCCGGCAAGGCTCTGTCCCCACAGGCCCTGTGTATCAGCCAGGCTCTGCTGCCTCTCCGCCTGTCTCTGACAGGCTCTCTGCCCGGTGAGTGGGTTGGCGGTCACATACGGCCCATCCCAGCCCCTCATGCCGGCCTCTGAAGGCGTGGTTGGTGCCCTGCCTTCGAGAACAGGACACACTGGGGGCACAAACACGGGGGCATCAGAGTGACTTCTGGAGAGAAGAACGGGCACGGCTAAGCCTGGGCCCGTGGACGCAGCGGGCTGCTCACCTGGCAGCCGAGCGCAGCTCGCAGGAACGTCAGCACGGTGGCAGACACGGGCGCCGCTCCCGTGACCATCAGCCTGACCTTGCCTCCCAGGCTCGCCTGGGGGGACGGAGGGGACGTAAGGAGGGAGGCGGGTTAGATGGCTGGAGTCGGCGGGCTCCTCGAGGATGCTTTCCCGGCACCGTTCCCTACCCCAGCTCCTCCTCTGCAGGCTGGCGGGGCTCGCGAGGCCCAGGAACTCGCCGGCGTCCGCAAGAGGGGCGCCTGACTGAGGTTTGGTTTCATTCCACCTGAATCTATACCGTTTGCTCTGCGCCAGTAGGGACATCAGCCAGCATCTGCACTTGCTGGTAGCTTAAGGAACCAGAACAACAGTGTGGTGGATTTGTGGCAACTACCATACTTTTGGCATTTTTTGTAGACATAATATATTATTCTTTATCACTCATGCCTACAAAGTTACCTCAAGAGTGTAGTCTTGTTCCAGAAAAGTAAAACCAAATGAAGAATGAGAAAGGCTACAATATCCTGATTCCCCTCCTGCCCTCCATAGCTACAATATTGTCCAGATTTATCTGGATCCTGAGGTTATGCGGTGGCTTTGTCCAGAATTAATAAAGATGTGTCATTCTCTCTCGTCCTCATACATCTTGAAACAAGCCCTCATAGAAAACGTGAAACCCCAGTTAGCTTACGTGGCAAACAATAGTGTGGGTCTACTTGTCACCTGTATTTTGCGGAAGATGAGCTTATCCCACAGGCTGTTGTTCCTAATGATGCCGCTGCGCAGCTCGGCCTCTTTCCTCTTGGAGGCGAAGTCCAACAGCCACCGCTTCAGCGTGGTGTTTGCCTGTCCAAAAATCTGGCGAGTCAAGACAGGAGAGGGTGTCACAGTTACTGGGATGGCTAGAGTCGGGGAGGGGGCAGTAACAGGTGCTGGTGAAGATCTGGGACGCTGGAGCCCCCGCCCTGCTGCAGAAATGCTCTGTGGTTCGGCTTCAGGAAGCACACGGTTACATGACACAGCAATTCCGCTCCCAGGGGTCTATCCAAGGGAGACGAAGACACACGTCCGCACAGAAACCGTGGCAGCATTACTTGTAATAGCCAAAAAAGTGGAAGCGACTCAAATGCCCATCAATGGATGAGTGGATGAATGAAACGTGTTATATCCATACGGTGGGGTATTACTCGGCTCTTAAAAGGAAGGAAGTATGGATTCGTCCTACAACGTGGGAGAACCTTGAAAACATGTTAAGTGAAAGAAGCCAGTCACGAAAGAACACATAGTGCATAACACCATTCATAGCGAAGTCCAGGATAGGAAAATCTCTAGATTCAAAACAGACGGGCTCTTCCTTAGTGGTGAAGGTGGGTAGCAGGGATGGCAGCCAAAGGGTAGGAAAAGGGGTTCCTTCTGAGGTGGCCAACATGTTCTAAGATGGACTGTGGGGGTGGCTGTGTAACTCTAAGAATGTACTGAAACCTTTTCATTGTTCACGTCAATGGGTAAATCGTATAGAATGTGAATTATATTTCAACAGAGCTCTTTCTCTAAGTTTTTTCCCCTAACATCACCATTAGACATGAGTAGGTTCTCACAGAAGGCAGAAGCCATGCCGCCAGCTGCCGAGCACAGAGCGCCCCGCCCAGGCTCACTGCGGAGAGCTCAGGCCACACGCTGGCTGGGCCCTGGCCGCGCGGCCCCGCTGGGATGGCCCCTCAGACTGGGGGCCCGCGCAGTCCCTGGTTTGAGTTAGACACTTCTTGCAAGGTGCTTACGGGAGTAATATTTCACATGTGCATGGACCTTTCCAATTTATAAAACCGTTTCATAGCTATTATTCTGTGATGCAAAGAGCGACTTTATGAGATACTCAGCAGGGGAAGGGGCAGCAGTCCATTGTATAGATGATGAAATGGAGGCGCAAAGAATTAATTGTGAAAAGAAAATGGCCCTGGCTGGTGTGGCTCAGTGGATTGAGTGCCGGTCTGCAAACCAAAGGGTCGCCGGTTCAATTCCCAATCAGGGAACAAGCCTGGGTTGTGGGCCAGGTCCCCAGTGGCAGAGCGCGAGAGGCAGCCAATTGACGTTCCATACCCACGGTCCTCTCCTTCTCTGTCTCCCTCCCTTCCACTCTCTCTAAAAATAAATAAAGTAAGAAAGAAAGAAAGGAAGGAAGAAAGGGAGAGAGAGAGAGAAAGGAAGGGAGGATGGAAGGGAGGCAGGGAGGGAAGGAAGGAAGAAAACAACCTCCCATCTTGCTCTGAAGGGTTATGAGAGAAAACTCAGGGGCACCATCATGCCTTCAGGTTAGGTGCCCCTGTGGTTTCTCTCATAACCCTCCAGAGCAACCCTGTGAGGTGAATGCATTCTGCTTCCACAGAGCTGCACACCCCAGCTCGGTGAGACGAGGAGGACTGCCCAAGGTCACGCAGAAGGCGCTGCCCGAGCCTGACTTGAACGCAGCTCGGATGCGAGGTCCCACGCTCTGCCCTCTGCGCTGTGCTTGGAACTCACTCTGTCAAACATCCGGTTCAGCAGCCTCGGGACCACGGGGAAGATCGTGGGTTGAAGCGCCTTGAGGTCATCCATGAGCAGTCTGATATCTCCTTGGAAAAATCCGATCTTAGCTCCGTGACACAGCATCACACACTAGGGAGGGAAACATACACAGGACCAGCATTTCAGCGCTGCAGAGGGCGTCACAGGACACACAGGGACAAAGAGGCTCCCGTGTTAGCATATCAGAGCAGTTTCTAGAGATCTTAAAGTTCTCAGCTGTAGGCAGCTTAAACAAAGACTGTTCCTTTGTTCCTCAGTCACTGAGCCCTGGCCATAAACCAGAGCGTGTTGGCTCTGGTGAGGATCACAGAGGCTCTGCTATTTTAGCTTCATGATAAATCATCAGTCGACTGAATGACATGGTATTATATGATCCAAATATTTTTAGTCTTCCAGAAGCTTTAGGTCTAATTTATTCTCAAAACAAAAACTTAGCTACTTACCCATAGCCCTAGCTTATCCCTTCCTTGACTCTAACTAAAAACTTCCACAAAAGCCACGGGGTGTGTCATGGCTGAGACACTAGGGCCTCTCACAGGAGCACGGCTTGTTCCTCAGCAGTAATCTCTTGCATGACTGTTTCTCTGTTGGATGCAAACTGCTGGATGCAAGTGCTGTATGCACTTGGCGAATGGTACGCGTCTTTCAAATTTCAAAAAGAAAGATTCAGCCGTGGCTGGGTGACTCGGTTGGTTGGAGCATCAACCCACATGCCCAAAGGTTGCGGGTTTGATCCCCAGTTGGGCACAAACGTGGGGCAACCGATCGATGCTTCTCTCTCTTTCTCCCTCCCCCTTCCTCTCATTCTAAAAATCAACAAATATACCCTTGAGTGAGGACTTAAAAAAAAAAAAAAGATTCAAAAAGATGATGCAACGGAAGTACACATAGTCTCAGGCCTGAAAGCAGAAACCACTAGAAAGGCACACCAGGGTTCATTGTTTAAAAATTAAAGTTCAGAGGCTTTTTTGAGTGTGGCTGGCCTCCCAGGCACACTTCTAAGACTACCACCAGGTATATATGATCCATTATCAACTCTTTTGACATCACTTGGTAAGCTCACCAATTCTCCGGAGGTGTGCAGAAAGCAGAAGGAACAAAGAGAAGATGGGATCTAATGACTCCCAGTCCTTAAGGGGTGAATAAATCCTACAGGGCTGCAGGCAGCCAATCAAGGGGTGTGGACCCTCTATTAATCACCTCTCTGTGGCCAACACCAGCATGGGGTGTGGCATGTGGGTGGTGCTCATTAAATATTTCTAAATGAATGAATGGAGATCATTTTTCCTATAAATATACAATCCAGAATTGTCCAACAAGGGAAGAAGGCGGTTCTTGGCCAGCTTTCAAATGAGTCACACAGTTGGGTACACGGAGCCCCGGCAAAGGGCAGCTCAAGAGCACCCTGCTTTTCCAAGGTCACTCAGAATTTTGGTGAAAGAATTAGTCTTAAGCGAACATGGGCATTTATGAACAACCACAATCAAAAATAGAGACTTTTCACAGAGCAGAAGCTTCACTAGGTTTTGTCGGATGGTATTTATAAAATTTCTACTTATACAGTTAATCTTTCTGGAATCATGTCCACAGTCATATCATTCAAAAGCCTGAGCTTCTAATTTTAAAATGAATGATTAAAGTTCAAGTATTCAGATCAAGAAAAAAGATCAGGAAAAAAGCGACACTTGGGTAGATAATTAGCCCCATTTATAAAACGGAGCTCGGCAAGAACTGAGTGTGGGGAGAGGGCGTGCGCACCAGACTTACCAACATCAGCCGTTCGAACATGTGTGCAAGTGGTAAGTACGAAATGTGTGTGTCACTGCCGTTCAGGACAAGCATTTTCTGTAAAACACAACAACTTAGAGCACAGACACACAAGACAGAAACACAAAGCTTGATGCCTTACCTCGACAACTCTTTCAAACATGTGGGCGAGAGGCAAGAAAGAGATCAGTGTATCGTCTGGAGAGGGGCTGACAGTGTTCTGCAAGCAAAGACACCAGCGAGGTGGAGAGGTGTTACAACCCATGGCTTTCCACGCTGTTTAGAGCACGTGATACCTGAACACTAAGGAGCAATGGCTTTGCTCATGATCTGCGCTTATTCCTCACCAAGGAATGAAGTGAAAAACAATGTTTTAATTACTCAAAGGCGTGGAGGTCGTGGAAACGACACAGAAGGTCGTGGAAACGACAAAGTAAGTGCACTTAGCATGTTTGTCAAAATAAGGAAAATTTTGCCCAAATTGGGGTGTTAAAGTTTCCCGTGCTCTAATCATTCATTATTTAAAAGTTACAGCGCCCCACTACCCAGCAAGCTAAATCACACCTAAAGGTAAGAAACATAAGATCCGGTTCAGCCTAAGACAGCATTTTAGGTTGTGGAAATGTAACATCCAGTCCAACATAAGAGAGCATTTTATGTTGTAAGGGGGAGTGGGAGAGAAAATAAGAAAAACTGGATTTCTAAGCTCCTTTTATCTATAGCGTAAGTGCATCTGGAGTATTTTACTTTGATCAACGTCTTTACCATAAAGCCCACCTTTACCCACGAAAAATAGCCCAGTTTGTCTAATGCCAGCTCTGATCTGGCACCAGGGTTTCCTAGGAAACGCTGACTGCCATAGGTCTGTGCCTCGGTTAGGTCTGGACATCTGGCTTCCACTTCGTGGCTCTCAGTGGGCTCTCCTTATGGCCAAGCACAGCGAGGGTCTGCGTGGAGTGTTCACGTTACCGACATAAAGAGTGCCGGCCAACACAGGGGCTGCCAACAGCGGCCGCTTCACCCCAACTGAGAGGACAGCACGGGTGGGTGCCTGGGGCGCGCCCCCTACGGAGCCCTGCTGCCCCTCCCCGAAGCTGGGCCATCCTTCGTGGGAAGGGGGAAATGGGTGAGAGCACAGGCCTGAGCAAATAAATGCCGGAGTCCCAGAAGCACCTCATGCAGCCTGAACATGTCATAATCCGGGGCTAATTTTAGGCAAGTGTGGTCTGCATCGCAACCAGTACTTCTCTGTGGCAAACTGTTACATAATGAGAAATCAGACTCAATAAAATCTACAGTTTTCAATTTTCTGAGTTAGTGTAACAAATAATATGCATTGGCATCATTAGAAATTTGATAAAGTTGTGAATGCCCCTGGCAATGGAATATTTTAATCAGAGTTCTATAATCATTTGCTTCAATGAGCCACTAATGCATTTTAAGTTTTCTTTGAAAGCCAATTAGAAAATTAAAATTTTACTTTGGTAAGGTATGACATACTGACTGCCATTTAGAAAGCTCACACCAAGAAAGCACCCCGGGACCCAAGAGAGCGTGAGCAGGAGTGAAAGCCAGGGGGGCCCGCAGCAGCCCCCAGACACGCCCGCTGCCCCGCTCTGCAGCACAGCCTGGCCACAGGCCACGTCCACCCAGAGACAGGCAGAAAGGTGTCCGATGTGCACAAAGGGTCTGAGGGCAAGGCCTTATCCCGTTTGTGGTAACTCCCTAAAAGGCACGTTGGAAACATACCCTTGGTGCTAGGGGCTGCCTCACATCACACCCCCCCCCGCCCCCCCCGCCCCCCGCCGCCTTCCAATTCATAACATGGAGGCTCTAACCCCATACGGCTACATTTGGAGAGGGGGCGGGGGGGGGTAACTGAGGTTAAGTGAGGTCACAAGGGTGGGGCCCTGATCCAAAACAACTGGTGTTGTCAGAAGAGGAGACGCCAGAAACCTCTCCCATCCTCCTTGCACACGAGAGGAAAGGCCAGGCGAGGCATAGTGAGAGGGTAGCTGCCTGCAAGCCAGGGAGAGAGCCCTCACCAGACACTGAATTTGCTGCCACCTTGATCATGGACTTCTAGCCTCCAGAACTCTGAAGAAATAAATGTCTGCTGTTTAAGCCACTGGACCTGTGCTGTCTGGCTATGGCAGCCCATGGAGACTGAGACACCTGGGTAGCAGCTGCAGGTCGATGCTTTAGTCCCTCTCATAAAATGGAAGTCAAACCGACCGTAATAAACAATAATAATTTAAAAACCTTCCGCACCATTTAACATTTCATTGCCAACTTAAGAGCAGGGAAGAGCAGAAGAGAGTCATGTCTTCTCTGTCCTCTCCTGACAGTACTTGCAAGGCAGCAAAGTTTCACTGTAGGAAAGTAGTAATAAATGTTACCTGCCCTGCACCTAACAGTCAGAGCAGGGGCTAGAGAGCAGGCCCACAGGGGAACAAGGAGAGTGAACAGCATGAAGGCTCGGATCTTCTCTCCACCCCAGAGAGTCCACGTGCAGCGTGGACTAGGCATCGGGGAACTTCCTTTACCACTTTCCTTCTTGAGGCTGAACGGCAACCAACGGATGTGAAGAAAGATGGCAACATCCCCCAAATTTACCTCCGTCATTTTCACAAAAGCCGAAGAATCGCTCACTATATTTCCATGGGTGATCAAGGCTCCTTTGGGGTTGCCTGAGGAACACAAGGAGCAGAACGAAGTCAGAGGACAGCGACTCCATGCAGGAATGACACATGGAAAACAAGCCCAGCAATCCTGCGTATCAATCACGGTCTAAAATGCCTCTGGTTTAGGTATACCCGGAAAGTTGAATGTTGAGTAACACTAAATTCCGGAGTGATCTGCCATCCTTTAAATGAAACTTAGTATCTTCAACACTGTTTATTAAGTGGGGACATTTCAGAGGGTGTGTGGCAGTAAGAGGAGGAAAACCAGGAGTTTTTTTGTATTTCTGTAAATTACTGATACAGCTTGCCTCAGGAAGATGGAGGAAATGGCGCCTTCCATTAATGCTTGAGGAAATACGTGACATACGTGATTCTGAGCATGTCTTACAGAGTGACGGGAAGACTGTGCCTGAACCACTTCCGTCTCTTCTGCCTTCAGTCCATCTACAGTTCAATAAGTCATCCCAAAAAGGGGTTAAACACTCTCGGATACCACTTAGCAGCAACTCCCTTGTGAAACTTACCTGTAGTTCCACTCGTGAAACAGATCACTGCAAGGTCTTCAGGTGCTGGAGGCTACAGCACATTTAAAAAAAAAAAGGCAATAAAAATCAGAGGAGAAACCCCAAGCTTTCCACTTGTCTCAGAGGAGACTGGACACAGGAGGCTGTGGCAGGGTCTCACATGGCCTCTTACCTTGGGCTTCTTTCTGTTGGCTCTTCCCAGGTCCTTAATTAGAAGAGAAAAAAAAAATCTTAAATAGAAACATTTTTTAAATGTAAAGAATAAGGTCACATCAAGACACGTCAGGCTGAATTTACTGTGGGATTTGCTGACAGTATAAGTATAAGGGCTCAAAGACAGTATAAATTTCCAATTAAATAAACTCTGGCAACTTCATTAAACCGGGACCAAAAATCTTACCCATCGCTCTAGGAAGCCATTTTTTCCAGTTGTCTTTTCTCTTATACAAGACGATAGAAATGGTATTAAGACTGGACTTTAAAATAGGGTTTATTCAAAAGACAAGAACCAAAGTCTTCTAGATGGACTTCTTGTCCCCACCCTCTCTTCCTATTCTGGCCTTTCACAAAGCCCAGCTCTTCGCTATCATCACAGAACCACAGATGCTCAGCACGTCCCCAAATCAAAGCAAAGTGAGATATGTGATTGCCCGGTTCTGTATAACTGGCATCTTCAATCCGGAGAGAAAACGCGGCCTCAGCCAGCTTTAAATGCTAGCCATTTCAGAGGCTCAGACATCTGTTCTCCTCACATGGAGCAGAGGAAGGACTGGGGACCGCCGACACAAAAGAGGCCATGACAAAGATCTAAGGTCTCTTGCGGATGGGAGCGAAGGAGAAGAGCGGCAGGTTCATCCGGCAGATGCAGCATTTCCCAGCACCTCACCACCAAGGGCTCGCTCTACGCTGTTCAGTTTACTGCGGGAGGCAGTCTCTGTGGCAACTTTAATATCTATTAATTGTTGAGGTGAACTATTTATACTCGTTTTCTATTAAAATTGAACAGCTCAAGTGAGCACATGAGCAAGCATGCCTTGAATTAAATAAATATTAGACGGGTGTGCTCAAGGCTCAGTGAGTTTCTGTCCAGCAGACAGTTTTAAACAGTCTTTAGTCTTAATTACATTTTAAGTTATATATACAACAGATCACTGATGAAACACAGGCATGCTAATGTCCAAACTGAAGCCAACTAAGAGGTAAAGCAAAGAGAATTCCACCTATGTTTTTCAAAATCACCTTTATCCATCTAAATTCCCACGAATCTATTCAAAATTCTTACATAACTTCTCAAGATCTCCAGTTCTTCTAAAATTGATGATAAATGAAATAAACCAATAGTGATATGCAATCTACCTTCCAATTTATTGGGAACAACACTGGCCCCGCTAGTGCACTATTTGCCAGGACAGTCTCACTGCCTGAAACCTGCCCCATGCCGCTAAGAAAAAAGTAGGGTGATTGTGACAAGTTGCCATCTTTAGGTTCCAAATGCCAGGAAAAGAAGGACCATAAACAGAAGGAGCTGAGTTCTAGTTCATGATTGGCATGCTGCAGCATTTGAGGGTGATAAAATCTGCAACCTCCTGAAAATGTATCCAGTAAAAGACAGACTGAGGACTGAACAGAGGGACAGAGGGAGGGACTGCTGTGTGATGAAGCAAATGCACTAAAATGGTCATTGCAGACTCCTGGTGGATACATGGAGTCTACTGCACTCTTCTTTCAACTTGTTTTCATGTTTTAAATTTTTTATAATAAAATAGGAAAAATGCAAAAATTTCAAATGCCAATGTTTATATTTTTGATCCCACATAAGTATATAGTAATATAAACTTGATCACAAGATCAACCATAAAGCTAATTTTAAATAAGTCTGTGTGGTGATGGATAATTACTAGTTAGTGGGAAGACCATATTATGAGGTATAAAAATGTCCAATCTCTATCTTGTACATCTGAAACTAATAAAATATGATATCGTATACCAACCATACTTAAATTTTAAAAAGATAAAGATAAGTGAACAGTGAGACCAACAGAGATGTGAGGCATCAACCAGAAACATACTTAACAATTTTTACAATAAACATAAGGTTTTACAAGGCCAAAAGATTCATTTCTTAAACCCTTAATCTTTTGCTTATAATTTTTTTAAAAACAACGTACGAATCATATTACACAGGTAAGGGTAAAGCAATGTCTTTTATAAATGAAGATTTTAATATAAACTTTATATTATAATCCTCATTCACGCATCTACATTTTTTAATCTTAAAATTACTTTTTTATCATATTGTAGTCAACAAAGACAACAATAACTTCTGTGTGTTTGTGCTGAGGGGTGGTCAGGGAAAGGGAGTGAAGGAGGGGAAAAAGCGATCACATGACTGTGAAAGGGGCTGGAAGCAACAGAAAGAGAAACTGAGGCCCGCTGACCAGCACAGCATGCCTGCTGGCTCTCACGAACCCACGCTGTCAGCATCAGGCGCTGCTGTATCTGTGCGCGTGTGCGTGTGTGCGCGTGTGCGTGCACGCGTGCGTGTGTGTGTGTGTGTGTGTGTGGCAGAAGGCACTGTTGCTTCTAGGTTTCCCAGGAAAGGTTTTATAAATCCTTCTTTATAGCCTCAAATTCTTTATAGAAAACTATTAATAAATTTTAAACCCCTATTTATAACTGTTCCAGGAAAACGCATGACGTTTTCAGAAACAGAACTGCTGACTCCACGGAGCCTAACTCTGCCTGCGATGTGCACACATGACACCCTCCCCCCACAGCTCCGAGGGGCTGAGCCATACCCAAGGCCGACAGGGAGATCCGCTCCTTATGGGACCGATGTCAAGCCACCAGTTTAAATAGGAGCCATGCTCGTTTTCCTAGAATGGTTACCTTTAAAGTTGTGCTGAACATGAATCTGAAGAAATTTAATATGAAAATAAACCGAATCAAACATCTCTGCTGTAAATCCACTAGGCCTCTACAAAAGCAACTTGGGGGACAAAAGGAGGCAGATGTCCATCCCTGGCTCTGCTTTAGAGACAAAGTAAGTGAGGAGACAGAAACGGAAATCTCCACCTAAATCTCAAGCTCACATTCCTGGCTTGTCAGGGCTCCAGGATAAGCAGGTGAGCACTGCAATTCACTTCAGGAAAGGGCTTTCTGTGAGGGGCGCAGCCCTCACGCTGGGCACGCGGGGAAGTACCTCCTCGTGCGAGCCAGGGTCTCTGCTCTCGGTCTTTCGTGGGCGGTGAGCCCCCGGCCCGGGCTGCGGCTGTGTGGCCGCAGTGGCAACCGCCCCGGAGCAGGGTGGCGGGGCTCACCTCCATGGCCTTCATGCTGATGATCTCCACCCCACACTTCTTGCCTCGTTCCAACAGCTCGCTGCCGTAGGAGTCCATGACAACTACGATTTTAAGGCCTGGTGTTAACTTATTTTCTACGCCTTCCAATAACATGTTGACCTTCTCTGGCTTGTCAACAAAAACCACAGAGAGTTCAGCTGGAAAGAAAGAGATACAATGAGTAATACACTCTGGAATATTAAAGCTTGACTACATAATTTTTTAATTCTAAGGTTATTTTAAGTACTACATTTTTTAAAATAGAAAGGTAGTTGTACATTTAAATATAAACTCCCAATCAAATCAAGTACAAGCAAATGTAAATCACTGCCTCTATCCAGTAACGAGGCCAACATCCACCCAACACCACAGATGTACCTTTGTTAACTATGTAAGTGATCGCTTCGGTTCCGAGGGTGTCGTACAGAGGCACAATCACCATTGAGTAAGCATAGCATCCCTGTTCAATGATCACCCACTAAGAACAGAGAGGGTCGGGGAGAGAAAAAGAGACATCACCACAGAGCCCCTCCACGGGGGCCGACACTCAAAATCTGAGGCGCAAACACTGGACGTAGCTCACTCACTGCATGCACACCTACTACTATGTGCCAGGCACTGTGAGGACATTCACAATGAGGACAAAACACCAGTCCCCTTCTTAAAAGGAATGGGCCACCTTTGTGGGGGAGGTGACTGAGCTGTCCCTGGTTAGAACAGCACAGTTTGGACAGACAAGGGAAAGGAAAGGAGACCCCCAGAGCGGGGACTGCAGAATTAGAGGCAGGGAGGAACAGCTGGCTGGCCCTGCGGTCCATGCAGGGAGCGGGGAAATGGAAGGCCAGAGGTGCGTGGGGGCAAGCCCTCGGCCCTGGTCCCAGCAATGCCCAGCCGCTGGGGGTTTCTCAGCAAAACAGTGGCCGTGGGTCTGAGGAAGGTCCGTCTGGCCACAGTGCGCGCTAGGGCCTGGAATGGGGCCAGGGGCATACTATCTAACAGGAAAGTCGTCAGGCAGTCTCCCCAGAAAAGGGATGATGAAAGGCGATGTAGTAACTGGTCACCCGGCCTCCAATCTCAGAAGCCACATAGCAACTCACCAGCCTACAAGGCAAATGCGGCAAGCTCCTCAGGGCCCTGTCCCGTCCGTCGGCCGCTCCCACCCTCCACTGGACTTGCACGCGGGCAGGCGGGGGCAGAGTGGCCGTGGGAAGGGAGTGCGCCCTCTCTCGGCCTGCAGCTGCTTTTTCTCCTCTTTCCCCCTTGAGCCCAATTTCAATCTACCAGCAGGGAGGTGAGGCCCAAGCCCCTTAGCAAGCACAGTGGTACAAGTGGTCCTCTCTTCTCTGCCCCTTCTCCTGCGACTCCAAGCTCTCATGTTAAAGTTCCCATGTTAAAATGCCTCATTCCCCAACACGAACATGCTGCTTGCTGAGAACATTTCTTTGGCTCCTGTCAACACTCCATTCAGCTGCCACCTCCGGAAAGTCCTCCTTGACTGAGCTCCTATACTCCTCCTGCCCTCTGTCCACACTCGGTATGTTACAGAGAAAGCATCAGCTTTGCAGGCTTTCTTTACGCAGTACCTCATGGAGAGGATCCAAGTCACTGTTGCACTTTGGTGCCTTGCTCACTGCCTGGCATGTAGTAGGTACTCAATAAACACATGCTGAACTAACTCATAAACATAGGAAGAAGATTACTTCTCAAAGGAATGTGTCCTAATTGTAGAGTTATTTTAAAACTTCCCTAAAACAAAAATGTTGGGTGTGTTCATCTCAATAGGTTTCTCTTCAAATAAAAGAAATTAAATTCAAATGAAAGAAATTAAATTCCCTAGCTGTGGAAAATGCTATCCTTCCCTTAGTGGGACATAAAATACTAAGAAATCAGTCTAATTTACAAAATAGTCAGCAGCATATGGATTGAGCCAGCACACCTTTTGGACACAAGTAGGTCCAGGAATCAACTCAGTTTCTTCAAGTCAGGTGCTTGAACTTTTCCAAGCCAGCTATGCCATGACTTTGCTCACTAACAGTGTGAGCGCTGCCTCCAAAAGAGCTATTTACATTCAGGTAACAGGAGGGTTTACGGAAGCGCCGCCCGAGCTGGGGCAGGGAGCTGAACAGGCTGGGAGGCTAAGTTAAGGCCCCACAGGTGCTTGTCCTGCTGTCCGTGGTGTCGACAACTTAGTGACCTGATCAGAGGGAAGCGTTAAACCTTTCAGAAAGCAAACAGGAGTTTGCTGCTGGACAAACTGTATCCCAGCTTCTTTGTAATTCATTAACACTATTTTTCTAATCACAAAAGACACTGTTAGTCACCTGTTTATAAAGATTTTGTCTGGGAATCCAGCTTAAAAAAAACAAAACCAGTAATTTTAAAAAGTGAATTTTTTTTCCCCACCCAAAGGCTAACAGCAAATCAGGCCCTGGTTCGGGTTTTCACATGTGTCACTTTCTGAGGTGTGACCCAAAGCCATCTTCTTGGTAGAAAGCAAACCACAAATCTGACCTCAAGCAGAGGGAGGTATGTGCCCCGACCCCTCTCCTGACAACTCGCAAAGCCGGGAACAGGCAGGGCCGACGGTGGTTACCTCGGGTCTGTTCTGAGCGAAGATGCCGACGAACTGATCCGAGGCAGCCTTGACGCCCTTCTGCAGCAGCGCGGAGCCGATGCACTCGGACATGTCCTCCACCTGCAGTGGAAGGGAAGCCGGGACGGGGTCAGGCCTGACTCAAGGGACAGAGCTTGCTGGGTGCGGCCAGCAAGCAGTGCGGCTCAGGGAGGCAGCGTGGGAGCCGACCGGTGCTCCTGCCCTGACACTGTTTTGGACGGCACAGGCTTCGATCACCAGAGCCCACCCCTGGGGGACGACCACAGCGTCCCTGTGGCAAGGGGAGCAGCGGCTTGTGGGCCACTGCATGCAAGGGTTTCCTGCCCAGCTCTTCTTACTACTGCGGTTTTACAAAATCTCATAAATGTATAAGAGAAATACAGTCACACATCGAAAATTTTTTTTTTATATTTATAAAGAGCAGCAAGGCAGCCAAAACTTGTCATTTGGTATAAACATAGGAACGGCATGTTTTGGGGAGATCTTTTTTTTAAAAAAAGAAACAAGTTCTTATCATTGGGCTCTCCAATTCCATTCTTGATAATTTATTCTTAGGAAATAGTTCAATTTTAAAAGGAAGCTTTAAAAAATGGTACGTACAAAGGCATATATTTCAAAATTACCCCAAATCACAAAACTCTAGGGGACAAAAGACCAGTGGCTGGCTAGTTCAGTACATGATGGCAAATCTCTGGGAAAATGTCACATAGCCAGTAAATATTACAATTATGAAAACCATACCAAACTTAGAACACTTGTAACAATTTAAGTAAAAAATAATACAAAAATGCATCCTAAAATTAGGCAGGACTATATATTTGACCCCCTCCCCTCCCCATTGCTACCCCAAATTAACTAGGAAAACCTTTTTCAATCTTAGCATATGGAATTCATCTCTTTCTTCTCAGTTGGTGGGTTCTCGAGAGCACTTTGAACCCCGGCCCGCACCCAGGGGAGACCCGGCCACACCCCGCCGTGCCTGGACCTGGTTGGCTCTGGCACACGGGGCCATCGTCACTCTGCCCATGGAGCCAGAGCTGACGCCGGTGCCGACAGGGAGTGACGGCAGCAGGCTAATCCCTGCCGCAGCCTGTGGGCTGTTTCACTGCTGTCGCCGGCACTGGAGGTGCGGGCACCTGGGCACCCTGCAGGGCCTGCAGAGCTCGGCAGGGTAACTCGCATGCGTTTATAGCTCTAGAAAGAGGGTCCGTGCCCTTCTTCAAAAGGGGGTGCTAGCCCCCCCGGTCAGAATCGCTGGGGTAGTGAAAAAATGACTTCGACACACAAATCCAAAGTTGACTTCAGGTTAAGTCAATTTTTATGTTCACCAGCCTGACCAAAATGTACAATGCGAGGATTGACACCTGCAGAAACCCCAGGGATTTTCAACCTGCTTTGAAAAATCCAGCCTGCAATGGACATGTCTTCTCTCTTCCAGCCGATACAGACCAGAAGTTATGTGGGAATGTATTACTGCATGAAATCTACAGTACGGAATGTCACGGAGTAACCCAGAACGCGCCTGAGCACTCTGGGAGGCCCCAGGACCATCATGCCATGTTACGTGTGCAACACACATACACTGTTTCTACACCACATCCAAAAATGCGGGATCTTAAAAACTACTATTTGAACACTACTATTTGGATTTGGAAGGCAAAATAAAAACAGTGAAATCCATTCCATCACCTGAACTACAGCTTGTCACTCATACAGGCAAGGTACTCCACAGACCTTGCCTCTTTGCCCTCTCTCAAGAGAGACCCAAGCAAAGCCTTCTGCAACCGGCTGAGCCTCGGACAAGGGAAGGGGAGACAATGTGCGTGCCGGCCTAGAGCGGACAGGAGTGCGACTCCTGAGCTGGCCCTGGGGATCACACACACCCCCGGGAACACACAGCCACCGGCCCCACGTTCACACAAAGCAGGGAAGGAGGGAGCTCCCCCGTGCCCCCCAGTGCCCCGGGGTGACCCGCCCAGAGCAGGGAGCCCCTTCCTGGACAGCCGCGCTGGAGACAGAGGCAGCGGGGAGGACACACCCACTGCGCCGCGGCTCCGTGGGCGCGACGTGGACTGAGAAGCAGCATCTGCGCGTGGGGTTCTTGTAATCACGATAAAAATAAAAGCGGATAGCAGCGCCTACCTGCTCTGCTCCCTGCCATTCAGCCATTCGGAAACTACCATGTCAGCAGTGGGGGCTACGGACGGGTGGGGGCCGCAGAGTGACAGGGGTAAGACACCCAGCTCCCCGCTCTCCAGCGGTCAGCTCTGGACGTCTGTGCTGCTGTCCACGGCTGCCCCGCAGTTAAACGTCACACCAGTCCCAAGCCGGCCGTGATGCACTGGGGAGCCCTACGCCAGGTGGCTCGGGCCACACCTCTGGTCCTGGCTGGCCACTAACCAGCTGTGACTGTGGGCAAGCCCCATGCCTTTCTGGGGCCCATTTTCCTCATCTATAAAATGGGAGGGTTACCCTGTGCTGGGCTTCCAATTTTTCTAAATCTCTCCCATAGGAAGGGAGTCATCCTATCCCTGAACAGGTCTGGAAAGAGAGCCGCCTGCCCCAAGCACGTTCCTAGAATTTTATCTTCACGATTACACTCGACTCCGCCACGCACCCACGTCAGTCCCACAGTAAGGCGCGCCGCACTCCCGACGGAGCCGCCTCTCCAGTGTTCCCCGCACCGCGGCGCCTCAGGCCGGCCGCTGCAGCGCCCCCGCTGGCCCGGCTCGTCAGCACTCACAGCCTGCGGGACCCTCTGGCCCAGGCCTCGGTGGCTCTGACAACTGACAAGCGGACATGCTACAGCTTGCGCAAGGCATCCACAGAGCCAGAAAACTCACCTGCTTGTATGAAAGCCATTCGTAGGGCTGGTCTGGTTTCCGAGAGCCTAAGCAAGGACCGTTATCTGAAAAAGGAGAAAAACAAAGAATGGGCACAGCATGCATAAGTGTCTCAGTCCGCATCCCACCGCAGTCCACAAAGTGCTGGGCAGACTCCCATGGTCCTGGGAGTGGACATGACGGCTGCAGACTGGAATAGTTCTCCCTGGGTTTCAGTTTGATTTTTGCTTGTTTGTTTCTTTCTATTTTGTTTCTTAAATATTAGGGCAGGAGAGGAAGAAAATGAGAGAAGGCAAACACAAACGTTAAGAAATATCAGTATGTGTCCTGACTCTAACTTTGGCACCTAAGAAGCAGAAAGAAAGCCCACATTAATTATTCACACTGAAGGCTAGCACAGTAATAAATGTAACCACTCACATTTGGAATCAAAAAGACCGGGCTGCCGAGGGTCAAGTCAGCCAGCCCTGGGGGTGCAACGCACAGCACAGTGACTACACGGCACCAAACTGTCCGCACACTCAAAACTGCTGAGGCCAGTTCTTAAAAGTCCTCATCACCAGAAAAGCAAACGTGTGACTCTGTGCGCTGATGGCTCTTAACGAGACTCCTTATGGTGACTGCTACGTGGTGGACCTGAAACTTACACCATGTTATATGTCAATTTTACCTCACCAAAAAAAAAAAAAAAAAAAAAAAGACCAGGTCAAATATGACAAAATACACTGGCCATATGAAATAATATTACTTTATTTCTCAAGACAAGAAGCTGGCAATTGATAGCCAGAGGCCAAGGCAGGAAATCAGGCCTGCCTCCTGTTCTGTAAACACTATTGTTTTTCGAAGGCAGCCTCACTCATGCATTTACATATTATCTAAGGCTGCAGTTGCACAGTCGAAACAGAGACCAAATGACCCGAAAGGTCTAAAATATTTACTGCCTGGCTCTTTACAGAAAAAGTTTGTGATTCAAGCTCCAGAATGGCGCCGTTGACCCCAGGCTCACCCAGGAAACGTAAACACGCACGCTGCGCCCAGGCCCTGTGGACAACACTCTGGAGACAATGGGACAGGCTGGGGCCTGGGCCCAGCACGTTCCAAAGCTCCCAGGGGACGGGGCGGTGCAGCAGGGACGAGGACTCCGGCACACGGGCACTCAGCCTTCACAGATGGCTTCCCAGGATAGTTTTAGAGGTTTAAACACTCTAGGATGGCCTCACCCATGATTCAACAACCCCTAACTACCTTACCTAGGTGCTGGCTTTTGTGCTCCTGTAAAAGTTTAGTTTTTTGGTAGCCTAGGAAAATGGAAGCTTAGAATAAAAAGGTCCTGCAGGGTTGGAGTGGGGGGTAGAATAGCCTGCAAAGCAGCTCCCTTCAATCAGGACAAGTTAAGGAACTGAGCTTATTTTTCTTGAAATTCTCTGAAACAGTCATCTAAGTCCTTCATTTTCCAAGTAGACAAAGTAACCCCAACAAAAAGGTACATGATTTGTGTTTATGTCAGGGGACACCCAGAAGCACAATGTTAAGCCACTACACTCCCAGATGATCCCATCCTCTGCTAACAATGGAAAAACATGTATGCACATATACATATCTACATACTTTGTGGCCGTGGTAAAGAGCATATACACGCACACAGAGGCGTGCATATATATGTACGTATGTTTCACGCACCCTCGCCTTAGGCTGACCTACCTTGTATTTATTCTCACCGACAGACCCTGACCCTGATACGAACTCTGAAGGAGCTCAGAACCTCAGCCACCTCTAAGTCAGTTCGCCTTCCTGGTACAGAGGGGCTGAACGAACCTGCCACAGGGGCACTGGGGCAAACGCCCTGAACCGACACTCCCGCTTTGCCAGGGCCCAGTTGAAACCATAGGCCCCTCTGGAGCACGTATCACGTGCAACACACTGGGGACGACAGACAGCAAGAACAGCCCAGGGCCTGTAGGGAGGTCACGATCTTGTGGCAAAGGTAAAAGCTAATCGCCAAAAGACTGAAATAACAAGGCATGGACCCCCAAGGAGCACGTCCAGAGAGGAAGAGGGAACAAGCAAAAGTAAAGAGGCTGCCTCAGAGAGAGAGGGGTGGGGGAGCAGAGGGTACCCTCCCCTTCGCTGAGGGCACATGAATGGAGCACCTACTGTGCGCCAGGCTGTATCGGTGCTGAGGGAAGAGACGGCCGCCCTGTTCGAGGAGCAGCCGCTGATGGGACAGAAGGCCAGGTAACTGCCTTTGTACCCTGAAGTGGCTTTTACAGAAACAGGTATAGGATGTGGGCAGTGAGGAGGGAATGCCTCACTTAAAGGAAGGGGATGGAAACTGATAGACCAGGAAGGTTTTATAGAAAAGGTGAAAAGCGATCTGAGTTTCATGGGATTAGGAAGACCGCATCAAGCACCCTGCGCTGGAGGAGAGAAGAGGCGTTAGGGTCGCGGGGGAGGGGCCTGGTCACCAGCGAGCAGAGGTGGCGGTGGCTCTGCGGGAAGTCCCCCATGACTGGAGCCTGGAAGAGAGAGGAGCTGGGAGGGGAGGCAGGCGCTGGTTGTCTGGGGTCTCTGCTGCCACCGTCAGTAATTAAGGGTGGTCCCATTTCCAAAGTGTTGCTGGTGGAACACTGTTTCCTTGGGGTGTCAGTATTTATTTCTTAAAATATGAGTCCCCTGATCAATAAGTTTGAAAAATATTGGACTGGGCCCAATTAAGGAGGTGTCCTAACTGCAGGAAAAGTCAGCCCATAATGAGCTAATATATATGTGACTCTCCATAAAATACATGACATGCAGAACACATTTGACCATGGAACCCACTTTCTTGCCACAGGCCACGTTGAGGGGCCAGTGGGCTTCAGGAGTCGCTCTGGAGAAGCTGTGGGAAGGGACCAGAAGGCTTGAATGGTACTAAATAGGCGAAAGACAATGAGCAAATATGCCTTTCTGAAGAAGGACCACTCCTCCTGAATGGACATCACTGAGCGTCAGCCACATGAACGCAGCACGATGCTTACTTGACACATGTATGCCCCTCTGGAAACCTTCGTATAAGGTTCTGACATCGTCGTAGAAATACTCCAAGGGCTCATCACTATTAAGCAGCGGGGACCTCCGAGCACCATCACTGCCCTATGGAAAAAGACAGACAGGTGAGCCCAGTAGAGGACAGCGCGGACAACCGACAGCCTGCTGCACACGGCTCCCTGGGCCCGGGGCGGCTGCCCAGAGAGTGCGGCTGAAGGAGCCGAGGTGCAGGGCGTGGCACCGAGGCCCGACCGTGTGTCGGCTCTTACAGAAACGACACACCACTTGGTTTCACTTCCATATCGTTCTCTCTGTTCTTCCATTTTTTTTTTTTTTAATTAGAGTTGACCATGTTCTTTTTGAGATTATTTCCACTGTTATCTCTCTTTGCCAACTGCACTACAATGCGTTAGGAACTTCGGGTTCACATAGAGCGTCTAACAGTTACGATCAGCAGCTACAAGACGCAGGGTGTGCAGAGCCGTCTGTGCGCGTGTGGTGTGCAGCACTGATAGGTGTGCAGACTTGGCACCGCGGCGTGCCCTTCTCTACGCTGTCCTCACCTGCTGGCTCAGGGGGCACGCCTGCTCTGAACCAGAGCATCTGACCAGTGGCCTGGGCCACAGAAGAGGTAGCTGTTCTCCCCTTGTGAGCTGCTGCGCCCTCGGGGCCCAGCGACACACTGCAAGGGGCCCGGGTGTCCAGAGGAACGCGGAGCATTCTTCAGAGGCTGACGAATAAAAGTTCAACTACTGTGATGCCTGAGCCTACAATTCTTTTTTTTTTTTTTTTTTTTTGTTTTTAAATTTCAGAGAAGGGCCTTCACATGTGCAACGGTCAGGAAACATTCTCTTGGGGGAAATTAGGCTCTGACAAAGGACTTCTGGTGTGACGAGGAAGCCTGTTTAGAAGGCAGAGAGGCTGCTTCTGGCTTGAGGTCTGAAGAAAGGAGGCCGGCAGGCCTCCAGGAAGAAGAGGCGAAGGGCTCGGTCTCCCAGAGCAGCGGGCCTGCTGGCAGGACCCACAGCAACTGGGCTGCGGCAGGGGAGAGCCACGTGGAGACCTTTCCTACGGCAACGACTGCCAGCCATGTTTGGATGAATTCATTTGCTTCTTGTTTTTAATTAGAATTCTTCACTCCTCCTCCCACATGCTCTTTCCTTCCCTCCAAGTTATCATTTATATGGTGAAATTTTTTTAATAACATGGAAGCATATAAAAACATATGACCAGCCCCTGTTACCAGTTTGGTGAGTCCCTTCTAGACTTTTCTCTATGCTTATACATTTACATACATTTTTCAGGATCTACTAGGCGCTACACATATGTATTTAACTCTAGATCTAAAACTGCTAATAATTTTCTGGAGTTAATATCACCCAATAATATATTCTAATCCTCACACAGTCTTCTCTATCTTAGCAGAAATTTTCTAACACCTGTAGCTATGATTCGAAATATAATTATTAACTACTATGTGCTACTTTAGAAGACAAAGAAGCTATTCTTTGTGTATATAAAGATGGAAATAGAATCATGCATCATTAATATTTAATCTCTGAGTCTATTTTCTCTTCTGCAAAATAAGGATACCATGTGTCCACGTCCAGGGTTATTTTTAGTTAAATGAACTTTCCTGTACAACATGAATATGCAGACTGTTGCTCAGACACCCTATAACGTGCCCTAACTACAATCCCAGTCCTTCTTAGCCAATATCTTTCCTACAAAAACTATTCTGATTAAAATTCAGAAGCAATTTTGTGACTTTACTATAAGATTCAGAAACCTCTTCAACCCAGGAAGCCACCCAAGGACCCAGGGCATCATGGGTAAGCAGGAAGAACAAAGGGGTGGAGGATTAAAGGACAGAGCAGGGGAAGAAGGACAAAGCTGAGAAAAGTAAGAGGTGTGCCTGGTGAAGAGGGGCCGAGGGCCACACCTGGTTGCCGCTGCTGGGCGGGGCGGGCAGCCCGGTGTCCGCAGGGGCCTCCTGACCCTCTGCTCAGAGTTTTCTCTACAGAAGCGGCTCTGCCCTCCCACGCTCCCTGCTCAGTGGGGCCCACAGCAGTCAGCAGGGAAGATGGGACGCAGAGGGTAAGACAGAGCCAGGAGTCGGGAGCCTGCCCTCAGTGACCAGAGCAGGAGAGCAGGGAGGAAGGCAGGGCGGACAGACGGCAGCAGCCTGGGATCTCGCGAGCGCCGGCTCCCCTAGGCTGAGGTCCTCAGGGGAGGACCGGGGCACCCTGGCCCTGCTAAGGAAGCAAATTAGCCAGCCCTGCGCCAGGTCCCCCGAGTCAGGAACTCTGGGGGTGTGGCCCAGCAGTGCATGCTGTGACCAGAAGCCTGTGAGGAGTGTGGGCAGCATGCAGAGCAGGACGGGGCGGGGGCGGGGGGTGGGGGCGGCGCGGGGGCAGAGGCTGGGAACGACCACCACGTAGGGCCTGGGCTGGGGCAGAGGCTGGCGGGAGCGGGGAGAATGTGGACAGGGGACGCATGGAGCCCCGATGAGGGGGATTTGGCGAGTGTCTCTGTATAGGAGAAAGGGCGAAGGGCAGAGCTGGGGGACTAGAAGACAGCAGTCCCATTTCATCAAAAACAGAGGACTAGGGGTTGTGTAGGCCTGAGAAAGTGATTAAGCTTAGCTTTGGATACACGGTGACCCTGTTCCTTCCAGAGAGGAGGCCCACTTCCCAGTGCCCATTTTGGGAATCTCTGCTCTAGCGTATGATTTGATAAGAAACTTTTGGCTAAAGAATTCTTTGATTAGGTTAATTTGTTGGTGGCATACAATCCTCAGGACTTTGGGAAACATGGAGGTAAAACAGTCAAATCCAAGTCAGAGGAGTCAGGGTAAATCCTGAATAAAGCCACCCTCTTGGCAAAGTACCATGAGGACAAGATACTTATTACTATTCTAATTAGTAGAAGTATGTGGGTTCTGTGCCAATTTAAGGCATAGGTGAAAAAGGTGAAAAGGTTACATTGTCACTTGATAGTAAGGCATACTCCCTACTGCCACGAGAAGAGAACGAAGGAATGGAATGGGTGGTGGAGACTAAGCAGCAAGATTTGTGCTTTGAAACGTGTTGCTTGATGAAATGATCACATTCCCATAAAGAATCGTTTCCGATGTGCACGCATGTGACCATTCTTCCCGAGCAAGAACGCTGCATGTAAACACCAGTGTCAGGACCTCAGTCACGCCCACGAGGGGCAAGGGAGTGCAGCCGAGTGCTGGGAAGCACATTTGTAATAACCGGACCCAAAAATGCCTGCACGTGCTACAAAAATCAACCTACTTCCAAAGCCACGGATTTAATTCCTGGGTTATTCAGGCACATGTGCCTACTTCTAGGACCAGAAAATGAAAAAATACTTCACATTTGCCTTCTCGGCTTCTGACATAACCTGCAGACTAGGGGTGGAGGTGGGGGCGTCAGTTTTGCTCAAGCAAAAGGATGAGCTAAGCAGATAATTCCAATCCAATGTGCAGAAAACCGGCGAATAAGATTGTGAGTCAGGGAGCATTATGGGCCTTCTGTTTCTTCTGCTCTGCACTTTTCAATGTGGTCATACAGTTTCCCAGTTAGAAAAAAGAAAAAAAGCGGTGAGTCAGAGCCTTGCAGTGGAATCAGTGGCCATGGGTACATTCCGCCACACTGAACCAGCCACGGTGCCCCTGAGCTTGCCTGCGTGGGCTGAGTTAGGAAACGCAAGTTCACGTTCCTTTCGGGGGCAGCCCGGCAGGACCGCAGCCAGCATCTGTGTGTCACCGCTTCCCAGACTAGAACCCTTGTCAGCATTTGACAAAAAAGAACCCTTGATGGGAGGGTCACTTTGGGCCATTCCCATATTTCAATGCAAAAGCAGATCACATCCTGGAAGATTTCTGGGGGACAAAAAGGCCCAAACTTTATCAATTGTGGTCTCCTCCTCCCCATCCAGAAGATGGACATCTATAGGCCACAGGAGTCAAGTAACTATCCATCCCATTCCTTTGTTTATTCCCCCCAAGGAGAGGGCTGGGGCTGGGGCTGGGGCAGGGAGAAGGGACAGGAGGGACAGAGGGAGGAGGGGAAGGGGGAGAGAGCAGAGAGGGAGGAGGAGGAGGGGAACCCAGTAACTTCTAAAGCGACTGTTAAGACTTGGCTGGATTTTAATGTTAAATCCATCTCTAGGGGAAAAAGCAGCAGGTGGAACCACAGTCCTGGGGGGAAGAAAGACCCCCCCCTTTCCGACATCCCCCATGGGAAAAGGGACCCCCCCCGCCCCAGCACTTACATTCCACACGCACCTTGCCCTGCCCGCTCGCCACCCCGCCCCGTTCTGTGAACAGGTGCAGAGCCACTTCTCCATCCGCCCGGCGGGCTTGGAGGGAGGCTCTCTGGCCATCGAGTCTCATATCCAGCAACACCAGATCTCTGAGAGATCGAACTGAGGCCTTTAAAGGGCAGCCCGCAGGCGACCCTCCTGACCACTTTTTTTGAGTGACAATGGACAGGATACTTAAAAGGACACCTAGACTCCCCCATTATGCTGACCTGTAAATGTCACAGCGTCGCAAGGAACCCTCAGGTTCACGATTTATGCTCGCCATGTAACAAGTTAACTTCCTGAGGCCCTTCACTCCCAACTGAGTCAACACAGGGCAAGACCAGCACAGTGACAACTGAGGCTGGTATGTCATCTAGGCGCAGCGAAGATGGAAGGGGAGCATTTACTGAGCGCCTGCTACGGGCCGGCCACCTTGCAGATGAGAGAACAGACCGAGGGGGTTTTTTCCTGCCTCGGTCCCACATCCAAAACCGGGGATTGCTCAGCCTCGAACCCAGCCCCACAGGCAGTGGTAGGCTGCGAGATCTGCCTGTGCTTCTCAAGCAGGCTCGAACTTTCCCACGGCATGTCAGTCGCCCTCCTCCTTGCAGAGGCAGGCCCGGATCACCGTTCCCCTAATCTCCTGACCCCCTTTCCTTCTCCTTCTCTGGCTCCCAGCTTCCTGAGCTCCAGCCGCCCTCGTCCGAGGATGTGCTCAGGGACGGGAGGTGGACAGCACTCAGCACACTCTAGCCCCACGCTGCTAAACGCACCTCACCTCTGCACCAGAGATAGTCGGCCAACCCCAGGAGGGAAAGGAGCACTCGCCAACCCTGTGCAAGGGGAGGAAGTGTGGAGTCACCAGATCCCACAAACACACTGTCCAAATTCCCACATACTGTCCCAGCAAAACAAGCTGGCCCGCGGCGCCCCGCCATGCCTGCCAGTTAGAAGGCACGGGCCGCCCACTTCCCTTAGGTGGGGGAGTCTGCAGGGGGCCGCCGGCGGCCTGCTCTGCCAGCAGTGGGGCGGGGGCGGGGCGGGGGGCTCAGGTGTGTCGGAGGCTCGGGAAGCCCAAGTTTGTCATTTTTCATTTCGTGCAAGTTGAACCTGCTTCAGGGGGCTATTTTTAAACTTAAATAAGCATGACGGCACACATTTCAGTCATTTATGTGCACACATGTTCTCTGACTGATGAAGCCCAGGAGAAGCTGCGTCATTTCTATAAAATGACCTGTGTTTTCAGAGCAGCTTTGCAGTGAACTTGGGCTTTTCTTCTCACTTAAAAGGAACCCAGAAATGATTTTTTTCCTCTAAAACAGTCACACTCCCTCCTTTGAATTCCTAAAGGCAGCCACCTGACGCTGCTGTGGCCTGGTCTTGGCACACAGCTCGGCAACCCCGGGCCTCTGTGATGCCCGCTCCTCCCCTCACAGGTCACCGCCCACGGGGGCTGCCTGTGACCAACGCAAACCTCCTACCAACATGTTTGAAACATAGTCACTTTCGGGTTAGCAGCCATGTCCAACTACACCTGGAAACGCAGTTGTTTCCTGTTTCATGAGTTTAGTAAGAAAAACCTCAGTTAGCAAGGTTTTCATACATTATTATTAAAAGTCCAAGTTTTAGGCCCCAGCTGGGCAGCTCCATTGCCTAGAGCCTAGTCCCAATGCACCAAGGTTGTAGGTTCAGTCTCCGGTCGGGGCACATACAAGAAGCAACCAGTGAGTTGACAGATGCGTGGGGCAACGGGCTGATGTTTCTTGACAGCGTCTGATCCTGTGTCCAACCTTCGTGTGTGCAGAACCCCAGACTCCGTTTCTTACCTCACCTGCCCCCCTTCCTCCTTCCACTTCTATCACTACCTTCAGATTCATTTGTGGACATAACTATTTTCCGAAGAATCAAAAGCTCCTGGAATGAAAAGCTCTAGCCGCCGACACTTCAAATTTATCTAGACAGAACCAAATTTTCTTCACTGTCTTTGTTTCTATGCCCCCCCACCACAGAGTCATAGTTATAAAACGTAACTTTCTTTTTCATTTGACTGTATTTTTCCATTACTATTTATCCCCCCATGCCCTCCCCCCCCGCCCACCCTCACCCCCCGGCAATCACCACACTGTTCTCCTAATCCATGAGTTCTTCCTCGCTTCTTTTTTGCTTGACCCTCCACCCTCACCCCCACCCCAGAGCTGTCAGCCTGCTCTCCATCTGTGAGTCTGTCTCTATTTTGCTTGGTAGTTCGGTTTATTCATTAGATTCCGCCTATGAGGGATGTCCGCCGGTACTCGTCTTCCTCTGACCGGCTTCCCTCACTCACAGCACAGTGCGTAACCCTCAGCTGCATGATGAAGGCAGCGGGACCGAGCCCTAGCTCTCCCTCTGACTGCACGACACAACCTCGCCTCTGTGGACTCAGCTGTTTGCTCATGAATGAATGGGCGGCTTGAAAGGGGAGGCCTTGCCAAAGAAGGAAATGGACATTTACTGAGCGCTCACCAGGGGCCAGGCCGACGCTTGGCATGTCTCTACACGGTCCTCTTAACGGCGGAGACAGAGGGCATGTGCCACCTCTTTGTCACCCAGAGGAGGAGCCTGCAGGTCACAGAAGCCAGGTGCCCGGGGCTTGCCCAGGGCTGCCAGGTCTGAACAGAACAGCCAGGTCCAGCCCCGCCACGTCTCCGTGCCCCTTCGGTCCCTTCCAGCTCCAGCATGCCCTCCTGGTCCCTCCACTGCAGCCACCACAGTCTGTGTGCCCTGACCAGTCCCAACGGGTTTCCAGTCCTTCCAGGGAAGGTCACCTTCAATGGGGGATATGGGGACCACAATCCCAGAGAACAGGCTGAGATGCGCTAAAACTGGAAAATGTGCATCATCTCTTGTGAAAGTGACTATGCAAAAAGACACAGGCACACCAACTCACTTCGCTCCACCGCTCAGAGTTACGGAGCAGCAGGAACGAGAAGCCCTGGGGAGACGGAAGTCCTACTCTGCCACGTGGGCAAAGGCCAGCCCTCCCAGGGCCGCGGTGGAGCAGGGAGCTGCATGTGCACAGGGCCACAGCTCTCGAAACAGGGTGCTGATCGGAACATGCGCACACAGTTAAAAAAGCCTTTGGGTTCTGGCGCTACGGCCAGCTTCTCTGTCCCACCCTCTAGCTTATGTCTGCATTGCCGTTCCTGCACGGGTGCAGCGCATGAGCACTAACATCCATTTCACCACCCTGATTTGTAAAAGGAAATTTTATAAGCTGCAACTTATTTAAAAACCCAGTTTAAAACAGCGTAGCTGGGAGGCAGCGAGTGTGGGCACAGAGGATGCAGCCCAACCAAAAGGGGCGGATTCTTCCCATTTTCCCATCCACGTCAAGTCTGGGAGAGGAGGGGGGTGAAAAAAACGCACGTGTGAAAAGGGAGGCGGCGGGCGAGCGGGGGCTGGCACACGGTGCGCGCTGGCTGTCGCGGGAGGAACACAGCGACGGTGTTTTCATCTGGGCCACAAGCCCCCACGGCAGCGGCCGCTGCACAGGCTCCTGACTGATACTTGGGGAAATGGAGCGAGTTCCCCCTTCTGCCATAGATGCCTGAATGGAGAGTGGGCTCTGTGAGAGCACCTATAACCACTAAGTGTCCTGGCTCCAAGGGCTAATCTCAAATTCAATATTTTAAGTTCTTTTTTTAGAAATGTAAAACAAATTTTGTATCCCTGAAACCTAGAGATGCTGAAAACCGGAGCTAAACCCATTTCCATAAGCAAAGAGAAAATCAGGAAGCCAATATACGAAGTAGTGAAATTACGGATTTTCATTTTCTTTCTGCTTGTCAGTGATTTTAAACTGTTCCACAGAGAACATGTATGGGTATTTTAATAAGGCCCAGTGACTTCCTGCTCCGCTGGAGCTTACCAATCACACCTAGTGCGCCGCAACTGCCCCCTTGAGAAGCAGGAATCGGGCACTGTCTTAGTTACCGCCAGGTCACAGACACCGCGGGTCTGCGCCCCGGGCCCTGCCGTGACGGCAGGGCAGCCCTGGCCCAAACCTCATGCGCTCCTGTTAGAAAATGTTAAATTCTACTCAGTATTCGTAGGGGGCCAACTGAGGTGAAATACTCTTTACCTTTTGTTTAGAAATAAAGTATCTTAACGCCATTCTTCCTCATCACTAGCTCAGTCCCTCTCTTTTACACTTTGTCATGAATGAGACTGACATCCCTCCCAGTCGCCAGAAGCTCGGACTCAGCGCTGGCTGCATGTGGAAGGGCCCACCCTCCCCATTTGCCCCACAGCCCTGGCAGCAGGAGGCCCCTCACCTACACCTAAAAGCAGTGAACGAGGCAATTCTGCATTGACAACATGAATTTTCATTATATGTCAAAAATAATGCACACTGAAAATTCATTCTGACTTGGCTAGGAAAGCAAGAAATGACACAGCACAGCTGAGAAGGTGGCTGCTATGTCTTGCAGCCCGTCACTAACCTTGAGGGGAGATCTGGGGGGGGCGGGGGAATGGGGGGCACGGCGGGAAGAGCAGGAGCCTTAGGAAAGAATCTGTCTGGAAGGGTCTCCTGACTTCCGTGGCCAGCCCACCCATGCAGCCCTAATTATGGAACACGCTCTGTTGTAATTTTCCGAATGACGACAGCATGACCTTCAGTGTGCCAAAGTTATGCACTGCCATGGCACTCAACAGCCCAACCTCGGACGCCCCCGAGTGTCCTTGTCTCTCTATGTCCTATCCCAAATCCTGCAGCCAAGCTATTCTGGCAGGTTCCTAGTCTAGCCTCATCCTGTCTGAAAGCTCAGAGTCCCATTTGGCAGCTGGGGGGTGTGTTCTAACTATCTGCACCAGCGAGAGCCCTCTTTCTCTGACGTTTGACAGCCCGCTTCTCTGCTGAAACATATGCCCTGTGAGAGCTGTGACTCTGTGCCTGTCCGTCCTGTCCTGGAACCTTCCAGGCCAACCACTGTGCCTAGCACGGGGGAGGAACTCCATGGGATTTCCGGAAGGAGCCTCTGTGTGACTTTGGGCAGACACCTAGCCGCCACCACCTCATGTGTCCCCCTGCCCTACATTCGGGCCTCTACCTCTGTCCATAATCATCGGCAAACTTGTGTTTGTTAGAGTGTATTTTGCAGAGCACCCTGGCAAGGGAACCCACAGACAGGCCAGCCCCTCCACTTACCGCCACCTCCACTGACTGCATGGAGAGGTCGCATGGCGGCTTCAGGGCCTTGGGTCTCGTGGCGTACCAGAAAGTGGTGAGCGCTGCGAACGCGCCGAAGCCCATGAGCGTGTTGGTAGGCAGGGTGCGAACGTACTGTCGGAAGTCAGCCAGCTCTGGCATTCGGAAATAGCGGAACAACTCGTGGGCTTGCATGGTCCTGTGTTGGTGGTGCCCGGGGCTGACTTCTGCTGGGAGAGAAAAACATCTTGTTCATTCCAGGGAGGCAGGACTCTTCTCCAGAATTCCCAAAGGCCAACAACCTTCTCACTCGATGGCCAGCTGACCAGTCAAGGCAGCAGACCTACAGGCTACGGGCCAGGCCTTCTCCTGGCTCTCAAATTTCCTTTTTGTAAAAACCACTTTAGGAATTCATTTTACTTCTATCATCTTGTGTAAAGTTTTCATTAACCACGTTTTAAAATGTTCACGCACAAAGAATTCTTGCCATAAAATGCTCAAGTAAGTGGCATAAGTTACCATTTTCTTCTCTTATATTGTACCTCTGTTCTCTTCCACTTAGTCAAACAGATTCAACTCCCATCATGACAGCTAATGGGGAGAAGAGTGAAGAGGCACAAACAAGCCCAAACCACGTAAGAGCCATCAGTTTTCCTTTCTTCTCACAAAGCTCGGAATGAGCTCCCCACCCAGGAAAACAGACCAGTCAGACGCCAGAGTGTCTCTCCCCGTCCCCGTCCTCCGCACCGTGACAGCAGGATAAATGCAAAGGAAACCGTAGCTGGCTATTCTGATAAGACAATTTCTTTTATATTCTTCAAGATAGTAGAGCTAAAATAAAATAATAAATTGATGTGCATAAACTTTAAACTAACCACCAAATATTTGGAGACGGACTACAGCATAGTATTTGAGAGAAAATATAGAATAGTATTTGAAACCTGAGATTCTAGAGCCAAATCCTACCTCCCCTTCTTATTAGCTACATGGTTTGGGACGAATGACTTCACCTCTCTGTGCCTCAATTTTCTCCTGTATAAATGGAGATTAAAAATAGTGCCTGTCTCCTAGGGCTTTTATAATGACTAAATAATTCATACAGTGCGTAGACTGATATGAGGCACCGAAGTGCTCAATACATGGGAGGCATTCTTATTATTATTTCCTCTACCAAGGCTCTGTGATGAGTGCTGTGTGCCAAGCAGGAAGATAGGGGCAATAAAAAAAATGGTATTTGACTACAAAGAGCTTAAAAACAAAATTAAGAAGCCAAAACACACAGAAGAGAATTGGATGACAAACTCAAGGCACATTAAAGCCTCAAAGTGCATGTTACAGACAATTTACATATACACCAGTATAAAAAATGCGAAGTACAGATAATAAATAATTCTCATTAGAAAAATCTTGATGAATAACTGCTTTTATAGTATGTTTGCCTGGAAAAGGAAGGAAATAACAGCACGTGATCTGAGTTTTCTCAAAAGCTTCCTGGCAATCCACTAGTGCTAATTTAACTATTAAGTTCAGATGGTATTTGTGAGCTACTTATATGTTCTTTTAAACAGATCACAGACTAAAACTAACGTTCTTTTTTCAAATACAGAAATCCTCTTTAAATTTTAACCAGTACTACTGTATTTTTTTTACAGAGTAGCAGAACGCCAAGTGTTTTCACTGGCCATCGATACCGTAGGAGCCAGTGTGATGTATCTGTGCAGCTCATGCGATCTTGTGCCACGACAGCTCTGTGTAGGTGCCTGTACGCATGCATATGTACACACACACACACACACACACACACACACACACAGGGAATTTCAAGGTCTGACATGACAACAGAGAAGCAACTTTCTTCAGGTTGTAACTCTGGAGCAAAAGCACCAGCTCTTACAAAGCCACTCACCATCCGTGCCACCAACAGCTGACTGCTAGGTGATACGCCACTGCAGAAACAGAAAAGGCAGTGGGGGGGAGGTGGGGCAGGGCCGGAGGGGCCCAGCCGGTGTGCGCCGGGCTGCCAAGGTCTCTCAGGGCATTAGTCACATGCTGGGGCCTGTGCTGCTGCCCACTGGACTAAAGGTAACTAGCAGACAAAATCCACACTTGATTTCCGGGAGAAGACAGGGTGAAGGACGGGCCAATGGGGAGCTGGGAGCAAGTCACCCCACTGCTCCACCCATGGGCAGGGACAGGCATCAGTTAGTGTCACTGGCAGTGCCAGTTCTGAACACAGACATTGTTTTCTTTCTGCTCAGCTTCCCAATAAGAAGAGACAATGGGTATGTTTTTAAAAGCCATTGAAATGACCACATGTTGAATGGTATGTTGAACCAACATAAGGCAGGCCAAGAAAGAAACAGACTGTCAACAGTACACCCACAGCAGATTGTACTCTAAATGAATTCATAGGAATCAAGCTCCTCCAGTCCTTTCCCATACCTGAGCACCTCGCATGTGCCATCCATGTGCTAGGAGCTGGGAAGACACTGCTAGAGGCAGGGCCCGGCTCCCAGCGGGCTAGCCAGCTGGGGAAGGCCCAAAAGGCAGCAAGCGCGCTCTGCGAGATGCGGGGAGAGTCCGCACCGCTCAGATCCAGTGACCAGGCAAAGCCTCTCTGAGGGACAGGGGCTCACGCGGGACATAGAGGCTAAGCCGACAAACCGAGCCCAGGGTTCCCCTTGACACGGAACTGCATGCAGCACTGCAATTCTACGAGTGCAAAGCAACCTCATGCACCCCACGTGCACACCTGCCTCCCCTCTAATCGGCCTACCTCCCCGTTGTCGTTGCTACCCCCACAGCACTCTAAGTCTACCCACCCCTACCCAACACCCCTGCCTTTCCCTCATCTCTCCCTGAAGTAATTCCCTCAACACCTAGATCGTGTGAATTTACTGGGGCTGTTCGACAGAATCACATCCCTGTGTGAAATATTAAATAACTGCCTCGCCAACAAATCCAGTCATAAACACGTGATTTTTTTCTGTTTTAAGCATCAGCAGTAGCCAAGCTGTAGACAGCATTACACTAAGAATGAAACAAGTCTATTTATAGAAATGTCTAGGAAAGGAAACTTTTTAAACACTTCAAAAAATGGAGGTAGCACTCATGCAAAAGCGTTTCATTACATACTAACCTCTAATGCACAGGGTTTAAAGCCAGCTAAATTATTATCTTTGTTGATAAGGACAGCAGTTTATTTCCTTCATGCCTCTTCGCTGGCAGCTGGTAACCAGCTGCAAGCCAACCACACCAAACAAACTGGTTAATGCTGTGTGTAGGGAAACTACAGTCTATGCAATAAAGAACTAAGCCAATACCTCACTTAGATTCGTAGAAAGAGCAACTCTTACATGTGAAGCAAAGATCGCTATAAATCTTTCCCCTTCTGTTTAACTGCTATAAGGAAAAGGTACTTGGGATATTTAGAAATGGAGACAGACCTACATTCAAAGAAAATGAGCCGCAACAAATAGCCTTTAACTACTGGAGGTGAACATGAACACCACGCTTTAAGACGGTCTCAGTCAATAACTGGCCTCAAGGAAGTATCAAGGCTCATGAACTTGCCAACAAATGGTTAAAACTCATCCCAATTTATTCTCATCCCAATGCTGTTCTGGTTGTAATATTTTTAAAATTCTTTCAAAAGCAAATTTGCACACCATCATCTCAGGAAGTTTACAGCCAAGGCCCATCATCGTGCTGCCGTCTGCTAAGAATATGATTCAATCGGCTTAAAGGCTTACACAGATGGTAGCCGGTACTTCTGGGCGGGCACACGGGGGACTTCCAGCAGCTTAGCTTCTCCCTCCCCTTAGCTCGTCCTGCACACCTTCCTCTCTGCACCTACGAAAAGAGGCTTTGCTCCATTGGGTCTTTTGAATTTCCAGTGGAGCTGGAGTCAAAAATCACAGAAGGACGGGGAATGTGGCGGGAGCCCAGGAAGCCTGGCACACGCCCACTGCAAGGGAGCAGAGCACAGCACACCTTTAAATGGGCCTGGGTGGAAACAGACACACTGGGCAGGGGACAGAAATGGACTGCACGCTGTCAGACAGCGGACACCCTGGCTCCCAGCTGCCCAAACCTGGAGAAAACCAGCTCCTCACACAGTCAGCCCTGCGCTGGGGTTTCGGAAAGGCTTTCACACCCAGCGCCTTATCTGAGCATCACAAGGAAAAATGACGATGGGGAAACCAAGGCTTGAGACCTAGAAGGCTTCCCCAGGTGTCCCCAGGACACCGATCTGACCCCAAGTTCATGTGTTTTCCTCCACGCGAACACTTCCTAACCTCTGGCGGGCCACTGCCTGTCCACGAAGAGCATCGACATGCTCCTCTGCACGTGGGGCTCCCCAGTCCCCTTGAGCTGCCTCCGGCTGGGAGCCATTAGGAGTGGCTTCTGGGGGTCTCTCCAGCACTCACGCTCTATGGGGTCAGCAGCGCTCGGCACCTGAGGCGCAGTGAACTCTCTCCGTCTCCCAGAGCCACTAGCAGTCACCCCGCCACCCTGGCCCCTGATCACGCGGGTTCCAGCTCCACTGTGCACAAGGGTCCACCTTTTGCCACTTAGTTTCCACCAGGAAAAAAGCGCTCCAGCGCGGCTCGTGACTCACAGGGCATCATTCTGTAAGGACATAGGGACACACACAGAGCTCCTGCAAGCTTATACTTACATTAGCATTTCATTTTCTTCATGTTATTTACAAACCACACAGACGGGCGCTCCGGATGCTCCTCCCCTTCTGCCGTCCCTCAAGCGTTCACCCGCAGTCACAGTGTTTTGAAGGAGCACTTCACCAGGTGTAGCCCTCACCCCACCTCGCAGAAAGAGCGCCCCGCCCTCGACCCAGCTGCAGCCGATGAAGAAATCCTGACTTCTCTCCTTAAAACCGCACGCCAAGCTGGCGAGACGCTGCCATTCCTTGTTCCACCTCCTCCCCTGGTACAATAGGCCATTTAGAGAGGCTGAAAGCTGCCCCTTTGTCCTGCACGGCCGGGCACAGCTCAGCCTCGGGAGGAACAAGAGAGCGGCAGCCAGACCGCGTGCTGGTCTTTCAGTGCGCCGCTCCAAACTGTCGGGTGGTGCTCCTTAACCCTGGCTGGCAAATTACCTAAAGCTTCATTTGCTCAAGCCGTCCCCTCGTGAACCCAAAGAGCAGCCTGGCTGTCTCTGGAGAGAGGGAGGCACAGGCGCTGAGATGCAAGGCCACCCGTGAGAAAGGAAGGCGGAGGCTGATGCCCCTCCCATCCCGTGCAGGCTTCCTGGCCCTGGCCGGTGGCCTGCTGCCCTGGGACCACCTCCTCGCTCTGAGCCTGGGAAGGAGAAAGTGTGCTCGGGTACCCTGGTATCTCACATGGGCATGGGAGCCAGTCGCTGCCCACGAGATGGTGACACCCATTCCCTGCCGGCAGGGGCTTGGGGGTACTTTTCCTTCCTCGTACAGTTACCCTCCACCGGCTGAATTTTCAGGACAGTGATTGTATGGTCAATTCAACTTCCAAGCAGATCTTTACAAGGAGCAACAATGCAGAGATGCTCTGTTTTCAGAAACCTGATTTATGAAACAATTCAAGTTGAATACTTCTACACTAACCCACTCCCTGCCTATCTCCCCTAAAGCTGTCAGAGAAAGAGTGGGACACGAAGCTTTTAAGGGCAAGTAGCGGGCTAGACTAACTTTTAACCAGTGTGACTAGGGGCGCTGCTCACCCACTCTGTTGGCCATGGGCCACTGCGACCATGTACGCTCCCAAAGCGACCATGGGAATGGGTAAATGTGAGGCGTCCATCTCCAGCACACAGACTCTTAGGGGTTGGGTGGGATGGCAAACGTCTACTCGTAACAGCTTCTGTACTCATTAAGCCACATACATATTTAAATCATATGACAAAATAAGTTGAGAAATATTTCCTTTTTCTATTCACATTCATTAATATTTTACTCAAGTTCTTTGAACATGCTTCCTCAAACAGGATTTCAGGCATCTCTAAAGCCGCTTTTGGAGGATTACCAGTTTTCTGCGGTTATCTTCACATTTTTCTCTTCTACTTCAGTTGCCTCAGTTGAAGCATTTTTTGAAATCACATGTGTGGCTACCACTGAAAAAAAGTTAGGACAGTTTTAAAAACGTGTCCTATGGGTCCATGTTCATATAACCAAACCACACACTTTACTGCTTTTTAAACTGATTTTTAAAAGTGTTTTACAATAATATCAAACACTTGCCTTTGTAAAGTCAGACCCCCAGAAAGAGCTCCCTGGCTGGGGCTGAACCCCTGCTACTCAGAAAAGGTGAAGCTCTTTCCGAGGACCCACAACTAGGACGGCCAGAGCGGGTCTCAGGTGCCTCCAACATTCGACCACCCGATGTTGGTCGAAATAAAGTGGCCGAGAGATCATGCCAGAAAACGAAAGAGAGCCCGGGAGAGACCCTCACCGTCTAAGGCATGTGCACGATTTAATGTTCACATGGGAGGACAAACTGCGAAAAACTTGCAGACCCCATTCATGAGGCTTGGAAGTAAAATGTGTAATGCAAACAGACACACAAAATGGTGACCACCAACGCGCGAACAAGTGCAAAAGAAACCATGAAGGTGACTGCACGCTCAGGGAGAGCCGGCGCCCCAGCCCCTGTACGCGGCCCCCGGGGGCGAGGGCGGGCGGCAGGAAGGCGGGCTCTGCCTCAGGCGACAGGAGCTGCGGCCCAGGGCGGCTAGGGGCGGCTGCCTCCTCAGGTCTAGGCTTCTGGGTGAGTTAAATGACCATTAAATTGGGTGGGGGAGTGCAGGCAAGACGTCCAGGGCGATGGGTTTGAGATGACCGCGCTGCGTGTCAGGCGCTGTGCTGAGCCATACACACACGATTCGACAAAACACTCATCCTGGCCCTCCCTGCGTGGAGCTGTTACTACCTTCACTTCAAAGATCGGGAAACTGCCAAGAAGTTCAATTTCCGCCCCAGCTCCACAAAAGAACAGGACTGGAGCCCAGGTCTGAAAGCAAAGCCCGTGGACTTGAGAGGCAAGTACCACGACCCAAAGCACATGGGTGGTTCGAACCTAGACAGAGGGGGAGGCGCCACAGGGGATGACAAAAAGCCACGACCCACAGTGATAAAAGCCTGGGTGAACCCCAGGGTCTGCCAACAGACAGAGGGACAAAGAAAATGTGGAACAGGCACACAACGGAATATTACTCAGCCTTTAGAAAAGAAGGAAATTCTGCTACCTGCTACAACGCGGCTTAACCTTGAAAGGAGATCATGCTAAGTGACAGAAGCCAGACACAGAAAGACAAACACCGTGCGATTCCACTGTGTGGGGGACCTAGGACAGGCAAAGTCACAGGGATAGGAGTAGAGGCGACTGGGGGGCGGGGGGAAATAAAGAGTTACGGCTGCATGGGTAGAGCTTCTGTTTGGGATGATGAAAACTTCTGAAACTAGGAAGTGGTAATAGTTATACAACACTGGGAATGTACTTAATGCCACTGAGCTGTACACTAAAAATGGTTAAATTGGCAAACTTTATGTTATGCATATTTTACCAGGATAAGAATTTTTAAGCAGTTAAAAAACACACGAGGATTTGGTAACTAAATGGAGATAAATGAAAGAAGAGAAGAAACTGGAGGGTTAAACTTCTGAGCCTGGGAGAGCGCCAGGCGGGACTCCTTCAGGGGAAGTGAGACAGGAGGGAAAGAGCTCTGTGAGCTCCAGCCCCTTTCCAGGGTCCTGAAAGCCCCCGCCCCCCAACACCGCTCTGGGCAAGCAGGCCTGAGGGCCCTGCCTCCCGCAGCCCAGCCAGGAGCCAGCCAGCGGCTGGCGGGCAGGCCGCCTCACACCCTTCTCAGCTCCCGCAGAGGGTCTTCCCTGTGCCTCCCTACGCTCCACATGCCCCTCCCTTCCGTCTCCTTCACTACCGCTTGCTCTTGCCCCTGGCCCTGCCTAACATGCCCGATCACGCCTGCAACAAGTCCTCACAGGACCCGGCAGTCCGAAGCCGTGGGCCCTTCCTCTGAACTGCAGGAAAACTTCACCCCCTGAGTAGCCCTTAGCGCCCCGAATTGCACCCTCAGGGGCCTGCCTGCTTCTCTGATGTAGGTGCCTCTCTGGCCTCCCCATCTGTCTCCACGTGCCCTTGGTGCTTAGCACAGCGCCTTGCCCAGAACAGGGTCCTCCTATACATTTCCTGAGCCATGAATGGCCCTCCGTGATTCTGACCAATTCTCTACTGCAAGCCCAGGGAGGATATATTTATAGAATGGAGTCTCCAAAGAGAAAGGAGTGTCCCAAACATGCCCCAACTTCAGCACTGTCCCCTGCACCCTGTGGAGTTGTGGAGGCTCAGGGGGCTGGAGGGTCGGTGGGCCGCAGGAGTGAGAGGCAGCTCCCAGGTGACGCAGAGGCAAAAAAAAAAAAAAAAAAAAAAAAAAACGGCAGCAGCTGATTGATTTGAGGTCTACATAAAAATACTGTCTTACTCCTCTTCCCATTATTTCTCAAACTGTTTCACTTATGTTTAATGTCACCCAAGGTCATCTAAGGAAGAGGGTCCTCTCTTCTTAGCAGACATTTAGACATACACTTAGACCTATGACTGCAGAGAGTTTAAAACAAATCAAGCTTTCCCACAGGGGAGGAAGAGAGTGAACATATACCTTCCACAGGTAGAACAGCATATGCCAGAAGGGCTCAAGCCCAGAGCCTAACTCCAGGGCTGGCCACTCATGTCTGTGAGTGAGTTTCCTCTGCCAGAAGAGAGAATCCCCCAAACCAGACGAAGAGCCCGGGAGCTGAGTGTAAGGCGGGCCTTGAGTTCAACGCCGAGAGAGCTGGTGGGCGGCCATCCGAGATGTAAGGAATGCTGAAGGCAGGGCGTGCCCAACATGGGGGGGGGGGGGGAGAGAATATCAACCGTATGGCTCTCCTCCCTTCTCTCTCTTCGACATGGATACGAAGACCTGTCACGTACATGCACTTGGGAAGATGATAATTACAGTTACGACATGCCTAATGAAGCTGTCCATGTAGCCTGTGAGTGGGACAGCAAGGTGAAACTTCACTGCTGTCGATTAAAGAGGAAAAGTTTCTGACCAAAAAACTTCCTAAGAGAAGCAAGGTATTTCCATCGGTTCCGAGGTAACCCCGTGACACGATTTCCGGACGTGTGTTGCAACGAGGCAGGGGCGTCTGCCGATGAGAGCTAGAGTAGGGGGTGGGCTTGCACAGAGCGGACCACCGCAGACGGCCAGCTCTGCTTCAGCTGCTGGGGACACAGACGCCCGCCGGCTAGGGCCCCCCGCCCCCCCGTAAAAACCGAGACACAGGAGGCTTCTGCAGGGCGCGCTGCCTGGCATTGCCTGTGCCTCAGAAGGCATGTGTCGCAGCTGACACTCGGCACAGAAACAGTCGTAATTACATCTGTAGGGCTGCACGTAAAGAGCCTGGCACCACGGTCCAGGGCGCTGGGCGACAGAAGTAGAGCCTGTTATGACACTAGCTCGAGAAGGAAAGGCCTGTCGCCACCAAGAGTTCAGAAGAGACTCTTCACCTTCCTGGCCCTGAAACCGGAGGCTCCACCAAGGGAGGGAGAACCACTTCATAGGAAAGGGGACATATGTCCTTTCACAGTGGCCGGGGCTGGGCCCCGCTAGGCCGGCCCCTTCTCCACTGAGGGAAGTAAGGCCCACCTTTTGAGAAGCTGCCCACAGAGAGGGTACCTAAGTCCTGGGGTCCCCTGAGACCCTTTGTCCAAAGCTGCTCATTTCCAGAAGTGAATGCAGGAGACAGAACAGAAAGATGGAAAGAATATTAGATCCAAAGGCAAAAAGCCTGTGTTCTAGGAACAGGCTGAGCCCCCGACAAGCTACAAAATCCTGAGTCAGCTTCTCTGCGGCTGCCTGCATGGGCCTCAGTGGGACAGAGGAAGCAGTGGGGACCAAGGGAGGCTGTGCCGCCATCCCTCACCAATACTGTGGCGCACCCCCAAGATGATGCTAGAGAAGGCAAAAGGTGGTCATGGAGTCCTGGCCTCCAGCACCACCCCCAGGCCCAGAACCTGCGGGTGACAGAGGGCACGTAAAGAAAACAATCAGTGTGAACAGCCACCAGTTCCTTGTGCTGGGCGTATCGTGTTTGATTTTTGATTTTATTATTCTTTGCACTTCTCTGTAACATTAAATTTTTCTCAAGATAAGGAAGCTATAACTAGGTCAGGTCAGGTAATGTCTCCTGGTATCTGTGTATTTCCCACCTGATCCGGAAAGGGCTTAGGGTGGCAACCTGTCCTCCCAGCAGAACGCCAGAGGAGGAGCTGGCCCTTCCCAGAAAGCACATACCTAAGCTCTCACCATCTGCCCTGTGCTGGGTCCTGGTGCAGCCACGGACCAGCTATGTGGGCAACTTCCACATAAGGGTCCCACTGCAAAGGCACAAACAATTCTCCAAAAAAAAAATCACAGGTGGAAAAAAAAAAACCACCTCTCCCTAGTTAGTCCCTTGAGAGCAGAAGGCCACGGGCATGAGGACACAGCACTCGCAGGGCCTTCTCTGCCTACCAATGAGGACGAAGACGCTGCAGGAGCTAATGACACCGCACAGGCTGAATGTGAGCGCCGAAGGAAGAGGCCGCCAAATGCGCAGAGGCAGGAGAGAGCTCCGGATGGGCCCCCTCGCAGAGGGTGGGCTGTCCAGAGAGCCCAGGGAAGCAGGCCAGGTGGGAACAGGCAGGAACAGGGTGGGGGGTGGGCAGCCACGAGGAGGCCACAGGGCAGGCGGGTGGGTTCAGGGGAGCCATGTCCTAACCCGGAGGCCACAGACCCCCTGGCTTTCTCCCAGGACAGCCTGTGATAAGCTCAGACGCAGCTGGCTGCAGGAGGCGGGTCCCACATGGCCACTGTCATCTGTGGCCCTGGGGTCCCTGGCAGGGTGAGGCCTGGTGTGGGAGTCGGAGAAGAGACCAGTCCTTATGGCTGGAAGAAGTCACCAAGATCAAGTATCAGTGACCTGGGTAAGAAGGCTGAAGGGACACAAGGTTGGGTCGAGTTACTTACACCTCTTAAAATAGATCAAGGTTTGAGAGGACCTGAAAAACTGG